CAGAACAGGAGGAGACGGAAGTGAGCGCCAGAGTGCGTAGAGAGTCCGCCGTGTAGTCGGCGAAGTTTGTGGTCCGTAGGGACGGCTCGAGCTACAGGCAAGAGTGTGTGTTTACCGCTATCGAGCGAAGACCCGTGGCAACCGCTGCGAGTGTGAAGCCGACGTGTTCCGGCGAAGAAGTTGAAGTTTGAAGAGTGGCCAATTGAAGACGGGAGGTTTCCTGGAAGAGAACTTCGAGAGCTGCGGAACGACAACAACGCTGGACTTTGAGTGAGTGATTCTCGGAAGAGTATCATTCAGACTTTTGTTCCAAGGACTTTGGACTGAATAGGTTTTATATCTCTTTAGTCTTTAAGTGTCTTGGTGTTCAATGCATGCGACTGCATTGTAGTGCGTATTGTTGTCTGTGTCCGTTGTTTCAAGTGTGGTTGATTGTACTGTGTAGTACATTGTCTGTTTGGTGACGTATTGTATGTAACTATTGTGGAGTGTGCATACGTGTGTATTGTTTTTGATCTGCCGTTAATGAGAATATAATTTTGTTTGTTTATCAACTCTCGGCTCTGTCTTGTTCTTTGGGCCACAGCCGGCGTCCGCTGGCGCACCAATAAGGACCACTTCTAAATTGTCCACGCTTTCGTGGTGCGGTTCGGGGGGCCGATACTTCGGCTCTTGGAATTAGCCCGGCGATCGCCTCCCTAATAAACGGGACAGGTGTGACAATCAATCTGGCGTCCGCGAATCAGGACCTTTTGGTGCACAGTGTGTCCAAAGTAGTGAGAAAGAGCCTCGAGTTGTTGATAGTGCTATCGGAACGATTTTGTGTGTTGTTCAGTGTTCTCGTTAACGAGTGCAGGGGAGTGTTCCGATAGACTGATTTAGGCAGATACTTTTTGCACGCGGCAAGGTTTCATTTGCGAGTTGCGAGACACAATGGATCTCGAAAAGTTAGTTGCGCTTGGTGAGAAGATGGGTCTTTCCGGCGCCGAACTACGGAAATGGGTAAGCCAGAAGGAGAAAGAGGCGGTGGAGAGAGAAAGGTTGGCAGCTGAGAAAGCCAAGGAAGAAAAAACAGCTGAGTTGGAACGAGAGAGGTTGGCGGTCGAAAGAGCCAAAGCGGAAAAAGAAGCTGAGTTGGAGAGAGAGAGGTTGGCGGCAGAGAGGGCCAAGGAAGAAAAGGCAGCTGAGTTGGAGAGAGAAAGGCTGGCCGCTGAAAGGGCGAGAGAAGAAAGAGAAGCAAAGGAGCGACAGCTGAAAGAAGAAAGAGAGGCAAAAGAGCGACAGCTGAAGGAAGAAAGAGAGCAGCAATTGAAGTTGGAGCTGGAGAGAGAGAAGTTGGCAGCCGAAAGGGCGAGAGAAGAAAGAGAAGCGGAGATGGCTGAAAGGGAACGGCAGCGGCAGCACGAAATTGAACTCGAGCGGCTCCGTTTGCAACAGCGAAACGAAACTCCCGTCCAAGCTAGAGTTGAAAGCAGCGAACGGGAAGATCACGGCTTCCGCTTGAACCCAAGCAAGCTGCTCGTAGCGTTTGATGAAAGGAAGGACGACCTAGACGCGTACCTCCACAGATTTGAGACGATTGCGAGGAGCCAGAATTGGCCGGAACAGCAATGGGCAACTGCTTTGAGTACCTGCTTGAGTGGTGAAGCGCTCAGTGTGTACGGTAGGCTGACGCCGACCGATGCGGCCAACTATGCAAAGGTGAAAGCTGCTTTGTTGAAGCGATTTAGATTCACTGTGGAAGGATTCCGGGACAGATTTCGGACAGGAAAGCCAGCTGATGGTGAAACGGCTACGCAGTATGCCGCCCGACTTTGCCATTATTTCGACAGATGGATTGAACTTTCAGGGACAGCACAGGAGTACGAGGAGCTTAGAGAGCTCCTAATTAGAGAACAATTTCTTACTAGTTGCCACCCAAGCCTGTCGCTGTACTTGAAAGAGAGGAGAGCTAAGTCACTTGAAGACATGCTTGAATTAGCTGATCAATTCTTGGAAGCGCAAGGTGGCACTAATTTGGCCAAAGTCAAGAAGGAGGGTCCCGAGGATTCGAAGAAATTGGCTACTGAAGAAAAGAAGCGTGCACCAGAGAGCATGCAGCGATGTTTTCTGTGTAACCGAGTGGGTCATCGCGCGAAAAACTGTCGAACGATCTTTACGAGCCCTACGGTTGTAAAATGTTTTAAGTGTGGTCAGACTGGGCACAAAGCAGACGCTTGTCGGAACGGAGTGAGTCAAACTCACCAGGTATCTTGTGTGCAAGCGGCACCGAAATCTGATAATAATGCCGTCACCGATGGATTCGTAGAGTTGAAGAATGGGGAGAAAATTCCTATTGTGGGGGCTGTAATGTCAAAACAGCCAACCGGTGTTACGAAGGGAATGCCAACGCTTCCTGGAAAGATTGCAGGCAAGAAGATTACGGTTCTAAGAGACACCGGTAGCTCCACGGTTATCGTGAGAAGAAATTTGGTACGGGAAAGTGAGTTGACAGGCAGAACGAAACCGGTTTGCCTAATTGACCGTACGGTCCGGATGCTTCCCGAAGCAGAAATTGAGGTTGAAACCCCGTACTTCAGCGGGAAGGTTACTGCGTTATGCATGACGACCCCCCTGTATGACCTTGTCATCGGAAACATCGACGGGGCGCGAGGGCCAAGTGATCCAGAATGTTTGGGAGAAGACCCGAAGATAGAGCCCTCGCCAACACAGCGGCCGCGAGATACAGTGGAGGAGCATCCCGTGACGGACCTCACTAGAGCCCAAGGCGAAGCCGCGGCGCAAGAGACAGCGAAGGAGAAGACGATCGTGTCGAATAAGTTCACGGGTCGAGCAACCGGACTTAAGTCGGCACGACCTCAACCGACCGACAGTGTGAAGGAGACGGAGTTGGCCAGTCGGGAAAAATGTAGAAGTATGATCAAGCGGGTAAATAAACAGACAGGACCCGTCGGATGGAATGACGCGTTAACGGTGTCGGAAGAGACAACGATGGCTGAGACGACGCCTCAGATATCGTCGTTGGAAAGGGCTCGCCGAAAGGGAACGTGGAAAAAACAAGAAGTCGAGCGAGCACCGCAAGAAAGGGCGCAAGCGCTGTTCGAAGTACTCAAGATAGGTGCTGAGGTGGAATCAGATTGTGTTTGGCAGGGTTGAGTGCCATATGTTGTGTTATTGTTCTTGTTATCCTGTGTCTCAAGTGTATGTCGAGCGAGTCAGTGTTCTGTGCGATGATGTGATGTAAAGTGTTGTATAATTGTTGTATCGACAGAACTTTGTACGTTTGTATTGTTTGGAATGTGGGATGAAGTGTTGTAGGCATGTACCTGTGGCTATATTTCATGTGTTGTGGAATTGAACTACAATGTAAGATTGTATTGCGTGATCTATTGTGAATGTGAAGTGTTATGAGCGACTGATGGTGTTACAGTCTGTGAGAGTGTGTGGTGACTTTCCGCGCTCGTTTGTGTGGTTTTGAATATTATGAGATAATATTCTTAAGTGGGGGGCAGTGTCACAGAACGAGCGCTAAAAAGAGAGCGCGCCGCCAAATCCTTGCGATAACGGGCGGTAGAAACGCCGCGAGGTAAAAAGAAAAAAAAAAAGAAAGCAAACATCCAAGGCTCCCGGGCGCGCGCTCTCCCCGCAGAAGCACGGCTTCGCAGACGAACCTCCTCACCCCACAGCGGCGGCCGGGCAAGCGCTAGAAATTTCCAGAACGAAGGAGGCATGGCTACGCCGAGCTGAGTCACCCGACGCGGAGGGCTGACAAACCGTCTCGCCTCTCTCCAGCCTTCGCCGCGTATCGCGCCGACGAAATGACCAGAAATTTCTGGAAGGTGGCGCGGAAGGTATTTAATCGAGCGGCCGAGACGACAGAACAGGAGAAGACGGAGAGTTAGCGCCGGAGCGCGTAGGAATTCCGCCGTGTAGTCGGCGAAGGTTCTGCCCGTAGTGACAGAACAGGAGGAGACGGAAGTGAGCGCCAGAGTGCGTAGAGAGTCCGCCGTGTAGTCGGCGAAGTTTGTGGTCCGTAGGGACGGCTCGAGCTACAGGCAAGAGTGTGTGTTTACCGCTATCGAGCGAAGACCCGTGGCAACCGCTGCGAGTGTGAAGCCGACGTGTTCCGGCGAAGAAGTTGAAGTTTGAAGAGTGGCCAATTGAAGACGGGAGGTTTCCTGGAAGAGAACTTCGAGAGCTGCGGAACGACAACAACGCTGGACTTTGAGTGAGTGATTCTCGGAAGAGTATCATTCAGACTTTTGTTCCAAGGACTTTGGACTGAATAGGTTTTATATCTCTTTAGTCTTTAAGTGTCTTGGTTGTTCAATGCATGCGACTGCATTGTAGTGCGTATTGTTGTCTGTGTCCGTTGTTTCAAGTGTGGTTGATTGTACTGTGTAGTACATTGTCTGTTTGGTGACGTATTGTATGTAACTATTGTGGAGTGTGCATACGTGTGTATTGTTTTTGATCTGCCGTTAATGAGAATATAATTTTGTTTGTTTATCAACTCTCGGCTCTGTCTTGTTCTTTGGGCCACAGCCGGCGTCCGCTGGCGCACCAATAAGGACCACTTCTAAATTGTCCACGCTTTCGTGGTGCGGTTCGGGGGGCCGATACTTCGGCTCTTGGAATTAGCCCGGCGATCGCCTCCCTAATAAACGGGACAGGTGTGACAGAGTCATTTCTAAATTTTCAATTCATTATACGTAATTCAGATTGCTTCAACAATACACGAGTGAGCGTACGTGGCCATTATGGTTTACTTCCTGGTTTCGAAACGTAAAACCTCATATATTGAAAGGTTCACCTCCACTTCTTTCTGCAATCGTTAAAATACTTCTCACACTGTTTACTAAGCTTACAGTAAACGAATCATTGCCTCACATTTTCTTGTACCGAAACCTCAAGCTGCTGTAGCGCTACAACAGGACGTTACCACTGACACGTGACAGGGGTGAGCTCATTCGTTTCCTTAACTGCTCTTTCCAGGACCCGGTGGCTGCGCGACGAAGCCAGAGGAGCCGGGAGCCCTATGCACCGCCGTCATGGGAGCCGAGATCCCCGTCTGGGTGGGCGGTGTCCAAAAGTGGGTCACTGGCGTCGGTCGCAGGACCACGTGCGAGGAAGTGGTGCGCGCTCTGCTCGCCTCGAGCCGATCTTCCCGAAAGTCCGCGAGCCAGGGAGTCTACCATGGCGCTGACCCTCTGCAGTACGCGCTGGTCGAGGTCTGCCCTAGGGGCATAGAGCGTCGACTCGAGGGTGACTCGCGCATCCTCAAGTTGTGGAACAGTGAGGACGACGTCAGGTTGAGTCTGCGACGCGTCCGCTGCTGGTCTTCAACGACGTCTTCGCCTACGTCGGACTCGTGCGTAGCCGAGCCACCGCGGCACCATCACAGGCGTCGCCACCATCACCACCACAGCCACCATCGGAGAGGTCAGGCATCGGGTGGTTCGAGTTCAACGACCACGACGTCTTCGAGTGCGTCGCCACGTCTCCTCCGCACCGTGCACCCGCGCAAGCTTTCAGCGAGCGTCGGGGCCCTCTCCACGTCTCAGAATCAGCACGGGGGACAACAGGAGCACGCCGTCCTGCAGAACGAAGAGCTCGCCGAGCTGGTGAAGCGGGTGATCTGCCAGGGAGAGACTCTAGAGCGCCAGGCGGCGCTTCTAGCGCGTCGCGACGCCGAGATCGAGCACCACGAGGCCAAGAAGCACGCGATGCGAGTGCGACAGATGGGGCCTGACTACATGCTGGACGGGTACCGACCCGAGGCCTCCGAAGAGGAGTCCCTGCAGACGTACCAGGCCACTCTGGAGGCTTACGACCGCGTCCTCCAGTTGTGTCGCCGCATCACCGCTGAAGAGGAGAAGGTACAGAGGTTGAGTGCCGAACTGCGGCAGTACACCTGGCAACAAGAAGAGGAGAGGAGGCGCTCGCAGGAGCAACTGAATGCGGCGAGAGAGGAGCAGGAGAGGATGGAGGAACTGTCGCGATCGCAGGAGGAAGCGCTCGAACGAAACGAGCGCGCGCTCAGGGACTTGGACCACGTGTTGGAAGACAAGAAAAGGATGGCGGTGCAGCTGGAAGAACAGTTGAGGTTAGTGGAGCTGGAAGAGGGAGATATGCTGGTCAGGAGATGCCGACCGGTCGACCTCTCGGCACCGCCGAGACCAGCAGTGCTGACGCCGTTGAACCCACCGGCGCCTGTCGTAGCTTCTCCGGCTTCTTTGGTGACGTCCTCTGCTCGGTGCTGTATAGATGCCCAGGACTCGAGCTCAGACACGGGCGTCAGCTCTATGTACAGTTTCGAGGAGGTCAACCACGTCTTGGACACGCTTGTGTGACGACAGTGTGCGAAAACAGTGGTTATTAGGCTCTTCTACCTGCGTTGCAACGGACACAAACTTTTCACGTTATTCTCTAGGGTCACTTGTTTGTCCTAGCATCGAGCTTCTTAGCAGAACTTAACAAAACACATCAAATATCAAAATTGCCCTTAAGCACCTTCACTTACTCTTTCAATGAGCATTGGTCTAAACATATTAGCAGCATAGTTAATTTACTTGGAGTTACTATGCGTGTTTTTTTTACTACGTCTCATTATATAATATGTCCCAGTTTCTTGTTGCCGAAAGATTAAAAACACAAAATGGGTCTCTGTTAGGCGGGCATGTTTTCTTCCTAAAATATGAATGTACATTTTTTTTTATCACCAAATCAATGCTCAACGACTGTACCTGCTGACTGACCCCACAGAACAACATGAAGTTTGTAGAGTTCTTGAAACGAGTTTCGTCGTTAAAGTTATCACAAGTAACTCTTAACGCATGTTTGTTACAGTGACTTCGAAAGCGTTCGCGTTGTCAAACCGACAGAATTTTGTGGACAGTTGGATAAAAAAAGCGGAAAGAATGACATAAGTCCATGCAACAGAAAGTGAAGCTTCGCAAGTGCCCGGTGTAATACTATGTAATTATGCAAAGTGTATTTATGTCTATGAGAGCAATAGTATACCGACTGTAACTCTAATCAACGTTTATTTGTATTAAAATAAAGCAATCATGCTGACATATTTAATGACACACCTGAAGATATTGCCCTGTTTTCTTTGACATTTTTCGAGTCTTCAGCCTGCTTTGGCTCGTGGGCTCTCCAATGTGCCAAAACTCTCAAGTGAGTCTACTCTCGGTAACTACGAAGAACTAAGCGCCTTGGCTTGATACATGCGTTGTTTTGTACCCTAGTCAAAATCTGTAACCTAGCATAAAGTTGATTACTCAACCATTCTTCTACGTGCAGAACATTAGGTATGCCGATCTGCCGCGATATGACCACAATGTCGTGGCTTTGATTCACAGCAATGGCAATCAAATTTATATGAGCAAAAATTGTAAGAGCGTTCTTAATGTAAACTGTAAAAGCTCATCTTAAGAAGTAAATTGAGATCATGTACCGCTTGTGCATCACCTTCATTGCTTTTTTCACTTTTGTCAGTTAGAATAACTGAGTCCAAATCCCCGTTTTGGTAACAACATCCCTCTCAGCAACAGAAACCGATTTCGAAGGCCATGATCTTGATTTAACGGCCGGAGAACGTTGAAGAGCCCGAAGTACGTCACAGATGCCATAGTTGGATACTCCATAAAAAACACTTGCTTATTGCAAAGATGGTTTGGTGTCAAAAGATAAAAGTCACTTGAGATGTCCAGCTCTAAGCGTACATTTATTTGACTGCAAAGAATTTCAATCCTTTTAAAGATTAATCCACTTAGACGATAGCTGTGCAGGGCTCATTGCAGTCTGCCACCATCATAGTGACCGACTCTTGCCAAAGAGTGTGTCTGGTGGGCCCCCGTATGAATTGCCTCTCTAGCCGCCTCTATTTTCGCCGTTAGCTTAGAAAAGGCCATACGAATCAGAAAAGCGGCCGGGCAGGATTGACTTCTAAGCTCCTTCAGATAACGACGCTATTGGACGCACTCTTCTCTCCTTTCAGTGACGTCACAAGGCCGCACAGTCCAATGAGAGAGCGCGTATCTTCTGTCGCAGACGTTACGGATGCTCTGAACGAGGATGCTTCGCACGAGCAGGACAAACAAAACAAAACAAAACAGGCGACGAAAATAAACCTGAGAAGCAGTAGCAGCACCACAGCCATCACCTCTCTAGCTCGCACACTGTGAGGGGGTGTAGTAGGGCGCTAGCAACAAAGCGGGGTCCACAGTTGATCCACTTTGGCGATGATCGCTGGCCAGGTCCGGCTAATCCCTTCCCACACGCAGCGCGCGTCTTGGCAGCGGCCGTAGTCCCCGCGCTGACGGTGAAGCCGGCGACACAATATCGGGAATGAAGCATAGATCCCATCCACGGGCTCGGGCTCTGTACGTCGTGCTGCTCTCTCGCAACCAGAAAATTGATTTTCATTTGGCTCCACGGGCCATCCGTGTATCAAGGCACGGCTGCGTGATCTGAGGAGGCGCCGAGGCCTAAATGGGATCACACAAGCTGGCCGTCGCTGCTGCAGCGGGGGTGGCCTAACGGTTCGGGCCCAGACCACTCCCCCGGTCTTGACCATGGCGCGTATATATAAGCACGATGGTCGCATGGGCAGGACTTCGTACGCTGTCCGCTGTCTCGACCCCGAGCACGACAGCGCAACCGCAAACACCGTGTCGTACTCATTCTGCGGTCACGTCTTCACAACGCTCTGGGTATATAGGATACGAAAGCGGGCGGAGGTTGCATACATCACGAAGGCCTGTAGACACACTCCTAAACGGCTAAGCGGGGCATAGGGAGTTAGGAAGAACAACGGTTCGAAGAGAGACCACCGCTGCGTCACGGACAGCGTCGCCCAGTTCCAAGCCAAAGATGAGGCGTGCGGTAGTCTGGGCATCCTGCATCCAGCTGGCACTGCTCTATGTCACCTTCGCTAAAGCCGGTAAGATTGTGGGCTTACTTTATTATCGCTTGGCCAGTTTTTTATTATGGACCATTGTACTGCTGTCAAAGTCATTAGTGAATTCTCGCATTCATTTTATCCTAAGGTATGTCACTCGTACGTATATCGACTTGCAACCGAATCTGGGTAATAGTGGGGATAAATAAAAATGGTTACAAGTGAAGATCTCGAAGCATTGACGCCGTGAAAAATCACAAAAGGTGTGCATGTTGCTGCAGAGACCAAGGGAAAACGTTTGTTTCGTTCTAGACTCTTCAAGAAACTCTTACAGATTAGTAAAAAACGAAGACAAGAACAGGAGAGAAAGTAAATACAGAGATGTTGGCAGGTCTAGTTAAAAAAGCAGTAATTATACAGGGCTACACTGCTGGATGATAAAAAGAGAGCTGCGTTTGTTTTTCCCAACTGTTACAAAGTCGGAGCACTTTACAGGCACATGATGGCAAATAAAGGTTATCGACGGAATACAACATTTTAGCTACATTTTACGGCTTGCTTTATATTGTTTTTTTGGAGGTACATTCTTTCTACAGTTATGGTGGGCCTGAATTACCAATATGTCCTTGGTTAACTAGATAAAACCATTTCTGCCAACTCCTACCAGTATAAATGCATCATACTCTGCAATGGCGAAAGATGCCATTTGCGACTGATCGAGACCACTAGCACATCTATCAAGGTGTATTTTTCTACACGTTGGGCTAGGATATACATCGCGTCATTTCTCAATTTGGTGGAAATGTGTATTTCTATGAAGTCTCACATGAATGCTCTGGCGCAAGCTTAACTAAAACTGAACTAAACTGGCGCAAACTTAACTAAAGTGGCCTAAGTGACTAGAAATAATCTGAAATAGGACAATTTCACATAACGCTTCAACAGTAATTACATGGGCGCAATACCTGGCTAACCTCTTCAGGACACTGTTATGCACTAAAATTACATGATCTGCCCTGTGTTCTACTAGTGTAATTCTTATCTTATACATTATTCTTTTAGCAGCGACTAATATTTGCAGGGTGCACAGCTCTTAAAGTGAGATGGTATAAACGTATGAGCTTTGTATTATGAGAAAATTACGGGGAAAATGAAAATCGACGCCCCTCTTTCTCGTTCAATAATTGGCAGGTATGGAAAAAACTCCTTCATCGCGTAGACGTATACTGTTCCTGAGGGCACAAAGTGACAAGAAGAAAGCTTTCACACTTGTACATACTACTCATTGCTATAGACAATAGTTTCGTGCTTTTCGTGACTCGATCACGTGCAGCATGTTGTGGGCCTATACGTTTCCAAGGCAGGAAAAGTGGTCCTTTGGCTTTTTTACATAGTCGTACTATGGGACCGGTGAGAGGGTTTACAGTTTTCAAGACTCTCAGCAATGCCGGCCACGGAAACTACGTTTCGAGATTTATTCGTAGCTGCAGCCCTTCCGACCATTGCAGTCGTGAAATATTTAGGTTTCTACGTGGTTTAGGGCATGTTGCTACTTAAAAAAATCGCTGCATAGCGTAATCCGGACATCCCGGTGATTAGTGATTACCTCTGCCTCGAGCTGAGGGACTGAAAATAGGCGCGTTGAGACGAACCAGAACAGAGTAATTACTAGGGTTCCTGAAAACTTCAGTTATTGAGAGAGTCGTAAATCATTTAACATTATATTTCTCACTAGACCTGCAATACAGTATATCACCTACATACCTGTGCGTTTCATTGGCGTATGTACAATGTCCGCGTATGTCAGGCTTTATTCACTGAATCCAACATGATTGACGAACCACAATGTGGCTGTGCGTGGTCTTGGTCCTCAGGTCACGAGTCTTTCTACGACGACGACTCGTGGTCCCTGGCCGGTGGCCGCTGGGGTGAACTGCAGAAGCGGCAGGGCCTCATTCCCTTCCCCAGGGTCGGAAGGTCGGCATCAGCCCACGACCTCAATCCAGATGATCTGATTCCTCTGGACACAGATTCTGCGGCATCGGGTGGATGGGCCTTCCTTCTCCTACCCTACAAGCGTCGTAGCAACACCTTCACTCCTCGCATTGGCCGTAAGCGCAGGTAATGACACGTATTCACACTGATTAACCATGTAGCCCCTACTACAAAACCCTCTCGAGCTGTCTCGCAAGCTTCTATACAAATGCACTTTTTTAACAGACACCACAACATAATTAGCTTGTGTATTATACGCATCGCTTTGGCTGTGTCAGTATCACTCATTATTTTATTTTATTCCCTTTGCTTGTTCCTAAGGGTAGAGTGACAGGTGTGATTAGCCTAGAACTCTAGTCAAAGTTTCTGCCAGTCTAGTTTCTTTTTTCTACCCTCTTTATGAGGTGACAGTAAGAGTGGCTGTAGTATTGCTATAGGAGGAATGTTGCATTGTTTTAAAGCACATCCATGCAGATTCCCTTATCGATTTCTTGAGCGATTTCTAATCTGTCCAGAAAGGATCCACCAGAGATTGTTCCCACTATGAGAATAACGCAGAGAAAAACTTTGCCTTTGCTTTATATAGTATACTGCAAGTCTCGAATCACCAAATCACTAGTTCTATAGGTGCGTCCCCAAGGGTTGAGCAGCCCTGCGTCATGCAGGACGAGAATCGGCCATTCTTGAACATCTTTACCTGCTGATTAAAATGTTAGAAGCGTGATGTTTCGGCCGGCAGCCACTTCGATAATTCACGTGGTAGTGTGCACTCTATACGTGTACTTCTATTACAAGTACTTTCTCAGCGTGAGCGGTTCAAAAAGAACGACACGTATGGCGTAATTTCTTTGAAGGTAGGATAGTAATATAACACCACCACGGCAATGCAAACAAAGCTCGGATCTGTAACGGTCTCGCTTGTTCTCTCAGATCTGTGGGCCGACCTGATGACGGTGTGCACAAGGAGGACGGCGGATCGTCGCGTTCTCGCCAGGCTGCCTGGGCAGACCTCGACTGGTCATACTCGCCTTTATCTCGGCAGCTGGTGCCCGTCATCCGCAACGGAAGGGGAACATTCGTGCCCAGGCTAGGTGAGCTATGCCGTCGAATCACCAGCACAACTGTGAACCGCGCCTTCCGTGTGTTCACAAAAAACCCGTGCCCCGTAAACATATAGTAACAGGCTGCACTAAATCACCACTAAACACTCCTTGCAATAACGATAACAACGACCTTTGGGCCTTGGCCTGGTCTAGCCTCGATGATCTGTTGAAGCTGGTTGCAAGGACACAAGACACTGCCTGAGCTCAAGGCATATCCTACACTACAGGGCGGCTCTCCTTAGCTACTTTGTAAATATTGATCTATAGCCATACGTATTAATGCTTCGCAATTTGTACTTTAGGAAGTGATGCTCTTGTGTCTGTCGTAAAAGCAGAAATAAAATAAAATAAAATAAAATTGCTCATTCCAGCTGAGGAGCACCGTAGTTCTGGTGATGCGTTGTCTGAAGTTAAGTAAATGAGTAACAAAACCTTAAAGTCGCAAATAAAGGGAAAAAAAGACCATGTGCTCCGAGATATTCGCAGCTGCTTGGAGAGTTCATTGTAAAGAGCGACACGAGAATGTACTCGCGTGCGCCTTTGCAGTAATGCATCTCACACAATTAGCTCATATCAGATTAGATGCAGATAGCGCTACTTCGCGTCAATCAATTGAGGCATACAAGTTTTCTGCGTAGGCGATTGTGAACTCTCAAATGCCACAGCTGTTGAAATGCCAGCTCATGCGTAGCAACGCAATACTAAGGTTGCACTGTCGAAATACCAGGCAATTTCACTTTTTTCAATGAGCTATGAATAAACTGCGGAGAATTACGGCCATATTACATAGTCATCCATAAATGTTTTTTTCACAGGAAAGCGGAGATCGCTGGGCTCCGGTTACGGCGACGAAATCGACTCCGGCTGGGACACTAGCCTCGAGGTGGCCTCCTTCATGGACGACCCGAAGCGCGGCTCCTTCACACCGCGCATCGGACGCGGAGCCTTCACTCCCAGGATCGGCAGGACACCGTTCACACCACGCATAGGGCGCTCCAGTGGGAACCAGGAGAAGAACTCGGACGGCGACGACAAGTCGACGCCGCGTTCGTCTTCGTCATCCTCCGGCGTTCAAGGCAACGCTGTTTGAAGGAAGAAGCCCGCAGCGCCACCGTCCTCCTCTTGCTTCCGCCCTGCTACGTCACATCCGCGACTCACGGATGTGACATTGCATTTCATGACGTCGTGAAAACGTACAATGGCCCCGAGCTGTTGGCGGGAACGATAAAAAATATTTACCGGAGGGGAATAAAGTGAAGAAGCAGCTGGAGGTGAAGAAAAAAAAAAGCCCTCAAGAGGCATAAGCATCTGTTTTATTGCTTGTTTACCAGAGGCGGGTAGCTCCGCTGAGAATCAACGTGAATAAAAAACCAAAGTTACCTTTACTGTGGTGTGATGGCTTTCTTTTTTTTTTTTCAAAAGTAAAACGTACCAGTAGCGCTGCTTATAGTTTAATATACATTCAGAGGGAAGAATTCACTCAATGCGAATGTCTTGAATACTTCTCGACATTGTATATCATTTTTTAGCAGTTTAAAGATGAACTCGTTTAGTTGTTAGTTCTTATTAACTAGAACCCAAATTCGTTTCGCACGAATAGTAACAGATGAGATCAGCCTATCAGTTTCAATGTACTGAGGAGGCAGTAGGAGACTCGGAGACAGCAAGGCATTTTTTTTTTACATTTCGTGTTTATACCAGATCAAAGGGTACGCGTATCTTCCTCATCGTTCAGCACTTCAGCCAATAAGCATGTTCGAATGGCAGTGAGATTTTCTGTAAAAGTTTCAAAGCACATTCAATTGAATTGGCGATAAAACGGAACTGTCAGCGGGATACTATTGAATTGGCTTTGAGGAGTCGGTTGAGCGGAACGGGACATTGCCCTTGTTATTGGACACCACTCTCGTTATGAAGCTGCTCTTGTTATTGTCGCTTTTATTTTTTTGCGTTAGTCTTTCACACGGCTTCAGAACACTTCACGCATGGTTCTGCAGCTGGCTGTAAGAATAAACGCGAAGGCGAGCGCTATTTCTCACAATGAGTTTTAACGGGTTCACTTGACCTCTAGCCATATTGCTGGTAATTGCTAGCGTATCATACTTCGTTTATAAGGCACCGATTCCTGGCGCCTTCTACAGCATCGCCGCATACGTAGAAAGAGCAAGACCCGAGGCAGTGGCCAGCAATAGTCGCTGCGCTGCATATAGTAAGCAATCACGCGCACCAAACGACGCACAAGTTTGTTCATCCACGGTCAGCGAGGGCGATCTGATAGGCGAAGACTGATAAAGTTCGTTTGCCAGTTTAACCCTTGACTCGCTGCATAGATTTCGCCGAAAGTTGAGACGTCTCGTCCGAGACAACGACAGTCGGGGCGGTAAACAACACTTTCTGTAGTTCGCCCTTGCTCGTGCCCACGCTTTCGCGATCGCGCCTGGTAAGTGCGATGGGCTTACCGCTCACTGAACCGGCACTTGGCAGTCGAACAATTTATTTTGGTCAAACTTGATTGATTGATTGATTTGTGGGGTTTAACGTCCCAAAACCACTATATGATTATGAGAGACGCCGTAGTGGAGGGCTCCGGAAATTTCGACCACATGGGGTTCTTTAACGTGCACCCAAATCTAAGCACACGGGCCTACAACATTTCCGCCTCCATCGAAAATGCAGCCGCCGCAGCCGGGATTCGATCCCACAACCTGCGGTTCAGCAGCCGAGTACCTTAGCCACTAGACCGCCGCGGCGGGGCTGTGACTTGCCTTTCTAAATATTTATCTGTTGCTCGAAGCTACGCATTCCTTGATACTATTGTGCATACTCAGAGCCCAACAACGAATGACGATCAACCATTGATCGGCGCGTAAAGAAAAAAAACTGCGTACGGCATGTTGCTTGTCGTTATAGTTGCCTTGCAAATAAATATGTAGTTAGTATGAGGGAAGCGTTGGAAGTTCATAGACCTGAACATTGTAACTGCAGGCGTTTGCTGTACGCAGAGTTTCGTAGGAAGCAGTCTTATACGTATGTAGGGCCGTATTACGGAGTACAACGGATACTAAGTTGTACGTTAGTGCATCGTTTATTCAATTTGTTGTTTTGCTACGAATTGATAATAAAATCAGTGAAGTAGCCACATTTTTCGGACTACTCGTGACATCGCGAAATAACAGTATACCGTGCGCCATAGCGTGCTGGCTCACGTGTTATGAGCACAAGAAAATTACAAGTGATAATTAAAAAAAGATAAAAGCACAAAAACAACGCAATCTGCGATAATAATATTAAAATTAATACGTGAAATGTTCTGTTGCGTTCGGATGCCTGCCAAGACAATGAGCACATTGACAGGCTGGATGACGTTTTGTCCTCATGCGTCAATAAAAGTATTGCCATATCAGCATGATTGATATTCAGTATGATTGATATTGTTTTTTGTAGTCGTTGATTTTTACTTCTAGGTATCGCCTAGTAAGTAGGGTATAAATCGGAGCTCGCGACGTTTCTCCCTCTCACTTTACATGGTGTTATGCGTTATTATACCAGCTGACATTAGCCGCTGTGGCGCTGGCGGGCGTCTTTCTCCCCCTTATCTCTGCGTCCATCGCAGACGTTGGGGTGTAGCCGTTCCTTTCCAGCTACCGCCCCACTATTGCCAACCCTTTCACAGGTCATGGCGTCGCACGGACACAAGAACGGAAACATCGCGCGCAGCTGGAACGAGCGGTCGTTGAACATCCAAGAAAACGCGACGGGCCGCTCGAAAGTCGACGGTTCCTACGAAATAATCGAGTCGACGCCGAAGAGGAAGGAATCGGAGTGTCGCTTGGATTTAAGCCACCAGAAAGAACTGAGCGCTACGCAGAACAATGCCAATGGAGGGATCAACGGATCGACGCGTCTGCGTTCTAAAGGTGACGACGTGAAAACCTGTGAATTAGTGAGTCACTTCCATGTAACCCCTTTATGGCGTTAATCATTGCTGTTAGTTGAAAGTTCTGATGCTGACCACAAGGTCGCGGGTTCAATACCAGCTGTGGCGGTTGCATTTCAATTGAGGTGCAATGCTAGTGGCCCCAGTGCTGTGTGATGTCAGTGCACATTAAACACCAGTTGGCCGAAATTTCGGAGCCCTCAACTACGGCGCGACTCTTAATCATATGGGGGTTTTCGCAGGTGAAACTCCCAGATATTCGTATCAGTTTAGTCACATTTCTGGTTTTCTTTGAATAGCGCAGCGCGTACAGCTGCAGAAGAAATGAAATTCTTTATTGTTCAGTAAGTTCTGATCAAGTTCTAAAGAATGCGGACTACGTGCGGTAACTCTGGACGATTATGTCAGGTTCGGGAACGTCAGCTACGTCTAGCGTGCATGAAGAACGAGTCAGGCGTAAATCAGCCTGACGTAAGACATTGCCCAGAACAATGAAAGAAGCGAGACAGCCATACATCACAACCCACTGACTCTGACAGTGCATTCCAAGAACCCCATTTATAACCTTACATTTTCGAACACCCAAAACATTGTTCTAACTCGCAGGATAGATGTAATCAGAAGCGTTACACGTTCGTGCTATAGGTCCGTGCAAGAACAGGCACAGGGGAGAAGTCACGATACCACAGATGACGGCTAACAATGTGGCCGAAAAGATGATAGTCAGTCACACAACAAACTTTATTCGGGTCGTAAGGAACTACAGAGACGTAGTTGCGGGCCACACCCACGTTGGAGCCGGAAGACCACGCTCCTCCGTCCGCTCGCGGGCCCTTTGAACAGCCTTTAGTTTTTTATAAAGATCACCGCTTTTGAGGTCTTCCTCGCAGTCCTCACGTTTATTAAAAGAGGCTTTTTATAACGCTGAACAGCGCCAGAGCAAGTGCGCTAACGAGCAGTACTCTTCATGGCTCTCGGGACACTGTGGACCGATGTCCGGAGCAAAGCGACTGAACCTTCCTATCGACGGTAAACATGCCGTTCGTAACATCCTGAGGTTGTCAGATTGTGGCGTAATCAGCTTTGGGCGTGGCAGCGCGAATTTCCTGCGCCCAAGCTGATGGTGTTTCACTATTTCGGGAAACAGTGATGGGTCGAAGTTATGCACCAACCTAGATTGTCTGGCATATCGGGACCATCGCGAAATGTCAGCCCTCGCGCTTGGTCATGAAGTATAGTTGATTCGATTTGGGTTTGCTGGAATATAGTACCTTGATTTTTATGCGCGCTGGGAACCACAAGATAGTGTGAAAGGCATCAAACATTTTGCTTGATTATAGCGACAGCTTCTTTCGACATTAGACGAGATAGAAAGGCCGGATGTCTGATCCCGATTAATTGTACATGTAAGGCCGTGAGGGGTCGTTCATAACTAGCGATGACAGGAAAATTTATTTGCTCATTCCCAGCCGAGAAACGAACCTATCAACAAGCACTTGTGGTGGTCTATGTTAAGAGGTAAAATCTGGTGTTTTAAGTAAAAAAAAAAGATAAGATGAAGCCCGCCACAGTGGAGGGCTGTTCGACCTCCCGGGGTTCTTTAACGGGCGCAGACACAACGCAGCACACGGGAATCTACAGCATTTCGCCTTCCCTGAACTGCGGCTGTCGCGGCCTGGATGTAACCTGCGATCCTCCCAGACTCTCGATTTCTTCTTTATGCAAGTTATTCTGTGGTTGACTCACTCATGCACTACTTCTATTCATATACCAGGCCTCAATCACTTGATGCGTTTCTTTATCAATTATTGACGTGCAATTGCACGCTCGACAATGTAAAGATAGATTAGATGGTGAATTCTGCGGTTTGCGATAATTTTTTTTTACTTTATCTTTGCTTAACGCAGCGACTCGTTTGTACTTGTTAGAAGTGGCCACAGCTAGATAGAATCTTGCACGTAGTACGTACACCACACACGTATACGACAATCAGAAACTTTGTTGGTACATTTTCCGAGACCCATTTTAGTCCGCTTGTTGTCTGTTACCCACACGTTTTCTTTTTTTAACTGCACTGCATACATGACGTACCTATACCTTCATTACCTTCATTATTTTAATAAGTGCCTTCGATGCACGGTCGTGACAAATGTAAAAAACAATTTTGTGTTTTGCTGGCTACTTATGAGACTCGTCCTTAAGCATAGATTGGCAGTGATAAACAATTTTGTTTTGCTGGCTACTTATGAGACTCGTCCTTAAGCATAGATTGGGTATAGTTTAACATGTTGCGTGCCAAATCGCTAAACCCGAGGACGCAGGTTTGATTCCCAGCCATGGTGGTAGCATTTCATCGGGAAAGAACTATTGAATCGGGTGCACTATCATGAGCAATATGAGTTCGAACGCGCGAGTGCATGGTCAAGAGCCTCAAAATACTGATAACGTGATACGAGGATGGCGCTGCCAAAACTGGAAGGAAAGAAGTACGCTCTTCCACTGACTGTTTGCACTCTCGCATCATCATACCCGCATGATCGTTGCTGTGAAACGGCAGTTTATCGCGCGCCTCCGGCCGCTAGCAATGATAACATGAAAATAAAAAAACACCGAGAACAAGGATGCGTGTCAAAATACTCGGCGAACACCATCTAGATGTAATAAAAGCACGGCCTGTGCATCGCGGCCGGGTATATGTCACAGCCGATGTTTTACAGCGAAAGCTGCTATGAGATCACAACTCGGATCACGCGCAGTAGCATTTTGTCCACCGCTGCTGCCGGTGTCCGTAACCACATCGCGTGAAATGAAAAAAAAACAACCTGCAGCAATGACACAGTGAGGCTTGAACCCGGGTCCGCTGGGTGCCAGCCCAATATTCTACCACTGAGTTACGCCGGTGCTTGTAACTTGTTGTAAAACTTGTCTTAGGCAGGCGTGACCTAGCACTAATGGCACAGTGGGGCTCGAACAAGGGTCCACTGGTGCCAGCCTGGTACTCTACCACTGAGTTACTCCAGCGCTTGTGACTTGCTGTCAAACTTGCCTTAGGCAGGCTTGATGTCGGGAAAGCAATCGCGTTAATACGACTTATAAAGCGTTTTACAACAGCGAAAGAACAACCAGTCATCGCACAATGCGATTAGCGTAACGAATGAGCCGTCCAATGCTCCAAACCATCACAAAAGCTTGTTCTTATTCCCCTTTTAACTGTGGTGCATACCCACTTCAGCCATATTTCCTCATCGTCGTCAGCCACTGCATGGACGATTGGCACAAAATTTCTTGCAAGTGTTTAGCGGATACCATGGTTCTCAGAAGAATGACGAAATATAGCATAGCGAATGCCGGCCTACTACCCAAGAGTTTATTGTTAATGCCCTAGTGGGTACTAAGCAAATGTGTTTGCAGTAGTTACCCAATGAGGGTTTTGAAAAGGCTCTGAAAGGCCGCTCTTCTAGCTTTCGCTGTGACTGTGCTTCGCCTACCGCGCAGGCCTGTCGTTTTTTTTTGTTTTTTTAAGGCGGTGGTTTTCGCTAACTGGCTGCACCTTTAGGTATTTTTATGTGACACACCACAGTCCTGCTGCGCTCCTTCATGCTTGTTGCATTCATGAAGGAAGAAAAAACAAGATGATTACGTCATGCAGCCAGCCTTGGTTATGCCAACGCTTCTAAGAGCCGGCAGTGTCGGCACAACACGTAACTTTTTACGTCAAGATCGCAGACGCAAAAAAAAAAAAATAATGAGATTTGCCAAGCAATTAGGTTTTGGCGCCCGGTAGCTTTTATTGAAAGCACGCTTGTTCTGCGAAGACTAAAGATACAGTATATTAAGCTATTTTTCGGTAGCATATATACGGCAGCTCCAGTGCAGACCCACTGGCTCGCCGAGGAGGTTCATTAACAGAAATCAACAGGGAGTACTGAAATCTATCGAGTGCGCTGATGCTTATCATCACGTGCTTGACCGACACAGCAGTCTCAAACCACATTGCGCAGTGTTCCTTATGGTTGCAGTGCTCAGTCTTCCCCGTTGTTGGTAGTCTGCGCTCTTTCCTGTCTCCCTTGTTTTTTTCTTCAAGTTTGTGCAGCAATTCAATTTTTCAAGTATGAACCAACTAGTCTGCAAAAAAGTATTGCTTCCCCGTCTTCCCCCTCCTACTCCCCTTGGAAATCGTGCTCGCGCGACACGTGGAAGACGGTGGTCGTGGTGGTGGTAAAAAACATTTATTTCAGAAAAAGTCTACCAGAGAGTGCCGACGTGGCCCATCGGCGTGCTAGAGTGACCAGACCCTATGGGTCTGGTCACTCTAGGTCTGGTCAGGATGGTGCGTGAGGCAGGGTGAGAGGCGGCCAAAGCTATGGCAACCTCTTTAGCGTGCGTTACTGTGTCTGCTCGAAAGGAGAGGCCATCGACGTGTTTGCCCTCTGTAATCACGGCCGCCGTGAAGTGACCCGAGGGGGAGGGACCCGAGACGTCCACGTAGAAAACACCAGGACGATCGGAATGTCGCGTATGAAGGGCCGCGGCACGTGCTAGTCTGCGGCCAGGATGGAGGTCAAGGTTCATATTACGGGGTAGAGGTTTCACCCATAGCTTTTGACGCCAGAGCTCTGGTACCGGCTGCAGAGAGTCTTGGTCAGATATCGGGTTAAGGCCAAGTCTGTGTAGTAGACGGCGCCCTGAAGGCGTCTGCGACAGTCGATTAATTTGGTTAACGCGATGAGCTTCGCGCATCCCTGCAAAGGTGTTGTGTACCCCCAGAGCCGCGAATCGGCTGTTGCAAGTTGCAATAGGTAGGTCCAGAGCGCGTTTGTATACCGAACGAAGAAGGACGTCCAGCTGGTGCTCGTGTCGACGACGCAGGCGAAGGTAAGGCAAGGCGTAGAGGACGCGACTGGTCACAAACGCGTGGGCTAATCGGAGGGACTGAGACCCGCGGAGGCCGCCGCGCTTGGTAGACACTCGCCGTATCATTCGGCTCACCTGTTCGCTGGTGCGTCTGAGGCCTGCTATTGTGCCCTTGGGAAGACGGAATAGATTCTCGTATACCCTCAATATAGCAAATTAGAAAATCACGTTGTTGACACCTACATTTATCTTTCTCCGTATTTCGATGTTATCTCACGTCCCTTAACATCATATCGTTGTTTTTGAGAGAGAGAGAGAGAGAGAGAGAGAGAGAGAGATAAAGATGCAAGGAAAGGTGGGGAGGGTTATTTTTTTAACGTAAGACACTAACACTGTTAACTTACCACAGTTGTCTTCTAAGGGGAAGGGAGGGGGCAAGTTTTATTTGGAACATGCACAATGTGCTGCCTTTACTTTTTGTTGGGTGATTTGGTGTACGCTCATAGTTGATTTTAAGGCGCGGAGAAACACAACCGCAAGAGAGATCACGACAGGTCCCGTGTCCGCTCTTGTGGTTGTGTTTTGTAGAGCTTTACCACCAATCATGCAGCCTTTCAATTTGTTGTTTATAGTGGCACATTGACATCGTTTTGGTTGTTCTCTGTGTGTCTCATTTGTTTTTATTTTTATTTTTTTCGTGCTCTAGATATTTCCGTCTTGCCTGGCGTTGGTCGCGAACGGGCCGTGCTGGTGTTGCTGGCGCTGGGCAATTTCTGCGTCGGCGCTAGCATTTCATTGCAAGCGCCCTTTTTCCCGCATGAGGTGAGTGCAGATGACGACATGGTTTCCCAGCAGTAGTACGAAAGGGACTGTTATAGTGTAAGGAAAGAGAGAGAAAACTAAGGCCAAGAAAAGCACTGAATAACAGTGTTGATGGTGGAGGGGGTATTTCGGCACGGGAGTATTTCGGCACGGGAGTATTTCGGCACGGGAGTATTTCGGCACGGGAGTATTTCGGCACGGGAGTATTTCGACAGGGGAGTATTTCGACAGGGGAGTATTTCGACAGGGGAGTATTTCGACAGGGGAGTATTTCGACAGGGGAGTATTTCGACAGGGGAGTATTTCGACAGGGGAGTATTTCGACAGGGGAGTATTTCGACAGGGGAGTATTTCGACAGGGGAGTAATTCTGCAAAAGAGTTTAAATAAAAGGAGTAATTTTAGCTCGTCAATGCCCAACTCTGACGTACTCGAATGCAGGTAGGGAGGACTTGACAGGCCAATAAATGACGAGCACGAGCGCTCGGTCGTGTTCATCATTCGGGATTTCAGGGCTTTTCCGATTGTGGCTGCTGCTCATTTTCACCATGAGCGAGAGTGTTAGACTGGAGCAGCACTGCTCCACTGCCTAAGCGAAATGGTGGATGATACAGCGTATGGAGACCGTGCGAATTGTGAGAGTTGTGTGCAGTGAATCACGTACACGTGTACGCACATTACGTGCGCATGTTCTACTGATACACCTCAGTTACATTACATGGCACAGGTGTTAGCTCTAGAGCGTGTATACGAATAAATACGTATCCAATAAGTGCATTACTAAAAACAACCGTTATTTGTTGGTCACGAGGTCACTTCGATCTGTTCCATGGCTTCATGGAATTTTCATCCCCAAGCGGGTTTGCCGTCTAATGCAGAGTGTGGCGTTAAGCGTCTGGCGCTTGCGCGAAAGCAAAGCTCGCCCAGATGAACGGTTGGCAACAACGTTGTAACTTATTAAAGCGCGGAGCACTGCTGTGCTATCATATACTGCCATCGTTTGCTGTCCCAGCTTGACCTAACGCAGGCAAAACGCCGAATGGCGCAGCCATGTAGCGTATCGAGTGCGCTTGCGCCAAGGCGAGTTCTTCTTCCTCTTGCTCGACGAGTGCATTGACGATAAGTGCAGAGCACTTGAAGGACCTGGGCTGTAATAAAAACAATAGAAAGAAATGGGAAGCAAGTGAGTAATAAAAAGCGAGTGAAATAAAGGGCAAAAAAGAAAGAGAAAGGGTGCACTCGCCCTTCTATCTGGTTCTAGCCTGATGAAGAAAGCCCCACAGACTTCGCGAGTTTGCTCAACAGCAAATCTAAGCAAGATACGGCTGTCCTTAATATCTTCAGTCATATTAGAACACCAGGGGCAGTGATTCACCTAGTGTGCGACTCTCGCAAATAGTTTGTGACTGGGACGGCTTTATGCTTTCCTTACTTTCCCATGGTAGAGTATCTAGTACTCTGAATTGTTCAACATTTATTCTAAACACGCTTGTTTTCCTTTTGTGACTGGTACGGCTTATTGCTCTCCCATAGCAGAGTACCACGTACTCTAAATTGTCACAGACTTATTCAAAACAAGCCAGTGATTTTTCAGTTGATGTCTAACTCTTGACCTGTTTGCGTGTCCCTCCCGTCTGTGTCTGTTCCTTTACATATGATATATTTCTCTGATATGTTATATTATGCATGCTTAATTAGTGGCTTCGAAAATATTGATGTATTACAGCTTATGCTCATCCACGTGTCAGTTGCAGTGGGGTACAATAGGTTTATGAAAACGGTGTGGTATCCATCAATAAAACATTTGTTGGAAGTGTAGTGCTGTGCGTCCCTTCGTTGTCCACACTGCGATAGTTTTCAAAATTTTCGCATGCCCGAATCATTTGTTACCCGACCGCATTGATTTCCGCTTTTTGTGTTTCCTTTCGCAGGCGGAGAGGAAAGGATCCAATTCCACCGAATATGGATTCGTCTTCAGCGTTTTCGAGCTCACCATATTTTTCTTCGGTCCTGTTTTCGCCAAAATTGTGAGTATTAAAACGGGATGGTTTCTAATAGGCAATAAAAGTGCGCGTTTCTTAAGGTTGCTGTAAGTGCTAAGCGCTTTCATTTTTCATCAAATCAGTGACAAACCCCCTGAAAGAAGCAATCATTTTTTTAGTCGACTTTGTCACTGTATACAAAAGAGGAGCAAGGCATGCAGGTTCATTGCACGTTAAGACGGCAATCAATGACGTAGAGTAAAATGGCATGAGCTACACGTGGGCAACTGAACGTTGTGAATATCAATAAAAGGACAGTCAAATAACAATTTACGTAAGAGTCAATGCTCAATGTATGACAATATCTAAAACGACAACATTATCAACAGCAGTACCCTACTTACCAAAAAATTAAGCTAAATGCATTAGAATACATCTGGCGCAGTAGGACATTCTCAAAATGATTCCGACGACCTCAGACGAACCACCTATAATTATACGCTAGCAATTGATCTAGCTGTACTGAAGAAGCTTCCGTGCAACAAGAGACGCAATAAAATTCTGCTTGTTCTGTTTTGTTTAATTCATGATAAAAGAACCGCCGGACGTTACTATGGGGAAATGGCGCGAGTGGTTCCGAAATTCAATATTCACTCGCATTCCCCGGAGACAGAGGACCCCGTTGCCTGCACATACACACCTTCGCACAGACGCATTCATTGAACGTACGGGCCCCTGTTGGAACGAAACTGGGCCCTGCTTTGAAAAAGTTTATTATTAAAAGACTCACGGGCGACGGCAACACCATAGAGCGCAAGTTGTCGAAGCAAGAAAAAAAAAGCTTCAACAGCATTCAGTCGCCGCCATTTTAGCCGCGTACATCGCCTTGTGTATTAACTTAACGACAACGTATGCAATGATCCCCACTGATCAGCACAATGTGCGCTACGCGCCTTTATTTCGATGAAACAACACGTCGAATGGAACATTGGCGTTTACATCAGCCACGATGAAAAGCACGGCGACGCGACACGCACATTTGGTGTTTAAGGCAGCACAAGAATCGAAATGCGCGAAGTCAATCTCAGATCGCTTCTCCATTCTTCGCTTTAAGTCGCATTGCCATGGTTACAGAAGACAGCGAATAAACGGGGCAGCGAAAGTTTCGTAAAAAAATTTCAGACAACCTCATGAAATGTGATTATTGCCCCTGGTTCGTTTTGTGAAACCACATAACAATCTGTCAATTTTTAACATTACAATAAATGCGCCATTGTTTGTTTAGTACAATCTTAGGTACCACGCAGAAACATCGCCTTCGAGAGATGGGCATTGCTTCTTCGTGGACTCCGAGATGAGCGGAGGGGGGGGGGGGTGAGTGAGATTTAAACAACTGATATATTGCAAAGCTGAGCCGGAAGTCACGTTTATTTATCGAGCTTTGGATTCTGTATTTCAACACCAATCAAGTACTGTAAGGTAATGCTTGAATGCGTGAAAATTATGTCCACTGTTTGGGAACTACTTACCTTGTAGCATGGAGGCATGAAGAATAAGGACAGTGATGACTCGCGGGTGGAGCCTATATTTATTCTTAAATTGTCAGTGACTATAGAAAAGGTGACGCCCCTGCGTCGCTTGCCCAATAACTACTTTATCAGACGAGTTGGAAAACATAAGTGACGCTAATCAGCATGAACGTTGTCATTTACTGCAGGTGCCGATCGTGAAGCCGAGGTTCATGTTAGTCTCGGGTCTATTCTACGTGGGTTCGGCGTGCGTACTTTTCGGGTAAGTCAAAGTCAAAAGTTGCCTTTTTAATTCAAACATTGTCTCTGTCGCTACGCCTTTTGCCACGAAGCATCAGGTCTGCAGTTCGATACCCACGTCAGCCACGACATATCGATAAGGGTGCTTTTGAGAAATTAGAATACTTATGTGTCAACGCTACGCTATATGTATACTCTTCTGTGACATCCGTCACACCCATTGCGTTTGAAATAGTAGTATTCTGGACAAGACCTCGCCCCGCCGCGGTGGTCTAGTGGCTAAGGTACTCGGCTGCTGACCCGCAGGGCGCGGGTTCGAATCCCGGCTGTGGCGGCTGCATTTCCGATGGAGGCGGAAATGTTGTAGGCCCGTGTGCTCAGATTTGGGTGCACGTTAAAGAACACCAGGTGGTCGAAATTTCCGGAGCCCTCCACTACAGCGTCTCTCATAATCATATGGTGGTTTGGGACGTTAATCCTTACATATCAATCAAATCAAAATCTGGACAAGACCTCATAATATTTTGTAGTATCTGAGATGATTGCATAAGCTACAATTATTATGCAATAAAAGATGAGCCACAGATATACCTGAGGCTCTTCTTAAAACATTTATATTAAAAAAAAAACACGCACAAGGCCAAGCTGAAAAGTAATGTCAAAGAAAGAATAAGCAAGGTATAAAAACAAGCTTTTTGTATAATAAACGTGAATATTAACTATATCATAATAAGTATAAATATTATTCAAGCGCACTGCTTAAGAGTTACTTGATGTTATAAGTAAAAAATATATGTTAAATGCGTTTGACGAATTGGGAGGGGCTGGGCTGCAGTGTAGTTCGGCGTCGGCACCTTCACTTTACATTCAGTTCCGGTGCTGTTTTGTCGTTTCTTCGGACTTGTTGAGGTGGGGACGATTCATTTAGGCGCATTACTATGCCTTAATAGCGGTTCATATGCATACACGTCTCTTTCCCTTCACATCCGCAAGGTTTTTGAACAAGTCTCCGCCGGGTGCCACATTTCTCAGCCTGGCCATCGCCACCAGAATCGCCGAGGGCATCGGCACCGCCGGATTCCAGACGGCCGTATTCTCCATAGTCGCCGCCGAGTTCCCACGTTCGCTGGCAACGTCTTACGTAAGCGCTGTATTAAATAGCGGCGAATCGTCACTAGCGTGGAGCACATTGCGAGGGTCTTTTTTCTTTTTAAATGACATTTCCTATTGATTCATCAACGTATACGTGCATCATCTTCATTACGCAGTCAACGAGCTTGTGAGTGTTTTGCAGTTAATTTATGCTGAACAGCCCTTCATACGGAAGGCGTGTGTGAACATTTTGCGCGAACTCAATTCAGGTGCAGCCTTTAATGTACTCGGGGACTGACTAAGGCTTTGCGAATGTCACTGTTGTGTTTGTAAATAATAATAATAATAATAATAATAATAATAATCATTAAATATTGATGATGATGATAATGCAATGTAGTGGACTGCACTGACATAGCAAAGTGCACGGGCTTGTAGCATTCAATCTCCATCAAAATGGGTGCACCGCGAATGCCATCGAAAACGCGCACTTGGGGTCGGCGAGTGAGCACCGGTGTCTGTCTTCTGTGTCTTATATTTTTACGTAACCCTATTCTCCCCCACCCTGCAGGCGTAACGATTTGAATGCGGCCTTGCACACTCCTTTACTGTCATTTCAATTTTTTTTTCGTCTTTCTTTCTCGTCCCTGCTCTCGTGTACTCGCGTTTTACTTCTCGTAAGAACATGAAAAGTGATGCATACCACTGCTGCTGGAATATCGATGAGAGCTTGACCCTTGCTATGGTTAGTCGTAAGTATAAAGCATTCAAGACTCTGGACTTGACAAGTCGTGGATAGACGTCTCTGTCTGTGCATTGAGTTCTTTCTCTGCTCTTACCCGCCAGCTGCTTGCATGCCTCAGTTTCCTTTTTTCTATCCCAGCGCCAGCTCTCTGAGCAACGCCACGGATGTGCCACTTTGTATATTCTCTCCAGAGGCCCATAGAAGTTATGGACTCGTATTTCGAAACGCGCTCCGATTTATCGACGTGTCCTTCGCAGAAGGAAGAAGTCCCTGGGGTAGTATTTAGGTGGATTACATGCATTTGACCTGTAAGCTTGTGCTTACGTGCACCGAACTGAGATGAGCCACAGGAATATATTTCCTAGAGACTAGAGAAACTGAATTGATGGAGTAGGGCAGTCAGAATACGCTGCAGCATGCTGTTAATACTTGGCCTGCGTGCTTTCTGTAGGCAGGCTTTTCCGCGGCTGGCGCACTCTTCTTGGCCGCTTACAGCGATTGCTACAGCTCATCTTACTGTATAAAACGAGATTTAGGCCACGTAAGGTATAGTTCGTGCGGAAGCGGCAACCAACACTTTATCACGAGGTGACCTCAATAACTCACAGGGTCCAACTCTCTCTCCCTCTCTCTCTCTCCTTTTTTTTTTACTCGGCAGATTGTGCTGATCCCCATACGAAAGCATTTTGTACTCATCTGGTTTTGCACAGCTCCGGGTAACAGTCCCCGAGTGAACAAACGTCGATGTCATAGGAAGACGTTAACATGTGGTGTCACGTTATGTGACATCATAGAGATATTATGATGGAGTCACAAATTTTGGCGATCTGCGGTGTCGCAGTGACGTCATGTGGTGCCGTCGTCACGTCATTGTGATTCCTTGGATCTCTCATGCTGATGCCGATGCTGCTGATGCTCCATTTCTTCTCGTTCGTCAAGACATCGAACTTTTTCATTTTAATAACGTGAAGTTAGCCTTTCCGATGAACTTTGTGCTACTTGGATGGAATGCATGGTTGACTACCTTGCCACGATGAAGCGTAATTATTTGAAGCACTAAAGAAATGGCTTATATTAGTGTTATCTCCAGATGATTATACTGCGTGGATTATGTGTGTAATGTGAACGTAGTACCGCAAGAAGGGGCCAGTTTGTGTGCCTCCTTTAACTTGCAAAAAGCTTATGTATACGCCTTATTCCGGCTTCGGAAGTACAATTTTCGTGACTCACTGTTTTGCATAGAATATACAGCTTAAAAGCAAGCTTCTCGGAGAGTGATTGCAGCAAATCTAAATTGCTCTATTGTCTTTGAGGATCAATGTTCAAAAGTCAATGTTAGAGCTGAAACTCGCATCACATATTCCATGCTCAAGCGATCCGGGGTACCAATAATTTTCAGCTAAAGTACTACACATCGTGGTGCTGTGGTATCGAAGATATGCCGTCGTGATGAAAGAGTGAAGGATGAGCAGCGGGGTATATATACTCACAAGCCCGGTTTACTACCCCACGCCGGAGAAAAGATGTCAGCTGCGTAGAGAAACTGCGTGCAATCGGTCACTGAAGCCTGCCGGCTTCAATAAACGTGTATGAAATCTGCATACCGCTTTCGCAGCAAGTAAAGCCTGTGAATATGGTCGTAGTGTTGTGTCACCAAGAAATATTTCTAATCGAAATGGTCTAGCGTGATACAAAGTTCAAAGAATTGGTTAACGCAATGTAATTGCGTTAACCAATTTCACAGGTGATTGGCACTTAGTATCTACCCAGGAACCACGAGAACACAGATGGACAATTTTAACCCGCGAGCGTTAAGAAATCCCTGACATCGGTAGCGTGGACCCAACGAATGCAAAGAATGAATGTCAGGGTCCCAGCTGGAATCAAACCCAAGCATTCTGCGTGGCAATGAAGCACTTTACCACAGAGCTACGCCAGGTCTCGGAACTACTTTTCAAATAGACACCAATCTTCGTGAAACGTCAATAGTAGTTGCAGTGCTGCCTACCCAATTTTGTAAACATTACATATGTACTCCTTTGATATAGCCATCACGCCGGGTTAACGTCAATTGTGGTTAGTCGCCATGCGCTGAAGTTGATTTACGTAGCAGTGTTCAGGGCCTGCATCCTCGCGAGCATCAGCGCTTCATATCAGCTTCTGGTGTTGCTAATACGCATGTTCCAGTTGACATTGTTGCGCAAGTAAGTGCAAAGAACTGGTTATATAAACATCTGTAACTCTTCAACATATCTCTGTGCGTGCAACATTTGTACATATATTTAGCGTGATTTCATGACGTGTCGTTCAACAAAAAAATTGCAACACGGTCACTTTCCCTCCGCATGCTTCGCATAACGTTCATTCCCAGAGATCTGCCGAATTTTTTTTTTCGTTAAGTGTGTCGCTTTCGATGATTCACCGTTCATCCAAGTAATATAAAAGGTTAAGAGATGACACTTCCATAGGCTCCTGCGGCTGATTTGTATTCGCAGCGCACCAAACGGGTGTGGGGAAACTTTGCAGCCTCAGAGATGGCAGACCGCAGAAAAGACTGTCCCACATCGTGGACTGTCCCAAATTCCATTTAGTAGTGACTAGAAATATTATACAGCCTCCGAAACCACTTCTACGTGCATGCTTGTCTCTGAGGCCATACTTTTTTAACGCGTCGTTCACATCCATCGATGAGCTTAGTGTAAGATGCACCGCGTAGAGCGGCAAGCATATGATGTCAATGTGTGCCTATGACCAAATTTAATTAAAACATGAGCATTATTCGAGGAGCCAAAACTTCTATTTTCAAGTGATATTGATACATGCATGCATACTGCGATTCTAGGGTAAGCACATGCCCACTTCGTTAATGTTCGATAAACGCAGGCACAAAGAGAGGTTCATTGCACTGTGAGACGCGAAAATACAGCTGCCAGTAATGATTATAAATAACACACAAAAATAAACATGTAGTAAACAATATAAGAAGAACCGCAGCAGAGTAAAACTGCAATAAACGCACGCAACTACACATAGAGTGCACAACACGACATGGCAGTAGTTGCCTCAACATTTGACTCGGGCATAAACCGAAAAAAAAAATGTCGGCTACGTTTTTTTTCTAATCTTCGCACTAATTTTCACCTACGCACTTTATCGCTCTTTCGTGAAAAACAGTCACAAACAGTTGCTGCAACAAAAACAAAGCAATGTTAGGCGTCAAGCAATTAAGCCGTTAACGAGGCAGGAGTGTTTACTCAAATATTACGCCCCAGCTTTAGCAAGCAATGATATTTCTAGATTCACCACTTCTCACTTATTGCGCTCGTTAGAGCTTCAAGCAATTCGCGAACGTCACAGATAACGATAATGAGCATAGCTGTACTTTTAACGAAATCTCACTCATGAAGTGGATTCGAATACATGTAGCGGCACAAGGAAAACCTAACAACGTGAGCGGCTACTCAATTTCTTGAGCCAAGAAACAATTTTCCCGCAAACGCGCTACGAAGCATTCCAAACAGTCTTCTTTGAAGCAATAGACAAAAGCAGGACGTGAAGTGATAAGCACAAAAAAGATCTCTGTGCCGAACAGCACAATGCCGAAAACGTTAGGTTAAGGCTTCAATGAAAAAATTGGCAGCATATCCACGGAGTGAATGATGGAGTGGGGCGAAGCATTCGTCCGTCCATTCGTTCTTGCTTCCGTCCATCCATGCGTCCGTCTGTGTGACCATCCATGCGTCCATCCGCCCGTCCGTGCGTCTGTCCCTGCGTCCGTCCATGCATCTGTCTGTGTGTCCGTTCGTCCAACTATTCAACACTCCAAGTACCACCATCTCGCATCTTTTGATCATATATTCCCCATATATAAGCACCGCCATCCAGTGGACATTCCAAGGACTAAACGAGAGGTGGCACACGCACACTTTCTTACGGCTTGCGCTTCGGGTCTACTTCCCACCTTTAACCACCTCGATTTCATTATATATGCTAGTTCACTGTATTCATGGCACTGCGGCCAAACGCTCGCTAACCCTTTCTAAAACCAAGGAGGTTACGTCCAGCGAGTATAACGTAGCAATCTTTTCCTGTCAGATAGTGTTCAATGTACATTCCGATGGCTGCTAATGGGAAATGAGAGACACGAGAATTCGGCTTTTACTTTCTTACGGCTTGCGCTTCGTATCTACTTCCCACCCTTAGCCACCTCGAATTCATGGTATCTACTGGTTCATTGTATTCATGGCACTGCGGCTCAACGCTCGCTAATCCTTTCTAAAACTAAGGAGGTTACACCAAGCGAGTATAATGTAGCAACCCCTTCTTGTCAGATCGTGCTCAATGTACATACCAACGGCTGCTAATGGGGCTCGCAGCGTGCGCAATAACTAAAAACCAAATGCTCCTGTCTCTCATTCCCCATTAGCAGCCATTGGCATGTACATTGAGCACTATTTTTCACTGTTCAACATCGCACAGAATAAATCTCTCACCGGCACCACCTTGAAGGTCAAAATGTTATACTTGTTACACACTACTACAACGGCTACGAGGGACAAACGGGTGTTGTTATAAAGAGCTTCGCCTCTATAAAGTATTGATGGCGTTCGTACCTAGCAGCAGCCAAGCTGAGAGGCCCACGAAACAAGCGAAGACCACGACGCACGCCGGGCACGTTATCGCACATCTTTTATGGCATCTCCCTGCTGCCGCCCGTACTTCCCCGCCTTAAATCCTCATGAACGCGGAGCGTGACAACGTTGCCGTTGCGTCGACGCCATGTGCACTTCTCTCGCATCCGATTCATGCCTGGTTCCAGCCCGACGATATCGCACCGTACAATCGCAGACGATACACGGATTCAGGCCAATATCACAGTCGCAAGACCGCGTAGACGTATAATGCCCTAGAAAAGGTACTGTAACTAGTGCGAGTGTTGTCTTGAAGCAGTGAGTGATGTGTTGCCATCTTACGGCTGCAGGGTGAAGCGGCGTAGCTCAGCCGTTTTTCGCCCCGAGTGACCACTCTTGTCATTTTCATGTTTCTCTATGGTTCATCGTTCACTTCAGGAGCCCAATCTGCTTACGCGTTCCACCAATCAAAGTTTCAGCGGTGACTCGTAAAGCTCGGAAAACTCTCGTGTCGCCGGAGGCCACTATGCGTCCCATTGCGAATTTTTCAACGATGGCTGTTGCGTGCTCCAGTGGCAGAGGCACGCAGTTTCACCAGCTGCTGCTGCTAGAAGAATAGCCCGAAAATCTGGGACTCCGCTGCAGGCGGCGACTCACTGACAGCTTGAATATTCAATGTTCCCATCGTCGTCTCCGTAGTGACGGGGCGCAACCAGGTCAGCGTCGGGAATGAAAGAGCTCTCGCCTTCTCTTCGGCCTGAAGAGATTTATCTGCGCCTCGCTTTTCACGCACGATATAGCTTTTCTGTCTGCCGGCGTTATTCACTCGACAATCACGCGCGCGCACTGACAAAAGGTAGCGCCGCACCTTCATCTCATCACTCCACCTCCTTCTGTAATCCCACTTCTCTGCAATGTTTGTCGTTATATGCCTCGTTCTATTCCGTGCTTTCGAGGGAGACGCTTGTTGCGTTCAAGAGGATACGGAAAGACAGTTCTCATAAAACGTTAGCTTTTCTTTTTCAATTTATTTCGGCTTGCAGCGGGTGACAGTAGCGCTGAATGATCAACGCCTATACGCTGGAGTTGTGTGTTTCCCCCCTCCCCGCCCCCCCCCCCTTTTTTTTTCACGGGCGTCTTTCTGAGGCAGTCAGTCGGTGACTGTTGACGGCGAGAAAGCATGTTTGAAAGGCTTTCCTAAAACCTGCTCTATAATCGTGTTTCTTTTGTCCATTCGGACAGTGGGAAAAAAACACCGAAACTCGCCAAGTGCGCATTGTCACCTATAGACAGAGAACGATGCTTGGAGGCACGCTAAAGGACGCGCATTGTCGCTGTCGAAAAGTGAACTCGATATTGTTCCTGGCGTGCGCCCTCAAATCAACTAACACGCACATCGCTTGCCGTACACGCTCCAGTTTTCGTTTCTCCACGTCTCTGCTCATTCTTTCCTTCACTCCTCAGTCTATATTGTCCCATTGTTTACAGACATGAAGCAGAGGTCCCCATGTGATGCTGTCTACTGCTGTTCGTGTGCGTCTTTTCGTTTTACTATTTGGACCCGTGTTTATACGGTAAAGTCCCATCAAGCGGGCTGCTCGTATTTCAATGCATAGTTTCTGCTCAGTTTGTACGTCCGCCTTGATGGAACAGGGGCTAGGTCGTGGGTTTGATCTCGGCCGTGGTGGTCACATTACGGTCGAGGCGAAATGGTACAGGCCCCTATACTGCGCGATGTCAGCGCACGTTAAAGAACCCCAGATGGTCAAAACGTTCAAAGCCCTCCACAATGGCGTCTTTCATGATCATATGGTGGTTTTGAAACGTAAAACCCCGGGTATTATTATACAGTTCATGCAGGAAGTGGTTCATTTCTATAGTCTTCGCGATGATATAGTTCGTGGTGTCGAAATCCCTGCCACGGCGATCGCATTTCGATGAGAGTCGAATGTTAAGGGCCCGTGTACTTCACTTTATGTGCACGTTTAGAGCCACAGGTGGTCGAAATTTCCAGTGCCCTCTACTACGGCGTCTCCCGTGATCATAGAAGGCTCATTGGTCGCGAAACCCGACAAGTATTATTTCCATGTTAACAACTGTCAATTCAAACAGCCACCGAGTTTTTTTACGTGTTGGTTAATGAATGTAAAAAACGTCGTTTGTCTGACTGGGTGCATTACATTTTCAGTCAAGCGGAAGTTACGCTTTGTGGAAGTGCAATAAAGCGTTTTTATAACCAACGAACGCCCCTTTCTGCGCTGCACATCTGTCCAACTAACGAAGGCAGCTGCAGCGCTTCAAGTGGAAATGAGGTCGTAGTTGCTCGTGCTGGTGCTTGTAAATCACGTGTGTTGATATCAAGAGAGCTGAACCTGCGTTTTGCGCGTCATATCGCAAGCAGACTGTGCTTGAACACGGTGCTTGCAAAACTGACTAGTCGTCTATAATTGGGCTAACTGCATCGCTGGAAAGCTGTAGCTTTACAATAGGAAAAAGTGTCCATTAGTCGGAGTAAGCTTTTCATTAAGCGAAAATGGCCTTATATAGTCGGATGAACATGGCGATGGCGTACATTATTTCAATCAAGTTTTTCACAAGGGCGTTGGTACAAGATACACAATCAAGAAAATAAAAGTGGAAGGTACGTGGAGCCGCACTGAAAGGGCAGTCACTTTTGAATTATTATATCTCACTTTTTTTTTCAGCACCCTTGTGTTTATTTACACTCTTTTTCCCTTCGCCTTTTTTCTAATCAAATCTTACGAAGTCAGGTGTCAAGCGCTTCACACAATGAGTAAAGAAGCGAGATATACTTGGAGTATTACCTGTGACCCCGCTGCACGTTAAGTCGCAGCTCAGTATTGTATTCAAATGTAAGTGCACCTATACATCGCAACACGGTCCACCGTTGTGTATCGGTAACGAAAGGTGATCGGCTGCTGATCCGAAGGTCGCAGGTTCGATGCCGGCCGAGGAAGTCGCATTTCGATAGAGGTCGGAAATGGTAAAGGCCCGTGTACTGTGTGGTGGTCTCGGTGCACGTTGGGGAACAGCAGATGATCGAAATTTCTGAGGCCCTCCTCAATACAGCGTCTCGTAATCGTATCAGGGTTCTGGGACGTACAACCCTGGATAGCATTATTATTATTCTTATTATTATTATTATTATTATTATTATTATTATTATTATTATTATTATTATTATTATTATTATTATTATTATTATTATTATTATTATTATTATTATTACATTGAAACATGACCTTGAGTTTAAGCTGTTGTCGTACGCATTTCCTGCCAAATCCAGCCAAGCCGTCTTTAAAATGAATTTCCCAGTTGATAACTTCGTACTGACATTCAATAAGTGCTAATCGAGCCAAAAAAAAAATTGTGGTCAGCTTGTTTCTATTTGAAGATAAGCAATCGCGCACTTTTCAAATGCCGTATTAAGGCTGCTTTTTAAGCTATCTTGTTGCCTGTACAAATGATTCGCGAAACATTTCTAACGCTGATTGAGAAACGTGTATGAATAGGGCATGCAACGTTTACTGTTTGCTGTGTTCTATTGGTGCATCTCTTTTTGACAGTTGCTGAAACACATGAGCGCTATATTGATTTGGCCCTTCGCATACATTTTTTGTCACAGTCAATCCAGCAAACGGTATTCGGCGCTGGTCTCGTCGCTGGTCCAACTGTAGGTGGTTGCCTTTATCAGGTGTGTATTTATTTATTTATTTTATTTGTATTCTTCTGCCCCGTCTAAGCAGTTCCAGTGGAGCACTTACTTCTAAATATGTATTTCAAATGCTAGGAACATTTCAGAAGTCTTCTAAAAAAGTAATACTCCCACAAAGTTTTGTTTCTGGTTGAAAGGTAGTTATATCAGATATTATATCGTAACATAGCTTTCGTTATTTTAAAGTCCAATTACCCTTCAGGATAACTAACGAAAATTAATTTGTCTAGTTAATTACGACAGCCGATGGTTCCGTTGTGAGCAGCTGGTGTGATCACGGCACTGGTGTGGAGCACATCTGAACCACGTGGTCCTTTCTGCGTGGCCTCTGAGATTTGTTTCCATGAAGCATAGGCAGACCTATGTCACCATCATCATCATGGGTTCATCATAACCTATGAACGTTGACGCGTGAGAGCCATTACTCGAGAGTCACAGATGAGGGTCTCCTATAATTTTCAGTTTCTTCAGTTACTTATTGATTAGGTGCCTAAATGTCACATCTAGGGCGAGAAATGATGACTCTTTTCTAACTCCCAGATTGGAGGATTCATGGCGCCTTTCGTCAGCATAGGCATCCTCCTGCTTGTATGTGACGTTCTCATCTATTTTCTGATGCCAGCCACCGGTAAGTGTTGATTCGTTTGCTGACACATAATATTGAAATTAAACATAGATGCAACAAAGAAATCACCCTTCATCACTTTAGTAAACGCGAAGAAGAGGCGATGTTTCGCCATGAGTAAAGTCGTATATCCAGAATCCATATAGATATAAAAATGACTATTACAGCACGAACAATATAAATATAAGCAATGCCTGCTTATATAAATCTAAATATAAGCAAAACTATGCCTGGAACGCGGCTCTCTCTTCAATTGAGACCTTGCTGCCAGCACAAAATCTTGGAGGCCGTGCCTCCTACCGCGTGTTGCGACCGTCCGCCGCGTGGGACCGCTCGCCTCCGTACCGCTCAGTCACGTGACATTACCGTACCGCTCTGCCACGTGAAATCACGGCTGCTCGGAGGCAACTGTGAGAGCATTGCTGTGCTCGCCGGGGGCGACAGCCAAAGGCGTTCGCCTCTGTACCGGAGGGGGAGGGTAAAATCAGAGGGTAGGGCGGCGCGTTCGCGGCTCACATTCTAGGCATAATTTTTTCTATGAGGCGTTGATATAAGGTACGAAAGTATAATAACAAATAAAAGCAACGAAACTCCTACAGACGTCAATAATCGATTAGTCAAACACTTGTAAAACAGGTCCGCAGATCACACACAAAAATGAAAAGCAATTAAACATCAAGAATAACGCAATAAAACTTCAAGCAGGTTCACCGACTTTCTTTCGCGAAGATAGGTTAAACAGTGAAACTGAGGGCATTTCATATTGCTATTTCATTACTTGACTTTGCTCTGTGGCAATTTTGGCATCATCTGCTCTACTTAACCAGCGTTCGCGACGTTAAGTCAGTGAACCTTCTTCGGATACAAGTTTATAACATTTAAAGCACTAGAGGGCAGTAATGTGGCTCGCCCAGTTTCTGTGGCACGTACCCCATTAATCTTATACCCATATGTCGCATCACATGTCACCGCCATAGCTTTGTTGCACACATATACCTCACACTTCGATACCATACGTGATTTGAAGCCTCTGTACAGCCGTAATAGAACTACATCTTACCATCGGTATACTATAGTCTACGCTACCACCACACCACCAGTCCGGGTGCTCATGGGACACTCATGACCTCTGTGCGACAAGAGAGAAAGACAGAACTTTGTACATGTAACTGATTTGCTATCCTGTACAGGGTGGGAAAATAGGGGTTGTGAAGAGGACAGAGAGAGAGAGAGATAAAGTGGAAGGCTGGAAGTTAAGCAGATATTAGCATCTGGTTTGCCACCTAGCACGTCGGGGTGGGGAACAAGGTCAAGAAAGAGGGTGTAAGGAGAGAAAGAAAAAAAAACAAAAAAAAAACAAAGCGCATGTGACACAGGAGAAAACGACACACACGCACACATGAAGAGCGTTCCGGCTACAAAAGTTCAGAGAGACCAGGCTGGTCGATCGCAAAAAGCGCACTAGTGCTTGCAAGATCTTCTGCGACGTGCATTCTGACGATCGTGTGAAATTATTTCCTACGGCAGAGATTTGTCATCTAATTTTTTAGGAACGTTGAAAAGGTGTAGTCGCTGCGCGATATACTGTCAGCAGTCAGAAAAAATATGTCTAATAATTCCTTTGTTGCCACAGTAATCACAGGTGGTGGTATCGGCCATCCCGATGTGGAAAGCGTAGGTGTTGGTAAACGCAACGCCCAACCATGCCTGCTAAAAATAGTCGCGTCTGCTCACCAAAGCTTCCACAGGACTTCAAGACTTAGCGTACATATGGTAAGACGAGTGTAGTCGGGCATGCTTGACGTGAGGCTGATTTTATTGGGACGTGGTGCGTTGATGAGCAAACCAGCGGAGCTTCGGTGCAGCATCGGCCCTAGAAAGTGGCAGTTTATAGTACTTCAAGGTCGTCTGCGTGGGCTGAGCAGGCAGCTTGATCGGCTCGTTCATTGCCGATGATTTCGCAGTGACTGGGTAACAATTGAAATGTAATTTGCTGCCATTGCTCACTTAGGTAGTGTGTGAGCTCCACTGTCTCTCTTACCAGCTGCTCATGCGATCCGCGACGAAAGATTGACAGTAGACAGCAGTGCCGCCTTCGATTCACAGAAAATAGTCCACTTGTATGTTGGTTGAACAATGACCAATTGTAATGCTCTGCAAAGGGCTGCCAATTCTGGTGCCGTTGATGTTGTTGTGTGAGCTGTCTTGAATTTATTCATCATGACCAATTTTGGTATCATAAGTGAGCTGGTTGAGCTGTTCGGCAGAGCGGATCCATCATTGTACACGTGTATGAAGTCTCTGTACTTCTCATACAAGAGAAATGATGAGAGCTGCATTCTGATGACAACAAACAGCCTTTTTTTAGGCGACCGGTATGGTATTTGGTTGAGCGAGGCACCATGGAGAAGTCCGAGGTCTAGCGGCAGGAGTGAAGGAAGTTGGTATCTGCTCGCCATGAGCAGTCACTGCTTGACAGTAAGATGTGCGTGGTCGGTCAGCTGGTAGAGAGGCTAAGTGATGGCGGGGACTTTGAGCAAGGTGTCGCGTATGTGTCCTCAGCCCTTCAACATCAATTTCAGTCTTGATGAGGTGGACTTGCAATTTGAGTCTTGCGATAGATATAGTTGCCACTGTTGATGCACTTGGAGGCAAGCCGAGACAGATCAGGAGTGCTCGAGTCTGAACACTTTGAATCGTCCGTAAGTTTCTTTTACTTGCGTTGGTCAACGCAGGCAAGTTATACCGAAGGAATCAAAGAAAAAGAACCCTGTATAGTCGCAACATAGCCACTGAGGACATTCCCCATCTCTTTCCAACGAAGAACATGAACAGATTACAGATGCCCGTCAACCGCTTTTTCGTGTATAATACATGAGGACTCCATGAGACGTCTTGGTCACTAATTACAGCAATGAACCTGTATGATCAGAGGTGAGGTTTCCTTTCGCCGTTTATCATTACGCAGTAGCTCTCTGTTGGTTTGTGCGTAAATGCCACAAATTCACATTTCTCGGAGGACATTTCCAGACCTCATTTACGCAGGTAAATTTTTACGCAGCTTAAGTGGCAGCTCTCAGAATTTGTGCTTGCAGCCGCAGACGTGTTACTACAGACGTCCAAACGCAGCAGTCGTCCACGTACTATAATAATGTGACTGTGCTTGGCAGGTGTTCATGAAGATCTATTCGCATCAGGTTGAAGAACCCAGGACTCAATACGCAGCCCTGGGGAACACGACGGTAACTGTAATGTAGCGAAGTGGTGCCGTCCTTGGTTTTTAAGAAAAAGGATTGACGTTGCCATACACACCTTTAACATGAAGGAATAAAAAAAGTGTACATACGCTTACGACCTTTTCCGTGTTGTACGTAGGTGACCAGGTCGACGACGCCGTCAATTGATGACCGACCACGGCGAAACCTTGTTATATCATCTGGGTAGATGTTTTGAGGCTCCAGGTACCATTCTAGACGTCCTTGGACCACCCTCTCTATTATTCTGTCATACAACTATAGCCAATGCAATTGGGCGGTACGATGTGAGCACCAATGGTGACTTTTCCCGCAGGTCGCGTGATCGAATCCCGTCTGTGGCGGCTACATTTTCGATGGAGGCAAAAATGCTGTAGCCCCGTGTGTTCGGATTTGGGTGCACTTTAAAGAATTCCAGGAGGTCAAAATTTTCGGAGCCCTCCACTTCGGCGGCTCTCAATCATATGGTGAACTTGGGATGTTAAACCTTACATATCAATCAATCAATGGTGACTTTCCAAGCTTCAGTAATGGATCCAGACGACTAGTCTTCCAGTTCACTGGGAGGGTGCTCTCTCACCAGCATTCGTTTTATAACTCGAAATCAAAAATTTTTATATTTCCATAAAATCAAGATAATGCAATTTAATATAAAGGAGGAGGTCCCGGAGTCCGAGACTAAATTGGGACCTCCTGTACAGGAGAGAAATTCTCGCATGCTCGCCAAGGTGACTCTATGCTCTGAAAATTCCACTAGGATCGGGCGCCGACGTCTTTCTACACAAAGCCCGTCTTGTTTTAAGCGCATGAATTGAAAAAAAAAAGGTAGGTCCATGCGGTGATAACGTGATTTCAGACTGTCACGTGAGGGCATGCAGTTTTTGTGATCTGTCAGCTGACGAGATAATTTGGAACCACTTTTCTGCCACGTAGACTTCTGAGCGCTGTTGAGACAGGGCTAAAGCCTTGAATGGAAGCCGATGGAGCCTGGTTAATCTAATATGTCGTCCTTTAAGGTGGGTTATTCTTTTGTATTTTTGAGTCATTGCCAAAAATCCTTCATTCACCGTAAAACTCTAAGACTGCGACCACTTTACAATGTGTGGTTATGGACGCATGTTAGCAATAAAATGGGAATGCTAAGAACTTTCATCAATGCTAGCATAAAAAAATGTGAATACTAAGAACCTTAATCAATGCTGGTCATGCTATGTGGCGTTGAGTATCTCTCTATTGTGCTACCAACATCAAGTGATGTCGAATCTGGTGCTAGGCGAATTTTGCTCTTAGCACACACCGTTTTTTCTTTTTCTTTTTTGCAAAACACAGTGCGACGACATTATTACACTGGCTTTGTTATGTTCATCCTTAGTTATTGCTATTAAACACGTTATTATTCATTTACACCTCTAATAAATATTTCATTATTTAACAAAACATAAATTGCGCTATGGAATGTTTTTGGACAACAAAAATTCAACTGCTGTTCTTGCTGAAGTCTTCGTGATGTCCTTACGACTAAGGGGGCTTCTTGGCCTACAGAAGTACCTTCTCTGGTATATAAACCTTACAGAAGCATTTCCCTGTTCTAGACAAGTTATGAGGGCAGAGTACAACTGCAAGTTACTAGCGACTAGTTAATATACATATAGTTACACCAACTAATCAGCCACTTATCCTGCACAATGCAGAGGGACCTAACGAGCTGAACCAGAAGATGGGAGACATGCTCAAGTTCTGGGGAAACACCGGCATTATTCTAGATGCGTACTGCGTCTTCTGCACGTTCGTGATCATCGGTTACAATGCGGCCGTCCTCGAGCCTCACCTCAGACAGGTACGTTTTATCTTCTCAGTAATCTCCACGGTATTTGTCGCTACGTTCTATCACTAAAGCTTACGGGTCAAAGCATGCATGACCGGCAGCTATAGCACCCGTAGTCATTTTAGGATAGCTTTAAGCGGCCAGTGTTACGCGCACCAACTTAAGGGGCTATAGCCTAGCGGCATGGTGTCCACAAGGAACTGAAGCAATTAAGGAGTGACTTAGAAGGCGATAAGAGCGGTGCCCAGTTACGATATTGCGTTCTGCTCTTAAAGGTGAAGCAGAATCATCCTTCTATTTTGTTGTCAGGTACAGTTTTCAACCTCGTGCACGAAAAAACGTTGTAGAAACTCGCCGGCTTCCTTAAACATTCGCCTGAGGTTACTCGGAGCTATAGGTGAAAGTCGCCATCTCTTACTCCTTCTCAGTCAAACGTATTGAGCTTTCCTCCCTCGACAAAAAAGCTTTTGCGCCCCGCGTGCCTTTGAAGCGTTGCCTCCGAGAGTGTCCCAACTTCACCAAGTGATGTGACGAGATAATTTCATCACATGACGTCATGTTAAGTGACGCATTACAGCGACGCCATGCGACCGCGTCCTGATGATATCACAATGTCTCCCATCTGTGACGTCACAATGTCGCATGTTGTGGTCATGAGGCCAGAATGCGTGATCACGTGGCTTTTTTGTATCATTTATGTTGACGCCGACGGTCACTTTCCGCGTGCAAAGAGGCGCTTAAGGTTTCTGCTTTAACAAACAATAGATAATGTTCACCTCACTACGCCGCATACAGAATATCTACAGCTACAGAATATCTACTAAACAGTGACCAAAGCTATCGAAGAGCTTTTTTAGAGCCCATGAAGGTCTCGTACATCAAGATATACACAACGACCAATCAAATCAAGTTAAGACGGTTTTCATTATAATTCATTGTCCGGAATATTGATAAGACCAACGTCAATTACAGCTCATTATGGTGTCTCAAATGTTTCAAAAGGAAGCTCAAAGGTAGAAAATATGTGACTATTCTTGTCAATATCGTAAAAACGAACAAAACAAAAATACTTTCATCAACTGCAACGTTTTTTTTTTTACACTGCAAGTGCGCAATATTTATAAACACATACTCCCATAAACACATTCTCCCCTAATTGTGATATTTCTGTTCTGTAGGCTAACGCTATAATATCTAAAGCATACTTTTTGTGCAAACATAAAGCTTTTAAAATATGCTAACGGATGTAGCCCACTACAAGCGCGTATGCTTGCTAATAAAAAATGCAATGTGCTAGCGAAAATGCGTTCTCTTGCGCCTTCCATATTGGTTACGTATCGCTTGACTGGTTTAGTGTATGTCACTATTGTTACAGTTCAATCTGGAGCCGTACATGGTTGGTTTGGTGTTCGTGCTCAATGGCATTGTGTACGCCTGCACTGCCTGGATTTGGGGAAAGGTTGCTGACAAAACGGTAAGTATTCTGTCCATTTCTTTTTTTTTTACGGAAAGGTCTAATCTAACGTGATTGAAGACAACTCATATTTCCTAACATTCGCTTTGTAAGTAACTCACTCAACCGCGTAGGTCACTGTATGGGGACGTTGCGGCCATTCCAATATACAACGGATCTAGCTTTTGAGACGCAGCTCTGAGGCGCCTGGTGCTTCGTAGTAGTCCTTCGTAGTGCATCGCCGTAACAATATATCTCCCGACTCGCAAACCTCCAGTCATGCGATGTCCTTCTTCTTTTACTGAAGTCAGCTGTATTCATTTCCATTCGTTCGTAATTGCAATTCAGTTGAAAGTAACAGATGTCTCTTATACTTGTCCCTTATGTCCCTTTTGTTTTCCCTGTAAAAATACGCTGACCTCGCCTTCTTACGTTTACGAACATAACCTTATAAGTTGTAATTGCTGCTCTTTCAACTTGCAGGTTCGCACCAAAGAGCTCTGCATTGTGGCCTGCCTCATGCTGTGTGCGAGCCTGCTATTGCTCGGACCTGCACCATTTCTTCCATTTCCAACGTACGTATTTATTTAAAATGTTTTATTGCCATCCAATTTCACTACCCGCACAGTTTCTGAAACTTAAAAAAAGAGGGGGGGATGTCAAATTGAAAAGCGACCGACCTAAAGACTACAAACAATGGATATCAGAAGACACATTCTGCAAGCCGCTTCAGCAGCACTTGTGAGACGGAGAGTCAGTTTTTTTTTTTTCGTTTAATGAGACTAATATAGGCAGATTATGGTGCTTTGTGGGGACAACGGCTGTTCCATTGCTCCTCCGTGCGCTGTATGCAACATTCTGAAAAAAAATTATGCATTTAAGCATTCAAAAAGAGAGGGAGAGAGAGAAACGAGAAAAAAGGTAAGGCAGGGAGGTTAACCAGATGCTAGTATCCGGTATGGTACCCTACACTGTGGTCGGGAAATAGGGGGTTGAAAGAGAAAGGGAGAGTTAAAAAATAAATAAGAGAAAAACACCGACACACACGCACACACAAAATCAGTCCACTCAGAGGCGTTCCGACAGGCCAGTAGTTCGTAAGAAGCCCAGTAGCGCTTGCACGGCTTTCTTCTGTGACGATGAGTCATGACGATGGCGCAGTATACTTTCTTCTGAAAGCGGCTGGTCATATAACCTGTTTAGTTTATTAGAAAGGTGTTGTCTTTCCTCGTCGCCTCGTCGAATTTTTGTTGGAAGCTGCATGCTTAACGTTGGATCAAGGGATTGTAATCTTGCATGCGTAAAGACAGGCTCATTCCAAAGAGCCACGGAGCGTTGGCGAGCAAGAATGCGGAGCCTCCTAGCAGCGTCCGTCCTTGAGAGAGGTATTGACTGGTCGTTGTCTTCTGTATGGGCTGATCGGGCAGCTTGATCAGCTCGTTCGTTACCGATAATTCCACAGTGTCTTGGCAACCACTGAAATATAACGTGGTGCCCTTTCTCCGTTATATGGTGTAGCATTTCTTCTGTTTCAAATACCAACTGCTCGTGTGGACCACGGCGTAGATTTGACAGAAGTGACTTGCAGTTGCAGTTGCAGAAAATCGTCCACCGTTGCGTGCTTTGGTCGTTAATGAAACGCAGTGCAGCGCGAAGCGCTGCAAGCTCTGCTGCCGTTGTTGCGGTTGCATGAGCTGTCCTGAATTTGATGGTTGCGGCGTGCGTTAGAATAACGACCGCTGCTGTTGAGCTGTTTGGCAGGACGGAGCCGTCGGTGTAGACGTGGGTGCAGTCTTGGTACTTCTCGTACAGCAGAAGTAAGGCGAGCTACTTGAGGGCTGGTATTGAGAAAGCTCGTTTTTTCTGGATGCCTGGTATTGTCAGGTTGATGACTGGCTGTTTGAGGCCCCACGGAGAAATTGAAGGTCTCGCCGTGGGCGTAAAACCAGTTGGTAGGGAGTCACCATGTGTAGTTATTGTTCGACAAAAGGAAGAATGAGGTCTATCCACTAGTAGAGAGGCTAGGTAGTGATGGGGAGTCCGGCCCACATGCCTTATGTGTGTCCTCAAAGCTTCAATTTCAATATGGGTCTGCACGAGGTGGTCTTTGGCTATAGCTATAGTCGCCATTGTTGAGGCATCCTGAGGCAGACCTAGACATATTCGAAGCGCCTGTGCCTGAACGCTTTGTATCATGCGTCGACTTGTTTTGCTGGCGTTTGATAATGCAGGAAGACTGTATCGTAAAAAGCCAAGGAAAAGCACCCTGTACAGTCGTAACATAGCATTAGGCTGCATTCCCCAAGTCTTTCCAGCGAGAAACTTGAAAAGATGACATATGCCTGTCAATCGCTTTTTCAAATACGACACATGAGGGCTCCATGATATGTCTCTGTCGACTATGACACCCAGAAAATTGTGAGATCGACGATATGGTATATTTTGACCGTTAATTAACACTCTGTAATTCGACATGGGTTTGCGCGTAAATGCCAGAAGAGCGCACATTCCGGAGGAAATTTCCAGGCCTCGATTGCGTAGATACAAAGTAGTTGCAGTAGCAGCTCTCTGTATTCTCGCTCGTAATTGCAGGTGAGTTACCGCAGATGTCCAGATGAAGATGTCATCAGCGTATGCTGATAGATAAATATTGTTTGGTAGGTGCGTATTGAGAGCGATTAGTGTTATATTGAATAGCACGTGACTCAGTACACCACCCTGAGGGACGCCACGACAACTGAAATGTGTAGACGTGTTCCCGGTCTCTGTAATCACAAAATAGGATCGCATTTGGCGATAACTACGTATCCACTTAAACATTCGGCCACCCACTCCAATCTCTTCTAGTGCGGTAAGGACGGCTTCATGTGTAACGTTATCATAGGCTCCTTTGACGTCAAGGAACAGAGAGGCGCAAAGACGCTTATGGCCTTTCTCGTGTTCAACGTACGTGATTAGGTCGATGACGCTATCGATCGATGATCGACCACGTCGAAAGCCAGCCATGGCATTTCAGTAGATTTCATGATACTCCAAGTACCACTCGAGTCGGCCGAGAATCATTCTCTCCATCACTTTACCCACGCAACTAGCCAATGCGATCGGGCGATAGGAGGAGAGTTCCAATGATGATTTGCCAGGTTTTAGTAATGGTACTAGACGACTAGTTTTCCAACTTAAGGGGACAGTGCCCTCTAGCCAACAATTATTATATAGCTGAAATAGAGCTATTCTCGCGCGCTCACCCAGATGACACAGGGCTCTGTAGGAGATTCCGTCAGGTCCTGGTGCGGAGGTCCGTTTGCATGAAGCGAGTGCTGCTTTGAGCTCCTGAATGGTGAACGGGAAGTCCATACAGGAGTCACGTGGTGGCGGACAACTGCTCGAAAGTGGTGAGCTGCTGATGGCTGGAGTTTGCCCTGATAATCCGGCACAGTACTCTTCAGCAACGTCTACATCTGGTCGATTTTGGTGAAGGGCTAAGGCCTTGAATGGTGACTTCTGAATGGGCGATGACCGCAAACCTCTAACCGTCCTCCATATCTGCGATAAAGGCTTACGAGGGTCGAGTGACTCGCAGAAAGTAATCCAGCGTTGGAATTCTAGCTTGTCCTACCGACGTTTGATCTTCTGCATACGTCTAGCAGTCCGTAAATCTTCTATGTCCTTCGTGCTCCGGTACCTTCTTTCAGCTCGTCGTCGCAAGGCTCGAAGCCGCTCCAGCTCTATGTCGATGTCCGTGATTCTTACAGGGCATGGGATCGTACACACAGTCTCTTTTACAGTACTCTTGATGGCCTCTTGTAAATCGGAAATGTGTTCTTGGCATTAGTCTTCCATACGGGACTGAAATTTTTTCCAGTCCACCCTTTTAACCATGTCGCGCACTTTAGGAGGCGACAATCCTCTGATCTTGACGTATGTTGGAATGTAATCACTCCCGTGCGTTTCTATATCCGTGAACCGTTCAGTATGTTTCACTAGGCTTCGCGAAACAAAAGCCAAGTCGAGACAGCTACTGTATGTGGAGCCACGTAAAAATGTAGGACTGCCATCGTTCAGTAACCAAAGTTGGTTCTCGGAGGCAAAAGACACCAAGCTTCTGCCCTTCATATTGGTATTCTGACTTCCCCATAATGTATGATGAGCGTTAAAATCCCCAATGATAACACAAGGGTCAGGAGTTAACGCTATGATGTCTCGTAGTCTTTTTTGATCGAAACGGCTTGATGGTGATAGGTATGCGCCAACCACAGTAATGTTGAGCCTCCTCTTTTTCACTCTTAAGAATACGTATTGGTTTCCGTCATGAGGTGGTACAGGTTGAAGGATGTAAGTTACGTCTCCGCGAATGTACACCAGAACCTTACTGCTTTCAGTAGCGGTAGACGACATAAAAGGTTCGTATCCCGAGAGTCGTATTGCACTCGATAAGTTCGGCTCGCAAATGACGATTACGGGAAACATATCGACGTACACAAATCGACGAAAGTCACCAATGCGCGATCTCAGCCCCCGGCATTCCACTGCTTTACGAACCTCATCCCTGAAAGACAGTGGCGGGTTAGCCATGGTCTACTCTAGGGCTGCTAGCACTGGACTAAGCGCGTCCAGTACTTGAAGGGCACTTTTGGCTGACGGTGTATTCATGTCGCTTAACAACATGCGAATGGTGTCCACTAATGATCTTAGCATCACCATCACGCGATAATCTGGCTTCCCGGCCGTTGCAGCATTTTGTGCTTGTTCTTGAGACGGCTTCTGTTGAGACTCAACAGGTCGTGTAGGCGGCTTCTGTTGAGGCTCAACAGATCGTCTAGGCTGAAGGGGTGGCCATTCCTTTGGAGAGAGAGAGATCTTCCAGCATCTTCTCTTTCAGCGCAGGTGTTTGCCGTGCTAGGAGCCGCGCTTGTCGATTTCACTTGAGTTTCTGACTTTCTCGTTAGATTTTGCACTGTCCTTCGTGAGGACCTTCGACGATGACGGCGCCTTCGCCTTACTTTTTGTGCAGCTTCTCTGCGAGTCGAGTTGTCTCGCACCATTTGCCTCAGAATATAAATCTTTCTTAATCTGAGGACAGTCCTTGGAGGAAGCACTGTGAGCTCCTTGGCAGTTGGAGCATTTCAACGTAGTTGCATTACAGTCGTCTTCTGAGTGGTGTTCAGCGCATCGGGGGCACACTTCAGAATTTCTACAAACGCCCTTCACGTGGCCAATCTTCTGGCACTTGAAACACTGCATAGGCTTCGGAATAAATGGGCGAACCTGGTGACGGAAATGGCCAACCTTCACGTAAGAGGGAAAACAGTCACCCTTGAATGTTAGTCGCACACAACGAGAGTTGCCTAGGCGACCAGCATGCACAATGACGTTGTTTTCACTCACTGGTTTTATCAGTACAGGAAGATCTTCATTGGCGATTTCAGTGTCTATGTCATAGATAACTCCTGTTACGGTGTCACCATTCACTGGTATGATGGATCGAACTTTGATGTTTCCCAGCTCTGACACATGCTGTAGCGTGTTCAGTGCACTCGGGTTCCTCACGTCGATTGCCAAAATATTCTTCCTCGTGTTTATCCTGATGTCCTTAATCTTGTTAGGCACAATGTTTTCAAGGTACAAGGACAGTGCTTGCCTGTTGAGGAAGCGTAGATTGGCAGTAGTAGTCTGCGGCACAAACAGAATGGAGTGAGGCCATCGCTGAGGCGCTGTCCTCACAGTGGCTGTACTTGATGCCGATGATGCGTTCATGATTCTTCGTTTGGCCTTGCGGTAGAGCACAGGTTCGAAGTCGTCTTCCGAGGACTCGTAGTCTGATGCAGAGTACAAATCGGTGTCCTCGCTCTCACTAGATGGATTACCACGCTTTCTTGAAGCAATGCCCGTGAATGAACTGGTACTGGGCGGGATCTCCGGGGATTGTACATCCATGACCGCGATGTAGGGGGCTGGAGACCCCGCTGTTGCGCTGTGGAACGCAGAAAAAACAGCACAGACCGCAAGATGTGTTCCACAAGAAGATCACTTCGTCTTCCAAGCATTCAAAAGTTTCTCATATAGTCAATAGTCTGTCACACCACATACAAGTGCACATCCGTAATTAGCAACTAAAATACACTATCAATGCACTAGAATTAAGAAGCATACAGTGAACATAAGTGTAGTATACATCTTAAAGATATGTGGCCCTATGGGTAGTGTATCAAAAAATGCCTATATATTGTCAGTGCTACACTGACGTTAATCTGAATGAGTGCTTGTGAGGAGCGTAGTAGTGTAATGAATTCGTGATTATACGATAATATCTTATAATTTGCTGTAACTGGTCTTACAGAAAGTTTAACACACGCTTACATTTCATTTCTGAAATCATCCTATACGGGGCAACGCAAGCGGCAGATAACGAAAAGTTAGTATCACTTTTCAGTGCTGTCGTAATCAAAATGAATGGATGTCATGGTCATACAGGGTACGAAGGGTTCGCCATTGAGGAGGGGGGAGCAAATATTTAATGAAGTGACCCCCCTTCGCATATCCTCTCTGCCTTTATGATGAGAATGCCCTGAATAATGGTGTATTAGGAGAGCAAGCACCCCCTTTTCTTTGCCTCTCCCCTCACCCCTATCGGCGTCAGACGTCAGGCGGCGCTGCGAAAAACGCCGCCACCAGCATCCTCGTTGCCGCGCTGGCCAAAACTGGGTAGTGCAAAAAAAGCCGTCTGCAAGCGAACGTGCATGTAGGCCCTGCTCTTTCGTCGGTGCTGAAGCGTGGTTTCCTTAAAATCAAGGGCTTGTAAAGCTTCTTCCGTCCGTACAACCTCGCTTAAATAAAGAAGGAAGCTCATCAAAGCGAACTCTGCGTACAATGCAAAAGATGTTTCACTTATATTGGTGTGGTGCGGCTCGCAATTTAAGTGCAAGCGAGCATCGCATGACATCAAGTTCGAGTCAAACACTTCAACGAGCGTTCTGCAACACCTCAATGCGTAAATTTGGGCATAAACATGCTGCCAAAGCGATGAGGTGCATACATGAGCCATGTATCTTACGATTAGTCGTACGATCGAAGCCGCTTTATCCAGCATGAATGGCTCCGGTGAAAATGCTGTAGGCCCGCGTGCTCCGATTTGGGTGCGCGATAAAGAACCTCAGGTGGTCGAAATTTCCGGAGCCCTCCACTACGCGTTCGTATACAGCGTGACACAGGCTAGTCAAAGAGCTGCTTCGCATCTGAAGTAAGGTATTGAAGTGCATCTACATTGCATTTTCTCTTAGGCTCCCTGACAATCTCAATGGACCTTATAACCTGTGTGGTGTGTCGTTCAACACTGTCGTTTTTCAGAGCTGTCTGGACCGTGATGCTGGCCCTCGGGTTGTTCGGTCTTGGCTCGGGCGGCACCATCGTACCCTCTTTTGTCGGATCGTTCCGGGATACCCTGTGAGTGTGTGACGCGAAATATTCACTGCGTCGCTGTACACTTAGGCATATTTGAAAACACTGGGGGGGGGGGGGGTAGTTTTTTTATTGAAAAGCAGAGAATTTAGCCGGCGTGTTTGTGTCGCTGACTTGCTACTCTCTGTAGGCAACGTGATTGGGGGCTGAAAGGCAAGAAGAGAAAGAAAAAGTAATAAGAATTAAAATGGAAAGGAAAAAAAGTAAATATACAGACATTTTTCTGTGTCTTGGGCGGAGACGTGTGCTGACAGCATGACTTCAGTTTTCAAGGCGCCCCTACAGTTTGTCTAGCTGACCAATATTGTCTAAATACGCGAATAAAAGTTCCATCGCTTGCCTCTGTTGCGTGAAGCTAGGGAAAGGGCCCAGGACACAATCAACTGATAAAGCTCTTTTGGTTAACAGATGCATGCAGTGCTCATAGAGCGCAAGCTCATCGGCATACGCTCGGCACTTAAACATATGTTTTACAGTTTCTATGGAGCCGCAGTTATTGCAGTATGGACTGTCTACTTGACCCGGAGCGATACCGTAAATTGTTTCCGTAAGCACTGTTGAGCCGGAGACGGTAGTAGAGTTTTCAGGTGTCGAGGGATTCGGGATGGGAGTCTAGTCCTTAGATGTGGGTCGATAGAGTGGAGGAAAGCATAATGATATGTCGGGAGGTTCCATAGCCTCTTTTTTTCTTCGGAAGCAAGCCTTTTAGCCAGCTGGGAAGCGTCTGATTTAGTGTAATAGGTTCGCCTGTAATTTTGCTTTTGAAGTCCTTTTCGGGCCGCTTCGTCTGCTTTTTCATTGGCCAGTATACCGCGATGAGCCGGTATCTATTGAAATTTGATAGCGGGACCCGCGATAATAGCCAAGTGGTGTAAGTATGCTATATCAAATGAAATCGGGTCATATTTTGTTTTCTTTAAGATGCTCAATAGTACTTGTAGAGCTCCCTTAGAGTCGGTGAAGATCACCTATCGGTTCGGCGTTTGACGCAGGATGTAGAGGACTGCTTCTTTAATTCCATGAAGCTCTGCTGTCGTTAAAGATGTCCTGCGTTGTAGCCAATAGGATAAACTTTGACCTGTAGAGGGAACATAGAGGCCATATGATGATATCTCCTGAGTAGTTGAGGCATCAGTATAAATATGAGAATGCTGAGTGTAATGCTGGGCTACGTAGGAGAGAGTAGTCTGCAGCAGTGCGGTCTGCGCAATACGTCTTTTCGCTTCATTGATTCCTGGGACACACTGTTTAATATCAAGAGGTGAAAGCGTCCACGAAGGAAATCTTGGAGGCAGCGACTTCTTCGGCTGTCTGATAGCAGTAGGTTGCTGCATTCGCACAGCTTGGCCGAATGCTGAATTGCTGTGGGTGAGATGTATGCGGTACAGAAAATGCTTCTTCTCATGTATGACATGACGGAAACGAGTGAGCAATATTTCTTGAGTGCAGATGACATCTAGCGGAAGACATCCTGCTTCCGCTACAGTTCCTGAGCCTGATGAGCTCTTCGCAAGGCCTAGACAGATTCGTAGGCAATTGTTTCGTGCGCCCTCTAAAGTGCTCTTGTTTGTTGGTGATAATCGGTGAAGCCCCGGTAGGCTAACTTCTTGTGTCCCTTGGCAATCGTGTCATTGCGAGGCTTCATCTTCGAAATGTCCCTTTTAGACGCCAAAAGACATTGAAGCAAATACATTGTCAAAGAAAGGTTGGAGTGTATTTGCAATAGCCATATTGTCATCGACTTCTATTGTTCGAAGTTATATGTTTACTTCTAGTTATGTTGAACAATACCTTAAATTGTTGTTTTTTCCCGCTTCTCGTTTGGTTTCAGGAAACGTGGATTTGCGGATGACCTGTCTACGTATGGCCTCGTCTCTTCGGTGTTCACCGTCTCTCATTCAATGGGGTACGTACGTCTTTCTATGCAACGTCAATCAGTGTTTACCAAATTGTTATTTATGAGAGTCTGCGTTCCATTATTCTCTTTTTCTTTTACATGTAAAAAAAAATTGCTTTACTCTTTTGCACAAATTTTATGTATTTTCTTGGGCTGCCTCACTTTTTGAGCAATGTATGGGTCACAAGGCCTTAGTCAGGCAGACAGTTCTGCCTTTAGCCTTGCGATCCAAGACATACTTTGTGTCTGAAATAAAATCTGATATCGCAATACGCAGAGCATTCGTAGGACCCACGCTAGGAGGGTATCTCTTGGACTCCGTGGGGTACCGCATGGGCACCATGGTCCTCCTGGCAAACGAAGTCTTACTCGTAAGCATTAAGCAAATATTGATGTTTCCAATTAGGACATCATTGATAGTTGCTTCTTCTCGCTTTCTACTAACTTTTGAGTTTCGCTATGATAGCCGTGTTACAGCGGTAACGACATCAAGTTCTCCATTTTTTTATCTCATGCCATGTACTAAAGGAAGTTCTTAAATATTAAAGTCCCACAAAAAAATACTGATTGACCTTATTGATACGAATAAGCTTCGATGGAACCTTGCGCCCACCTCCCCCTTCTTTAATTAGGAACCGTGCAAATGCCTTTGGTTACTATACTTTTTTTTGTCGTCACTGAGGCAGTTATATGTGGATTTCCCGCTTTGTCCCGTTACGGAAATTCTTTTCAGTTTGTGTATTGCACTTGAAAGTTTAGCGACTGCGTAATATACACACGACAGCGTTATGTGTTATAGAGAACACTGGACAGGAGACCTGCAGATGTAACTATAATACGTATATACGAGTCATCTGCTTACGACCGTAAACGAGAAAAGATCGACGTGACTGCCATGGTCCTTACGAAGTTATTTCCCGTCCAATAAACCAATCGCTACCGGAGTAACACATAGTGCACAGTTGTAAATAAAACAATACGTATCGATATAACTTGTGTGTGGAACGAAAATGAAACAACGTTAAAATTACAATGCCCATGAACAATTCGCAAAGTTTTCAATGTAAGTACATTGGCTAGAGGAACTTTAGTCAAATGACTAATTTTCAAGATCTAACGTAGCTTTCGAAACCTAATTTTTTTTCTGTGCATTTGACATTGCAGATACTTGCGCTGTGCATCTACGTTGTTGTCCATCGCAAGCCTTCCGGGGACCAAGAACCTCTTCTCAAAGAAGTCACGTGACTTAGCCGCTAAACTAGTTTTCTTTTACTAGATGAAACACTCTACGAAAGTTGTCAATCGGGCCTGTTTTTCTCGTTTTTAGTAGCTTGTACTATTTGCCATTTTACAGTGTAAATTAAACAGACATTACCCACGTCCGTCTTTTGTAGTGGCGCTTATTTCTTCTCATCGTTAACCAACATATAGCAAGCTGTTGATGGCGCCGATACGTTCAAAGCTTTCACATATAATACTTTACGAGTAATACTTTACACGTATAATTGGCATCTTGTTTTTGTTGTGATGCGGACTTGCTCTTTTGGCATAATCCCATCTTCTCCTCTCTTGTGTCCCGTCTTTTTTACTTAGCTTTTATTTTCAGACAATGCACCAGCTTTCCCAGCCATGCATTCTATTATGGCATTATTATTTGTTCATATCTGTGCTTTTTTATGTGTGTCATTAGACCAGTGTTGTGTATAAAGTGAAGCAGACGCTTGTAGAATCTGTCATCGCGTATGTAGCGGTCACATCTTGTCGTGTCACTGTAGCGAATGGCGGGCTATCAATAGTATACGGATTCGTTCTGAATGTGGCCCTTGACATGTTGACGTAACGTAGAATGTATCTTTTTACGCAAATACTCCTGGCACTTCAAAAATTCCACATAAAGTGTGCAACACAACAAATAAGTTTTAGTGAAGGCTCAGTCAGGCTCACAGACAAGGTCGAAGCTAAATTGTTGCTGTGTAAGTGTATTATTTTATTATTAATGTTTAGCACTCTAGTATTCCAGCATTTTCAGGGCCCCCTGAAGAGATTAAATGAATTCGCCACTTTGTCACGCAATTTTTTTTATCCCTACATCCAGCGGATGAGTAACTGTCTTGAGGAGTAACAAACCTTTGACAAAATTTCGCCGTTCGATGGAACATCTACATCCCAAGAGGCGCCCTATAGTATAGTTAAAGTATCATCTGGAATCGCGTGGCTAAAAAGTGTTTATGCATTAAGTGTGCTATAGGAGCTGCAACACTCGGTAATGAATTGTATGAGCTGCAGTGATGTTCCTGCTATACAGTGCATGTAAACTTTATGAACGACATGCGCGGCATTGCTTAAGACATTAAACATATGAGCACGGTCAATAAAAAAACTGTCCGTAATTGCGTCCCCATGCTTTAATAACATTTCGCTTCATGGTATTCACGCGTAGCGTTTGCAAATGTTTTATTGGAATGCGTAAAGCCAACTTAAAACTCTTGAATAAGCGGTATCTCCGACACTTGAGCTAAATACGTTCGTTATAACTAAGTTACGGAAGGGTTTACCACGACTATAGTGCCGACTGAACTCGATTTTTTTTTTTTTATGCGAGACCGAGCGACGTCACGGGTTTACTAGCAGATCTTCACTATGGCGATTATTATTCTGCTCCCGTACGCCGAACTCCCATGCACTAAGTTCAGTACAACTATACACACATACCACAAGAGCCACAAGTCGTCGCTTAGCATTTTGTGGTGGCACAAGCAATACACTACGGAGACAATGCACGATGAATTAGAGTTAGAGTTAGAGAACACCACACACGTCAATGTGTGGTGTTCAACCGACTTTCCTAAGCTTTTAAGACCGCTGCCGCAGTACGGACCTGGTCAACCTCTAGATCAGTCATTAGATCTTCTTCCATTTCTTGATGTCCATTTTAGACACTGATCCCCCCCCCCTTGACCAGGAAATAATCCGAAGCGCGACTTGCCTGTAACGTTTGTGATCCCGAGCTGCATGAGTGGTGATGGATGAGACGTGTGTCTTGAGGCCACGTCCAGTCCGATGAGCGCGGAACCACAATAGACGAGCGGCTCTTCGGCTCTCACGCACACATCCTGTATACCTTGTGCCTTGCGCCGTTGGAATCGACGTGCACGTGTTGATCGTATTGCGCCAGCGTTAACGATAATGCTGAATTGATAACGGCATTGTTGTGACGCTAATGCAGTTCCGCTTTATTCTTCTGTTGATTTTGATTGCGCCCCAGGTTTGTAATGAGCCCAGATATTGAAAGTGGAATATGGGATAGGACTTGGCCCAGAAGTGGGTGCAGTCGAGGATATGATGAAATCGACAATTCCTTGTTATATACACACTTGTAAGCATGTCAAATATAATTCCCTTCCTTCTATTTTTTGTACTTGGTATGAAAACAAACATGCCTTACCACGAGGCATCCCGTTGCCTGCCTAAAAAAATACTTTCACACACCCCTCTTCTTCTTAAATGAGGAAAGATTGATAAACAGATATTGTTGTATATGATCTCACGCTCCTCCGTGACCTGTTATGCGGTGAAAACTGAACATTTAATCCAAAGCTTGAATGAAAGTTGCCTGTTGATTCAAAAGATCTTTTTCCCCCTTTCTTTGTTCTGCAGCGCTGTACTTAAGCTTTCTACTCTGGTTCAGTGTCACCCCACCATTTTTCAAAAGATACAGAGCGCTTTTTGATAAAGTGCGTATCATTCATGTTCATGAAATGCTTTCCGGCTATATGATCCCGTGACTGCCACTATCCTAGGGGATGCGTCTGTAAGCAAAACGAAACAAGGAACAAGAAACTTTCTTAATCAACGCCTTTAATGGCAGAAAACTTGAAATATCCTAGCGCAATTGTGGGAAGCAAGCAATGCTCACACCACTGTTGTCTGACACGCGGTAGTAATGAGCCTGCGGTGCTATTCTGGACATTGTCAGAGACGATACATGTTGTCGAAGTTCACGATTGGTAAACCATGATTGACCCAAAGTGCTGATACAACCTTTCCGATTGGCTTAAAATGCCGCAATTATGAAAATTGATAAGATCATAGAGGTTAGCAAAGTCTGGGATAGCACCCCTGATCTTGACACTCCCCTGTTAAAGGCCATTGTTCTCCACATGCGAGCGGCCCCGGCAATAACAGAAAGACAATCATTAGATGGCTACCAGTTTTACCCTTACTTGTTTTTTTTTATGGAACGCTTGCAATGCGTGATACACATAAGAAGTTGAAGAGAGCAAATTTAACTGCTTTCGCTCAGCACTTTTTATTATTCATAACAAAAGCGCTGTTGAGTGTGTTGAACAGCGTGATTGCTGGCCATCACTCAGTTTGTCTGTTGGGGTCACTTTGGTAGTCTGTCTATCACTTAAGAAGCAGTGGAGTGTGTGATAATTTTAATGGCTCAGTAGCAAACTTGGAGTGCTAAGTAAAAGGATACTACCCAATGTACAATCTAGTATATTGGAGGCTAAAAAGATAGTGAAAGCAAACTAGCTGTTATCAGTGACCATCTTTTCACTCTACGGCAGTTAGAGTTGCCCTAAAAATGTACTTATGGTTGAAAGATGCCTCGGACATTCATGCTTTCAGACAGTGCTGCGGCACTGCAGCCGCATCAGAACGCTCCACGTTACGAGCTTAACACGTGTGCAGTTTTGGATAATCGGGGCCGAACCATGTGAGCTCGAGCTCAGCAGTGCGATGCCATGACCTCTACGCTATACCATAGCAAGTGGCTTCCCGCTAATCCTGCAGCACTTGCCATGGCAGATACGTTAACAGTTGCATTACCAAAGAAGCGATAATTTTCGGATGGTTTTTATGGCGACGAAATGGGCTGAATGTGGCTGTGCAATTCGGGAACATTGATTGGCGCCTTAGTTCTTTGCGAACAACGTTTTGTGCGGAGAGCAGCCCACTGTAGCTATACGGGGATATCAGTACTTGTTATAAAATAGTCAAATGGTTACGAGGGTTCACACTGACGTCACTGAAACCGCCATGTGGATGCACCGCATGACACACACAAGGCTTACAACACCACACGTTAGTGTTATCATTATATCACTTGCCATTTCTTTTTGTTATTGCAGCACTGAAGCTGATAGAATTTCGGCCGCATCGTTATCGTATAGAAGCAGCTGAAGCGCTATGTGATGATGCTGCCTCTATGTCATCAAGGCTGCCATGTTGGTGACGCAGCACGTGTTATTAAGCTGCTACTATGACGTCACGTGCGAGCTAGCATTACGCGCGTGTTCCTAGATAACAACCCCATTGTGCGTATAAAAAGCGACATGCTTTAGCGCGTGACTAAGATCATCCCCTCTATGATGCCACCAAGAACGGGCTCGTGGTCAGTTCAGGGCACCCCGCTCCGCCACTGCGCACGTCTTCGAGCAGGCAGGGTATTGCGGCGTACACGCTGATCCCCGCCGTAGCTGCAACAGCAACATCGACGACGCTTGGAGCAGCAACGCTGGACGAGGATTTCCGCAACGAGCACGGACAGCGAGACGCAGGCGCCAACCATGAGAAGCTGCAGCACTGCCGCCACGTCCTGCAGCTGCAGGGGCGACGCGGTGCTCACCGACTGCGTCGACTGGGAACCACCTGCACCACCCGATGTGCGCTGGCTTCGCTCCACCAGCAGGTTCTTCCAGTGGCTGGCCATGCCGGACTCGGCCACCCAACGGCTTCTGCACACAATCATAAGTAATGGTGTATTTTAACTTGTCCTCCCTTTCATACATCGGGTTCAATGCTTCGAAAGCTGAAGTTCAAAGCCATGTGCAGGTCCGCGAGTCTTGCACTTGGATATCGTCGTTGTAAATTTAAACGTGACCTACTGTATCCGGCTGCTCGCTACTGGAACTGATTGCGGAGGCCCCGATAAGTACACAGAGATGCTGAGTGGTCCAGAACAAACGACTGACTACCATATAAATAACAAGGTGTGTTTGTGTCTAAAGCGCAAAGCATTTTCGTTTATTATTAGCCCGAGAACGAGAAAAATTGCAGTACATTTCGTCATCGAACTATTTCTTAGGGTGAACGTATATATCGCAAGAAAGTCCTGCGAACTTTCATATAGCGTTGCACCTGGTGTATGAAACGGAGTACGAAATGGAGTATCAAGCGAAGAACATAGTCGCTCGATTCGGGTGGCCTTCTCCTTCCTAAAAGGCCGCTGTCATCCGATATCCTGATCAACAAAATCAGTGTGGGATAGATTGATTGATCTATTGATTGATTGAATGACCCGGTGATCTAAGCTATTGTAAACTTTCCGCCGTTTCTTGAGACAGTAATAAATGTCGTGGAGTCTTATCAGCCTCATCTGATTGTAAATCGAGAAGTCTTAGATATATTTGTGGAGATAACTGCAACTGAAACAGCGCACATTGTATTCAGCATGCGAGATCACGTGACACTATATTTGTACCGACGAGCAAAAGAAAGCAGTCATGCAAAAGAATCCTCTCTTTTTTGGAAATTGAGCTGTCTTCCAGTGAAGGAATAGCATTAGATATTGTGCGCCGATTAAAGTTAGATGTTACTGGTATAAGGCAGAACACACTATATTTCTCTACTTTCAGAGATGTAGTAAAGAAGAATTTGTGACGGTATTGCCAATATGTCGCATATGCATGGTTATGTACCAATTAGCATATAAAAAGACAGAGGCACACATAAATGTGTCAATCTGAAAGGAGCATGCTGGTGATACAGGCTTGCTGACTGAACGCAGGAAAAATCAAGTACACAAGAAAAACACGCACACTGGGCACAAAAGCGAAAATTGAAGCATTATTGTTTTCTTCATTTAGCCAAACTAAATAAAGCGCGTTCAAGCGGTGGGCATCGCAGATTACACGAATCAAGTTGAGATAAACATATCAAGGACATGACTTTTTATCGTACATATGCAGTACGATCTACTGTTAAAAGGAACACTAGAATGCTGACGTTGTGTAGTGCTGATGTAATTAATATTGGATGTGGAATGTATGGCAGCAGCCTTTTAAAAGAAGTCAGGACTGCCAACCACTATGAGTCCTGTACAAATCTGAGCAGGTATGCTTTGGCAAGAGTGCAACATCCGGACATGCTCTGCCGTCGAGTGTTCCCTTCAATACTTTTTCGTCGCATTCAAGTAGCGAGGTGTCGAGGTATTTTTTCTTACTAGCTTACTAGACCCCAATTGCGTTGTCGTTACCTCGGAACTATTAAGAAAGGCGGATATGTCACACGAGATTTTTACGTGTTTTTTTCTCTTTTTTCTGACTTTCGGGATAGTGAGTAACGTAGAATTACCTTCTTCGAAAATAATAGCTTTACGAATATCTCAACGCTGTTACTGGCATTATAAGGGTCACCCGCATCGTCAGAAATGATTTACGCGCGCCATATTGTCATTTTGTTGACTGGTTGCATCAAATGTAATTATTTTTTTTTCTCTTTCACAAATATGCAGAATAGACAGCAATTCACTGTTATCCGCTACTCCTTTAATAGACATTCTTTTGGAAAAAGGGACAGCGTTTGCACGTATTAAACAGACTGGTTCGAAAGGGGCAATCATTAAGTTTCATCGGCGGTGCGACTTTAAAAGAGAGCCTGGCGTCGATGAAGCGGGGTACCTACGCGACGCTGAGGACTGTATACGAGTAGAGGAGGAGGAGGAGTAAATAAACGGCGTGTCGACTTATCTAATCGTGGCGTTATCTCGCTTCGTACGTGCTGCACGCGTTACTACGGTACCACACGCATTGACGACCCCTCTGAAAAATATCTCCGAGCTTCCAAAGCAAACTAAACGACACGCACAAAAGCGAAGGAAACCGGTTGGTGTACACGCGCGAGCTCGGAGCCGATACGCGCTAAGAGCTTACGGTGGCGCGAGAGTTAGTTCGACGAGTAAAACAAGGCAATAACAACAAGAATATCAAGGCCACCCGCATCTTTCCCGTGTATCGGAGCCACAGTGCCGTCCGGTCTATTTGTTTCGGCGTTCTTTGACGCTTTCTCGTTCGGCGTTCTCGCACAGTGGTATAGGCGCGTACTTTTATTACCCGTGTTGTGCTCCAAAAATTTGCCGAACAGCGGTATAAACTCCTTTTCTCGAGCCACAAAATAAATAAAGACCGTGCTTGAAATTCTCGTTCTAAACCGTGATAAGCATATATGAAAAACATTCCGACCTGTGGCATCGCAGCTTCGTTTCAGTTTTTTTTATGTTGTTGTTGATGTTTCTTTTAGGAGCGCTTCGGTTTTCCTCTTAAGAAATACGCGTGACGATGCGTTGACCCAAAACGCGTAGAAAACGTGGCAACCTGGTTTTTTGTATCTAATCTCCAGCTGGTCTTGCTACTATAGGGTTACGTCCTGTCTATAGAGAACGCTCGAAATGCTTTCCTTGCTAACCTAAATTGTAGGCGGTTTAGAATGCGAGCAGGAGTGCCAGCAAATGCACGGTATAGGTGTCGGAAAGATTTGCCACCGCTGCGGTATAGATGACAGCACGGATTACGGTGTGGTGTTTCCTGGTGATCGCTATGCCGTTATAGGTTTTCTACATTCGTCTGGTAGCAAATCCCAGTCCGTTACATTGCTGGTAGCCTTGCTTTTAGCGAGACTTTACCGCTGGTGAGTTCATCGGGCGTACGCCTCGATATCTTGTGTTTTTTGCCGTAACTAATGCGTGTATTGAAGATATGTTGGACCTTAGTTTACGGGGTATTGTTATAAGGGAAAGTCGAAGTATGAACCAGGCTGCTTGCTCCCGACTACTGCGACAGAATGCTTGCACATGACAAATTAACCCTATGTTTTTTTGGTTGTAGAAGCTAAAAGATTTTGTAACGTACAAAACAAGAAGGAAACCAACTAAGCTCTTATCTTAGTAGGCACGTACATGTTTATATGCATTCTCTCTTTTTTTTTCCTTCTTCTCTCGAAACGTAATTTCATTCCTTGGTGCTATACCGAGTAGCACGCCAGCTGTCATACACAAGCGAGTTAAAATCTGTTGTTGTTCCAATATAGCTCTCTCTTGCTCTCTTTATAAAACTAGGACAGCTAATATTGGGCGACAAGGCTTTGGTATTACTTTTTTACCCTCAAATAAGAAGAATGATGAATACGTGATTGATTGATCGATCAGCCCATCTATTTATTTATTTATTTATTATTTATTTATTCATTTATTTATATATTTATTTATTTATTTATTCACTTATTTATTTATTTCTAACGTGAATGTTTGGCTGTATTTCAAGTCCACAAACCCAGTCCTACGCTCCGAGGGCTCACCTCATATGCAGTGCCTTAGCAATGGCCGGGTCGACGTTCCTGTTGAGCCACATGCACATGGAAGGGTACAGGACGGCCTCCTTGGCTAGGTAAAACTCGCCTCGGGTCAGGTCCTGATAGAAACGTCCCACCCAGTAGTGGAAGAGCAGCGTGTCCAGAAAGATGACCTTGCGGCCCTCCAGCACGTCGTCGAACATGGACTTCACGAAGATGTCACGACCTGAGAGCACGGTGCGGCGTTGCACTGCGCGCCTCCATACCAGTTGGTGGTCGCGCCTGTTGGACACCTGGGACAGAGCACATATCTTTTTTTTAGAAATGATTTAATGTAAACATTATTCATTTTACATGTGTGCACGTATCTCCTCAGCACCGGCTGATGTTGGCTGTTGTCAACACATGTCCGCTAAACGACAGTTAATAACAGCTGTTGTTGGCTAGATTATGGTACGTGTTATTGCATGCTGTGCGCTGTTATATGAACAACGTTGTCTTCAGTCAGTATCAACCCAGAAATGCCTTCGTCTCGAATCTAAAGTCTGGAGTACTTTGAATATGCAACGGGCGGTAGGGATGGTGATGCTTGGTCAGTTTTGTGACGTCATAGTGTGACTTCATCGTCAAATGACAACGTCATTTTACATAATTGCTTGGGCAAAAGGCCACCAATCCTGGTCGCCGTGTGAACACCACGTGACGCTCCGAAAGCTTAGAGGGTAACTGAGGGGGAAAAAAAACGGGAAAGAGAAGAAAGAGAAGCCAAACAAAGAGAACGAAAGGACGACTCAACGAAGATCCAGGAAAATATTCAAACAAGTGATGACTGAAGGGACGAAAAATGTGAAAAGGCGTTCGCCTTGACATCTTCCAGAAGAAACACAAGATCCCCGGCACTTTTTTTTTCTTCTATTCACAGTGAAGTTACTTCAACGTGGCTTTTTTTTTCATTTTCTCATCAAACTTAACGTTTTTTTTTTTTGAAACTGCGATCGAGCAAGATGAGCTAAGGCCAGGCCAATCATCAGCCGCACCCTGAATATCTCGTCGAAGGTGCTGCCCCTGATGACGACGGGCGTGACGCCTCGGTGGTCGACGATGTCCTGCAGGGTGTCGAGGCGGGGCAGCTCCTCCTGGACGGTCATGCTGGCCTTCATGTGACCCGTGAAGGTGTTCATCAGCACAATCAGCATCATCCACCAGAAGGCCAGCACGGTGCGAACGTGAGGGTCATCCGGCGACCGCGGTGACGCTGTGAAGAAGGCACGAAACAGGAAGAGGGCGTTTATTACTGCAAGTACAAGTCTTTCTTTCTCAGATTTCTAGAATATATCCAAGCAGTAGTCTTATAAAAGTATCTGTCGCGCTCCTCTAAGAACTCTGCGCGTGCTTGTGCCGTAGAATATGTAGGACTTATTGCTACCATTTACTGCCTTTGATGCTAGTAATAAATGCTAGTACTGCATTGTACGCTATAGCATACTGAGCAATAGACAGTTTTGTTGGAAGGCGCTGGTTTTATTTCCATCCATGGCGGCCGCATTTCGATTGGGCGAAGTGCAAATAACACCCATGTGCGTATATTTGGGTGCACGTTGAAGAACCGTTGAATAACTCTGAAATCAAGAAGAAGAAATGGACTTTGGTCGGGCATGTAGCACGTCATTAAGATAACCGCTGGTCATTAAGGGTAAACTAACTGGATTCCTAGAGAAGGCAAGCGGGTTAGGGGAAGACAGAAGGCTAGGTGGGAAGGTGAGGTTTAGAAGATCGCGGGAATAAATTGGCAGCAGCAAGCACAGGACCGAGCTGACTGGCGGTACATGGGAGAGTCCTTTGTCCTGCAGTGGACGTAGTCAGGCTGATGATGAAGGTGAAGTACCTTAGCAGATCAGAAGTAGCCCCGAATCCCCCACAAAGACGCGCCCGTCCCAATATGGTGGTTTCACCTCATAAAACCCTGCAACTTATGCAAAAGACCATGGCGTACTTTACAGTGACCCTTTTCACCCGCGATGGGGAAGGAGCGTCTGTACGTAAAGGGTGCTTGCGTGCGCATCCCGGAGAACACCACTGACGGTTGCTTGACGTCCATTAGGATATAGAAAAAACACATCGGAATGTGCATAAACCACGGCAACCACGTCGAATCATGCCAACCGCATTATGCGCTTTCACCAAACAGTTTCTAGGCGATATTTCTTTCATCTCTGCATTTAAGTGCTCACGCTATGATTTGGTAATCAAACGGCTGTGATCTGCGGCGAATGTATGAGGCGTATATAGACAACGAAAGAGTTGAAAGCGGTGCAGCTTCGCATGGGAACATTCCATTCAAATTAACTCGTTTACCAATGATTTATGATGGCTTGATAAAACGCTTTATCCGCACAACCTTGTAAAACAAGGTCGAGTTGTTACAGGCATGAGAGCAAACTCGTTTTTCTTTTTATTTTAAGTGGTACGCAAACCAACTTTCGTCATAAACTCTTATCAGCTTGCCCGAACTAGTGAGCTTCTCATTTTTTTTTTATTGCGCAGTCTCCGCGCGCAGTTGTATCAACGCCATCTGAGTGAATTATTATACCTCCTGCTACTCTAAACACGACCGAGTCTTTTATTGAGCTTTCTAATAAATTAGCGCGATAATTATTCATGCGTTCATTCGAACACTGAGCGACAGGCAAGAACATCCACAATCAGCCGGACTGTCTGTCATTCACCCATACGCCAACTTGTAAAGGCAAAACAACCTGGAGTTTTTTTTTTATTATTATTAAGCGTGTTCCTAACCACTTCAGTAAGTAACCAATGCATGGCCTCAGTATCGCAGTTGACTTTCACGAATCAGCTGCCCGAAAGCTTTTCGAACCAGCGAAGGGCGAGCGCAGTTACAGGGATGCGTCTTTTCTCGTTCCGAAAAGTGCGCTGGAGAGAGAGATTGATTGATTTGTGGGGTTTAACGTCCCAAAACCACCATATGATTATGAGAGACGCCGTAGTGGAGGGCTCCGGAAATTTTTGACCACCTGGGGTTCTTTAACGTGCACCCAAATCTGAGTACACGGGCCTACAACATTTCCGCCTCCATCGGAAATGCAGCCGCCCCAGCCGGGATTCGAACCCGCGACCTGCGGGTCAGCAGCCGAGTACCTTAGCCACTAGACCACCGTGGCGGGGCGCTGGAGAGAGAGAAGCAGATACGAAGGAGAAAGGCAAGAAGGTGAACGATTTCACCGCTAAGGTATCGCACAAATCAACGAAACACAAAAAAAGGGAACAGGACAAGTGTTTGTTGTGTTCTACTCTTTTGTGTTTTGTCGATTTGTGCGCTGCCCAAGGATGAATAATTTTTAACTCACCCACCTTTCAGTCCTACTAAAGGTTAACCAAGCTAAGCTCAGGTTGCTACCCTACATGTGGGGGGGGGGGATAATGGATAAGATATACAAGAAAGAAATGGAGAAAAAAAAAATGGCCCCGTATCAGCATGATACACTGCAAATGTCGTCGAAAGACGATAGTCTTGCATGTGGAGAGAGTGAACAAAACGTTTATTTGATGTTGTGCGCAAAAAAAAAATCTATGAATGGTATTCTGGAGAAGCTGCGTTAGAGTGCCTCGAGCAGGCAGCGGAAGTGAACGAGCGCATTAAGTCACGTCACACGCGAGACATGAGCTCCATCTGGCAGTTATTTTGGAAAACGAAGCCCGCGCGCCCGTGTCGGGAAGATAAGGTGTATAACGCAAAGCAACGGGTTGGTGCCGCCACCGTGTCGTCTTAGCAAAGCGTTGGAAACAGTTGCCTTTTCGTGCAAGCGTTGCATGGTCAGTGCAACGTGATAAACGCTACGGTCCTTAGATTTACTTTGTATGCCTTTTCTAGTAAGAGACACACATACAGAATATTGACGTGTTGTTATGGTGCCTCAGATATGCACAATAATTACTTTTAAAGACGATAGTCTTTCTTGGGGAACTTCGACGCAAAAATTTTCGTCTGTCTGCCTGTAAATTTGTCTGTTTGTCCCCCTTAACGGTACCGGATACTCTAAACGGCACCAGCCGATACCCCGAACGACCGACCCCATCTGCAGCACCCACCAACGTTGCTCAGTATTCAGGGTTCATACTTGTGCGATTGTCGATTAAAAAGCAATAATTGCGCATATCTGAGGCACCATAACAACACGTATATGATCTGCATGTGCGTCTTTTAATACAAAAGGCATACATAAGTTATACTAAGGACCGTAGCATTTATCACGCTGCGCTGACCATGCAACGCTTGCACGAGCAAGCGCTTCCAGCGCTTTGCTAAGACGACACAGTGGTGGCACCTACCCGTTGCCTTGCGTTCTACACCTTATCACCTCTTAGACGGGCCCGCATCGAACGCGCAACGTTTTCCAAGAAAACGGCCAGATGGCACTCATGTCTCACGTGTGACGTGACTTGATGCTCTCGTTCACCTCCGCTGCACGATCGAGACGCTCTAACACAGCGCCTTCAGAATACCATTCACTAATTTTCTGGCACAGAACATCAAATAAATGTTTTTTTCACTCTCTACAAATGAAAGACTATCGTCTTTCATTTGGAGAGAGTGAAAACATGCAGTGAAAACATTTGGAGTGAGTGAAAACATGAGTGAAAACATTTGGAGTGAGATTAACATGCAGATACAGGATCAATTTTTCAATTGACAATCGCACAAGTATGAACGCTGAATCTTGAGCAATACTGGTGGGCGCTGCGGATGGGGTCGGCCATTTGGAGTATTGTTTGGCCACTTTGGTGCCGTTTAGGGTACCGTTAAGGGCGGACAAACAAACAAATGTACAAACAGACAGATAGACTGACAAAACAAAATTTATTTATTTATTTAAAAATACCTTGCAGGCACTATTACGGAGCATATAGTAAGGGGGATACATAGGAAAGAATGCTAGTGGGTGATACTTCTGCCACAATACAAAGCAACTACAAAGCAAAGCAACTACAGAGCAACTAATAACTAATAAAAATACAAAGCAAGTAATAACATTGGAACTAATAACAGTGGTTGCACAAATGACAAAGAGGGGCTTCAAGCAACAACAAGAATTTCCAAGCCGCAAAAAAGCACAAAGAACAAAAACAGAATTCAAGGAGATTATACAATGCTATTGAGATAGATGTATCATTAATTGCATTAATTTGTGCGTCGAAGGTCCCCAAAAAAGATGAGCAGCCGGAAGATATACACAAGGAGGGATGGCACGAAGGAAAGAAGTTACGTCTGTGCATGTAATGGCCTCCAGCGTGCGCGATGAAGCGTGACTACTCTCCCGTTTGGAATTCTGGGCTCGCGTGTATCCTCGTCTATTGCTTATTTGTGAAGCAAGGCGCCGGCATAATGCGCCACCTCGTGTTGAAAAGTGCATTTGATCTCAGTGCCGCTCATGATACGATGTTGGCTGTTGGCTAATAGCACGCTATCTGTTTGTTGTTCGACTTGAACAGGGCATGCACATGCAACTGCGAATAGAGTGAACACAGACAGCCGTATAAAAAGATTGTGTGCGATAAAATGGCAACGTCGCACAGGACAGCAAACTTTGGCTAAGCCGTTCATATCAGCGCCTGTTATCCACAGGATGAGCTCTCTCACTGAGCCCGAGGGTGTTTTGTGACTCAGAAATATTAACCTTGATGATGATATAATGTTTATCAGCACAAGAACCACAGAAGGATCAGCTTTTCGTAAAACGTCACTTTTGACTTGATGTATTCATCGTGCTAATATATACGCGCATTTTCAAGCAGCGTGCAGCGGTTCCTGTTTCATTTACCTTCGATGAGTAGATTTCCAGTCAGCTCAAAGACGTGGTTGTAGAAAAGAGTGCGGAATTTCTTCGTGCTGTTCCGTCTCTCGTACAAAGAAAGCCCCACGCTCAGAAAAAGCAGTATTGCCGCTATAATTAGCCATATCTGAAAAGATAACGGTACAATCTTGTTAAATGTGCGATTGCCATTGAACCGCGACATTTTGGCAACTTGAAGATATTAAGAGAGAATGCAAATACGAAATGAAAGATTGTTAAAAAATTAGTGCAAATTGCACAACCTTTCCGAAAGCTTTCGCTTTAGAAAAACTGCTTTCTTCGAGTACTTGAAATATAAATGGTCGACTATTTGTTTCTGTTTATACATGACGTAAAACATGATCCAATGAAACGGGGGTGATAACGAACGGGGTTGCTTTACAACATCCTAAGTATTTGACATCCTAAATACAACATAGAAATGAAGTTTCACACATCATAGAGTGCACATGCACACACCAGCAAAGAAAGAGCTATGATGTCCTAATTTTCTGCAAAAATATTTATTACGCTTCTTGAAAGCCGATCGCCTTTTTTTTTCATTAGAACGTGCAGTGCTATCACTAAAATGAAGCACATAAACAAAAACGAATACTAACAAATTTAACTGCTTTTATTATAAAACTTCACTATTTATTTCACACATTTCATGGTGCACATTGTCGCTTACATCTGTGATTTCGCGCGTCAGCGAATACGTATACATTTATTTTGTATATAGCCACCAAGGGCCTAGCTACTTTAGGCCGAAGACTAAGCGGGATTCAGGCATATCCCACCTATTCGCAGGATAATCAACTGAGGGCTGTGATCTGATCTTCATGGTAATTGCCTGGTAGGAACACGCCACTGTTTTCGCTCGCAGGGTATTTCTTTTTATCATCAAGCATTACACATTTCATGGTGCACATTGTCGCTTACATTTGTGAATTCGCGCGTCAGCGAATACGTATACTTTTATTTTGTATAAGCCACCAAGGGCCTAGCTACTTTAGGCCTAAGCCTAAGCGGGATTCAGGCATATCCCACCTATTCGCAGGGTAATCAACTAATGGCTGTGATCTGATCTTCATGCTAATTGTCTGGTAGGAACACGCCACTGTTTTTGCTCGCAGGGTATTTCTTTTTATCATCAAGCATGTACTCATACGCGCACGCGTATTTTGACGTGCTCGTATGCGATTTCCTTGTGAGAGCCTAAAAGTAATAAAATTGTGTGCATTTCTGGCGAATTGTGTGGCATGAGAACATAACAGGCGGTAACTGTTGAAATGACTTAAGAGGTCAGTGATAGGGCACAGCAAGCGAAAATCAGTCGAACAGTTTAGTTCGAGGGTTTCATAGCCTAAAATATTTGAACTTTTTTTTGTGAAGAGCTACATATCCATTCTTAGCATGAATCGACTCTAAACCTCTGAACTTACGCCGTCTATTAATGCACGACAGCTCTTCTAGCTGCAGAGTTGTGTGAGAAGATGTGTAGTACAGAAATATTACCTACATCTCGATGTATTCTTGTTAAAAAGATATTTAGTTAAGCTAAGGGTTTCGGGTAGCGCGATAAAACGAACGGGATTCAACGGAGACGGAGTGATTTTAACACCTGCGTGTCGAATCCTCCAATGTGGCCAGCCACGTTCGAGACGTGGCTCACGAGTCTCCCAGCCACGTGGCAGGCAACCGTGTCAAAGTAGTTTGGCAAAGCATGGCCAACAGTGAACCTTTCCTCGGTTGGTGTGGCCGGCCCGATGGCAAGATCAGCTTCCTGAAAGAAAAAAGTAATGGAAAATGAGGACTAAATTATTTAACTTGTTTGGTGAGTGGTGACACACACTTTCAAAGCTTACGTATGTCAACGGATATATTTAATCTAATAGCACGTGCTCTTTCCCTATAGTTGCGTAGCTTCATGTGTGTGGGACTACTGCTGTATGTAGTTAGCTGTCATTCTCGACCCTTGCCGAAGCGCTTTCTTACAGTGGTGAAAGGCGCACATGTTTAAATGTTGCACGAGTGTCGATCAGTGTGTATGTACGACGATTAACAACGTTCATGCGTCTATAACTACTATAATTAGAGCTTTAATAGTGCCCTTAATTATATACACCCATGCGTGCGCAGGGTGCCGAATGCAAGGCTCAGAGTACCTTTAGTCTAGCTTCACCACAGAAAACACCATTTATGCAGTGAAACCAGTTATAACAATTGAGAACGCCGTGCTCAAATGCATCATGAATGTTCTCGTGCATTATTTCCTAGAGAATTGTCCCGAACTAAATGGTGAACTGTGCAACGTCGCTTATAGTGACGTCGGTAGTTGACTTGTTTAAAAGCGGGGCAGGTGTTTGTCTCCAAACAAAAGATGTTGTCGACCCAACAACAATTTCTTGTATCATGATTACGGCTTTGCAGCAGTACAACCTCATAGTAAAAAAAAAAGCATGGGTAATTACAAAGAGTCTAAAAATCATTTTTTGTAGTACAGATGTGCTGTGAAAGACATTGAAAGCGTTAAAGGGGCAATGACACCCAGTTTTCGACCATAATCTGCGTCGTGTCTAAGCGCATTTCTAAGCGCATTTGCTCGAGCACTTACTTAATAATACAACGTTTTAGGGGTGAAGCTCCTTATAACGGCATCTGTTCGTCCCTCGTAGCTGTTGTAGTATGTAACAAGTATAACATTTTGACCTCCAAGGTGGTGCCGGTGAGAGATTTCTTCTGTGCGTTGTTGAACAATAAGAAATAGTGCTCAATGTACTTGCCAATGGCTGTTAATGGGGAATGAGAGACAGGAGCATTAGGCTTTTAGTTAACACGCATGCTGCGATCCTCATTAGGCATGTACATTTGCATGTACATTGAGTACTATCTGACAGGAAAAGGTTGCTACATTATACTCACTGGGCGTAACCTCTTAGGTTTTAGAAAGGTTTAGCGAGCGTTGGGCCGCAGTGCCATGAATACAGTGAACTAGTATATACCATGAACTCGAGGTGGTTGCTGCCAATTTTTGCCGATATGCTGCCAATTTTTTTGTAAACAGGCGAGTGCCGCGAGAGTCGCCTAACACTGGCACTCTCGCGATCCGTGACGTAACGAGCTCCTTGCTTTGCGAGCAGCTGCATCCAGTCGCACCACTTTGTTCCGCTGTCGGCTGCACGTCTAGTCGAGCTAGTTCGTCCTTCTTCAGCACGGCATTGAAACTGCACTAATATCAGCGGCTGAAACTTGTATAGAATATGACGGCTCTGCTTCATGCAGCGCATGACGTCACGCACGCCATGTCAAAATGACGGTCCTCGGCGGTTGGTGGTGTTTGTATTCTTCAACTTCTAGCGCTTATTTAGCACTGAAATAATCTTTTAGAGCCAATTTGTGACTTGTGTATAGGTATAATAGGCCTTCTACTTTAGTATTTAGCTAAAACCATATATTTTAAGTGACTGCATCATGGCTCGTTTAAGGGAGCGTCGTCACGCAGCACTCCTTGTATACTACAGCGACTATCTTAATTATTTATTCGAAAAAATGCCTCAGCCCTGTCCCTTATGAGCACTGAAAAGACTCATAGGTGTACTTCCAGCCTTTCAGAGATGCTTCTTCCGTGGCTACGGTGATCAGCACTTGATCCGCCTTATTCGCGCGGCTTGTCTGTGAGAGGACAATGATGCCTGGTAGTGGGTGCGGGATTATAAGCGTGCATGCTACACGACGCCCATGTTAAAGTGTGAACGAATAGCCAAAAAACATGTCCTTCACCCAACCCGTATTTATTCATTTTTTTCAGTTTGTGTGTTCCACCATCGAGCATTTTTGTGGTGATTATAACTTTAACAATTACAAATGAAAGTCGCATCACTGCCCTGTTCTCTTTATTGTAAACTTTGCTGCAATACGTGTTTGCTTTGCTGCATAGTATTAATGTGTCGTAGCGAAGCCACTTTTACACATGACGATTTATTCATTTTATTTATTTATAGTACTCTCCAGGACCGACGGCATCAAATATAGGTGTGGTAAGCAGGAAATGGGGTGCATCATTAGAGTGGTGATATAATACAGTAAGATAGAAGGCGAATTTTAGGACCTTGTTTTTTTTTTGTCAAGCATAACACTTATGAGAACTAACAGACGAGAAAGCCAAGGAAACTATAGGGGATGGTTTTTGCAGTATTCATGATGTAATTGTAGAAAGTAAAGTGATCAGCGAGATAACTGGCAGGACTTGAACCTGCGGCTTTCTAACAACATCGTCCGGAGTTCTACCAATGATGCCCTACCAAGTGAGCCCCATAAAGGGGACGGAAGGACGACCGCCGCTCTACTCAGTTGATAAAACAGTAAGTTGTCAGATCAACTAACTAGCTCCAAGTTTAGACCCCACTGTTAGCGACAACTTATAGCTGACAAATTTGTTCCGAGCGTAACTGAATCATCGCGAGCCTTCAAATAAATGGGCTTGAACAGAGGAACGGGTGTCTCCTTACGTTTCGGTAGATCATTCCTAGCTGGCCGGCCCAGACGCCTTGAGCGTTGCGACCTGCCCACACCGTGTCTGGGGGAAGCCGGGGAATGATCCTGCGCACAGTTACACATGCGCTAAGCCACAGTTATGGGACAGCATGGCTACGATGGTTAGACTATGTAGTCGGTCACAACTTTAGAAGTGCAGGTCGTTCTCTCCTCAAAGGCGGATGCACAAAATCTAGCACCAATGAGCTTGTACATCAGACTGACGTTATGAGTCAGACGGCCGTTGACCCCGGCTGCAGAGAACGTTGCCGAGCGAAAGCGGGAATATTTCTTTAGTCGCTGAGGGGGATTGGCTGCCGAATTTTGGTCGCCGGAGCAGGGCCTCCGTTGAGCTCTCAAGTTTTGTCTGATTATATTTAATGACAAGTCATTAATACGAGCGCAAGCATCATTTCAGAAGTCTCCAGTGTCTTCCTCGTCTTCCTTCAAATGCCTTTACTTCTCACGAATCCCCTCACCTTGATATGCGTCTTAAGTTAGTTCATCGGGTGTGAGCGATAGCCGTGTATGCGAGAAGACTTACCGGAATACTCAGTCTTCTGTAGTGCATGCATTCTTAAAGTTTGTGCACAATGACGCACGCAAAGAGTGCAAAAGTATACATGTGTTGTTTGCTAAGTGTTTTCTGCCATAAATGTGTAGATTGCGTCCATTTATTTTTTTGTGAAGATTATTCATTTGTGCTAAAGTCTGACTCAATCCACGCATACAGAACCGTGGCCCTTGAATCAAACTTTCGTTGTGAGAGACGGGGCTACATTTACGAATTCATGTTTTCCTTGGTTTATTATAGGCAATTCGATGGTGAAATCGTATACTTCATAACCTCTCACGGTGCAAAAGAAAGGAAAATAATACAAATTCATAGGTAATGCAAGAGTGTCTTTATAATTGTCACCCAACTTGAAGCCCATGGACTGCTGCAGAAGCGACAGCATGTAGCCAGCCAGACCATCGAATGTAGCCGTTCCATCCTTCTCCACTTTGATTCTCGCGAACGGGTACATCTGCAAGAGAAAAGTGCAAGTCACGCTCTCCATGACTATTCCTCGGTGAAAGCAAACAGTTCCAAAACGTTGCTACCGTGTGGTTAAAAATATTGAGCCCATGCAATTTTTCTCTTAAATTATTTTGTATATATGAGAAAATTCAGTTATATGAAGCTTCAGCGCTCCATTTTGGCGTGCATGTTCAACTGCTTATGAAGGTAATCTCTTCCTTCTTCTCAAAGGGACACTTAGGACAACTATTAAGTCGTCGTTGATTGTTGAAATAGCTGTCCAGAAACACTGTATTGTTAATTTCGTGCCGAGGACATGCTTATTTTGAAATAAAATCACGCTTTAGTGGTGCGCATTGGGTTAGCACACGTCAAATTACCCACCGGACCATATCACGTCACTGTTGCCGTGCACAAAGTTGTCCGACTTGATTGCGCGGCAGCTGACACTAGTAGCAGCAAAACGAAAGCAGTGCCAGCCACAGCAGAAACAACGATTGCCATTGGCTCCGAGATGGTAGACGTGTTTTGGTTTAACTAGGCCCCGCTAGATGGCATGACCTGTTCATTTTAACCAGGTGAATTTGAAACACCCACGCCAATTCCCATACTAACGTCAGGCTTTTCCTTTTTTCGTGAATCAAACAGAAACGAACAAGCAGCACTTTATTACGTCTCTTGACGCACGGAAGGTTCTTTATTTAGTGCGGCTAGTTTGATTACTAGTGATTAATTGTAGGTGGTTTGTCTGATATCATCAGGATCATTTTGAGAATGTCCTACTGCGGCGCCTGCAGTCTTGTTCATTTACCTTAATTTCTCAGTAAGTAGGCACTGCCGTTTGTAATATTGTCGTTTTAGAGGTTGTCGCACATTGAGCTTTCACTCTCACGTAAATTGTTATTTGACTTTAGTGTCCTTGCTTTAGAGTAATTTGCTTCTGACGCCTATTTTCAGTACACCAGCACTGATACTAAGCGTGCTGCTACTATACTATAGCATCATTGTTACAAAAAACCTGTGGCTGCAAACTTAACGCCACGTGAAAAGTCTATCGTAGAAATAAGTCCATGCATATATATATCAGCTTTATGTGCAAGGTAAACCTTTGGTTTTCAACTAGGGCAGCAAAAAACGAGATTTCTATGATACCACTGAAACTGACGTACAGATTAGACAGATGCGCTGACTTATGCAGCATTTACATTAGCAGCTGGTGTCCTTGCTTGTGGTGTTTCAAGAAACCAAGAACCATCTATCATTTCAATTACACATCAGTTCTTTTTCACAGTTTTTTCTATTAGTGATTTTTTCATAGTAATCCACTGTATTTTTTGTTCCTTTAAGAGCACGTGATATAAAAAACACAGAGATGTTAAGCCGTAATAGACTACAATACCCTGTGGATTACGAAAGTTATGACTGTAATGTCCGACACGTTATCTCCGCTTATAATGTGCCCTTAGAAGGCAATTATGTCACTATCACAAAAACGATATGTATTATATGCCAGTTCACAGATCGAACTCGCCGCAATTCATGCTAAAGGATCTGCTAACAAATTTTTTATGACTCGGGGTAATCTCTATTTCACCACGTAAAGCAGTGACAGTGAAAATATCGCTGTTATACGGCCTCACCGTCATAACCGTGTAATGGTTACACGTTGTAGTAACAACGTAAGAAGGGGGCGTAGTGAATATGTGACTGCAAGAAAATGTTTTCGATTCAGTGCACTTCGGTAAGGCTCAACAATCCCAGCTCAGAGAGCACGCCCCGTAGGTGAAGTGGTTGGATTTTCTGTGCTGCCACCCACGTATGATTGAGCAACTTGCGTATAAATCAGTGGGTACAATAGCTGCCAATATTATGTACTCCAGGAAGAAATACCCGTGGTACCACTTAGGAAAATGTGCGTATGTGAAGACAAATGTAGTACAACGGTGCAGTCTGCGTACCGACGTTTCTCAAACCGTGTTATTCTGTGCCTTGAGTGGAGCCTGCAAACTTATTTGCTTTGTGTCAAGCTAAAAGGCATAGCTTAATCCCCGTTTTGTTGCCGGCGCGTTCTTCACCAAGTACCGATAGTTTCTGACGGTGTGAAATATACAAGAAACCATTTCTATTCTCTTTCGCAATTTGTGATTTTTGAAATGATTCAACTAGCTTGGTTGATGAAAGTAAAAAAGAAAAAAAAACAGTTGAGCAATTGTACTCACCGTGAGCCCTGTCACCCTAAGCGAAACGTTCGCGTAGCGAGACATCCTCTCACTGCAACAGTAAACAGTTCTGACCTCCACCAGCCTGGCCGTTCAGCTCCAGGCCGTACAAAGGGCAGAGGAGGTGGCCATCAGGTTCAGCCTGGCGGGTCACCTACCTCCTTAAGTCTGACGACAATAAAGTTGTGTTCTCTCTCTCTCACTGCAACAACCAGCCTCGTTTTGCGGTCGATCTGGTTCACAGGCAATTCAGAGTTACAAGCATACGTGCAATTGTTTCTTCACGTCGTAACTCTACCTTTTTTTCATGCGTTTATGACATTTTAAAGGTCATTAAGCTTCAAAATATATAGATATAGCTTCTGCGACAACGAAAAATATACTAGAAATGTAACGCCGCTATCACTGCCAACATGTGTAGCGCGTGTAGGCGTTTCCCACGCGAACAGTAAACGGCGAGCGCCGATGCCCATGGTCCATTAGTTCAAACCAAGACACCGTCAAAAGCGGCGATAGCGGTGTTATCGGGCTCTTTGAGCGGTGCCTGCTGTGAAAATGTTTTGCAGCCTTCTAAATAACGCTTTAACTGCTTGCTCACGTGTATACAGCAGCAGAGTTTCACGGAAAACGGTGTGTCATCTGGTGCTTCGCGTGCGCACTCAATAGTTTTTATAGATTTTAAAGCACCCTTCACAGGGTATGTCGCGCAGCCTGACGAAGCAGTGCCACAAAATCGGGAAGGGCGTCTGCGCTTTGTGCCGCGACAAAACCGCAGCTGTTTAGCAGTGATAAGAAGGGACAGAGTGCGATCTGTTGTTGTACCGAGTTTTGTGGAGACCTGACTTAATGCTTGATTACTCGCTCTTCAGTTTTTGAAACGAAATTTTCAAGAAAATGTAGTTTTTCGGTTTCTTTCACTCCAGAATACAATAAAGCTAAGTTGGAAAACAATAACGTTTATAGATGGCAACTTGACGTAGAGTGTATATGCCGCACAGAAACAATAGTTCGCATTGCCTTCTACGACGCCTTTTTGTTCATTGTCTGCTAGAACTGATATGAACACGACGATGAATCACCTGACCGACGCCCCTAAATTTAGATGAAGCACCGTTACATCTTATTCTGGGAGCGAAACTATCCAAACTGGCCAACGAGGTGGAGCTAACTTGCCTTTCTTTTTACGTCTGTGACGCGTTTTCTTCTTATGTACCATGCTAATTCAAGCCAAGTTCACGGAGCCGAGTATATGTCATGCGAGTTGACCTTTTTTGCTGCAAGTCAGATCTCTAGTCAGGTAAAGCCAATGGTAAACAGTTTTTTTTTTTTTTTGCAAGTCACGTCTGTAGTAAGGTAAAACCAATGCTTTTAGCGCCAGCGTTTTTTTTTTTTTCCAATCTGTGCCCTCATATGTTAGTGCCTTGTTAAGCAAACGCATCGATAGCTCGACGCTACCATCCAGACTCCCGCTTCCATTGCGCAATCGTCACACGACGAATCTTAATTACGCGAGGAGGGGGGTTCATATGCGTTTTGACCGCGAGGAGGGGGGGTTCATGATACTGTAACAACGTCACTGTTGATAAAACGACCGTTTCGTCAACATACACGCACCCTATATATACATGCACCCAAGCCACCTTGCAAGCACCTATATACCTTTGAAAACAAGGCGCAAAAATAGACATTCACAGGAACTAGGGACACATGACGGATGACCAAACCGGACGTGTCTCTCGTTCTTGCAAACGCATGCCTTTCAGCTCCAATGTTCCCAGAAGCTTTACACCGTCACAATGCTTTTAAAAAATTTGTTTTGTGAAAGCCGGCATGTTGATGGAAAGTTCATGAAAGGTAAAGTAAGTGGCCTTGATTTTCACTGTGAAACTCTGGAATTGTATTGTTGATCATGATCGCGCTGCGATGTGGCTTGCTTGCTTATGCAGGCAAGCTCTGCAGGCTTGCTTATGCGCTAGTGTGTTCACCCGAAAAAAGATGACATCGGGATCTGATCCTAAAACAGTTGTAGTTTTTTTTTTCAACAAAACAACTTTCTTTCGTATCCGTATAGGTTTTCTCGAAGATTAATGGGATGTATTCTCTTCAAGGAACTACATTCACCTCGTTAGCTCACTGGAAAAACTGCCATTGATAGAGGGGATGAAGTTGGGCAGTCTTTCCTTAGCTGTGTTTCTGGAGGAAGCTCCACAAACAAGTCCAGAAGCAGAACTCCAGAAGTTCTTTTCGCAGAACCGAGTTTTTTTCGAAGACTAAATTTCGCGCGCGACATTGTACGAAGCAACTCGCCACACTTCACACCAAAAATAAATTGCGTATATGGGGAGTATTTCTGCCTCGCAGCTGTAATCTTCCCCTCCTGCCCTAGCTTCCCTCGCGTCATCACCGAGTTTCAGTGCACTTCAGTCACCAACTCCCCAATACTCCCCAAATACTCGACTTTTTCACGGTTAACCGGGTTTAGCGCCCCATCACCCATAGCGCCTCATCGAAAACGCTGCTGCCACGTCCGGGCTTCACTCGCGTGATCAGTTGAGCATCATAACCACTAGACTACAGTGGTGGCTGTCGTCAAGGTTTCAAGAACTAATAAACGAGATAAAAATATTTGTTTGTTGCCGCAACGTTCTTAAAGCCCCGTCGGGCGCGCTGATCACGCGCAAGAGTCAGTCGGGCAAGGCGGCTACGGACACGGGCGGCGGCGGCGCCTCGTGGAGGAAGTAGAGCGCCAGTCCGAAGCAGAGGAACGAGGCCATCTTCAGCGCCAGGATGAGGAAGTAGACGTTGCGGTTGAGCAGCATGTTGTCGTAGATGGCGCATGCGCCCTGCGACGAACCACACGGCTCCTCCCACAGCACGCAGCTTGCGTCGATGGTGTGCCCGAATGCGGCGCCCGCGGGTATTAACCCTGAAAAGGTTGTACAGACAATAAAAAAAATCAGCGACATAGTAAAGACCTATTCCACGTTTATGTAAACAGTGGTAGGCGCCGTCGACATACCGAGGCGCTCGTAGTGACGTCACAGCACACAGCACAGTCGCAAACCTCGCCACCAACGTCTATCATGATCACGTGACAACTGGCACAGAAGCCCCAAAGCTGCCTCCGAGCACAGCGCGTTGTGCTGTGCTCCGACGCGCTGTGCTGCCTGTTGTCACGTGATCATATTGAGGGCGGTAGCAACCTTTGGGTGGGGTGGAGCATACGTGCCGAGACGTCGCTACAAGCGCCTCAGTATGTCGACGGCGCCTACCACTGTGTTTACACAAACGTGGAATAGGTCTATGGGTGCAGTATCATCGTCAGCCTGGCTGTGTCCACTGCCGGGCAATAGCATCTCGCATGTTTCACCAATCGATCCGGTCCTGTGGGTAATTGCTGTAGCCACGTTATTGACGCAAGCTTCTTAAACTCATCTGTCCACCTAACATTCTGCCCCACCCTCACACTTTTGCCTTCTCTTGGAATCAGGTCTGTTACTCTTAATGGCTAACGGTTATCTTGGCCACGTTCTACACAAGCGGCTCTTATCCATTTGTTGTCCTTCATTGTAATTACGATGTCCATAACACCTATTTGCCCCTGACCCCTTTTGCTTTCTTTATGTCTCTTGAGGTTACACCAATCAATGTCCCTTCGGTGGCTCGCTGCGTCGTCCTCAATTTTATTAATTTTACTTTAACTTTGTTCGTAAGCATACAGCTTTCTGCTCCGTTTGCTGGTAAAATTCCGCTATTTTATGCGTTTCTGTCGAGGGACAGTGGTAAACTGTCATTCGTGGTTTAAAAACGCTTGTCGAATTTACTCCACCTCATTTTTAATTTTGCAGTTAGCTCAACATCGTGGTCTCATGGGAAAAATGGAATAGTTACAAATTGGGAATGATCTGCGCCACGACATGACAATAATTGAGAATTATTGTAGCATTGCTTGGGTGCTTAGGTTTAGCCTCTCTTTCTTGAACTCTGCCGGTGGTACAAACAAATTTTCGCAAAAAAAAAAGCGTTTTTCAAAGAACAGCGGACTTCCACAAAGTCGTAGCCGCGCCATTAAAGCACAGAGGCATGTAGACTCTGTTTGCCGACGCCTTTTTATTACAGCTTCACTAAGCACCTCGGCACTATCAAACCCGTCCCTCAGCTGACAACGAGATTTCCATCCAAGGACTATGTAACACCCCTTGGTCAGTCATCTGCGGCGTGCATTTATGTATAAATATCGCAGTTACTATACGAATAGAGAATTTTTATCTGGATGTTCTAGCGTTATTGGTACACTATTTTTGCCATCTAGATGGCTGCTATCGTGCAGATATATATACTTCTCCCTCACCGAAAGCCCGCACAATGATCCATTGAATTCCGAGGCCAACGGACTTGTATTTCTCAGGAATGCACCTGCGTTGAAAACACGCCATCAGAGCAATCGTTCCAATGCTGCAGGACCACCGCTAATGGTCACATGTTTCGTATTCACAGGTTTTAAATAACCGAAGAGACAAAGCACCCATTTGTTATATTGTCGATATGAAGCTGATGCCGCAGATGCGGTCCAAGGAGTATTGGTCCCGAAATGCCAACGACTTATGATATACCAGGGATATCTATCCCAGAATTCTATGCATGGACACGTGGTCTCACGCATAGAGTTTCTTAATATACACTAGAGAGAACTCTGGCGCTAGTGTCTATTGGAGCTGCAACGCACGGCAGTTCAGCGAGCATGGGAATGATGGGTAGTACACACATTTGTCCAATCTTCGTACTTCTGGCCTGCTTTTGGCTCCGTGTGTGTTCGTGTGGCTTGGGGCTATTTTCTCACCAAACAAAAATGAGCAAATGTCCAGCGGCTGCGCTTCACGACCTTATTTTTTTTTACTTACTTTTCCAAATCGAGTCACGAAGTTCAAAAGGGTTGATTCTTTCTTTCAAAACAAAACCGAAACAGCAATAAACGAAGCTGCAAGTACGATTCGCCGCTCGCAAGTACGAAGACTTGGCAAATGTGTGTACTACCCATAATCCCCATGGTCGCTGAATGATCGCAGCGACAGAGTCCTCTCTAGTTAATTATAGGAAACTCTATATTCTCGAGGATATTGGTCCCAAGATACCAGGTTCCCACGGAAGCATGGTACTACGGACATCGATCTCAGAATCCCACGGGCACATGGTCACAGTGATATTGGTCCTAATATCCCATGGACACATGGTGTGAGCGATGTTTCTCCCAGTATTCCGGGGCCACTTGGTCACAGGGTAGGCATCTGATTTGGATTAAGTTTCCTCGAAAGCGAAATTGTGCGTTCTCCTTTCACATCATAGGGATTTATGCATTGCGTGTGCAGTGTTCACAGTCTTCGAGCAGTCTGGCCTATTTACTCTCACGCTAAAGTCCACTAGCTTACCAACAATCTAGGTTGTATAGGGAGCGCTGCAAAGTCAAAATACATAAAACTAATGACAGTTAAGCTAGATTTATAGGACAACTGCCCCAGAAAAGTGGTGGTTGCGTATTATATTTCCGGGGCGGGAGTAACACCCAACAACTAAGCTGACTGAACCAAGTATCCAAAAATCCACGCACAATATAACAACCATTCCATGAAAACATGGACCTGGATTCACAAAAAAGTATTGCGCCAAATATTTTCGTAAGCGAATATGTCAGCCAATCACGACGCGAGAAATACGCTTAACGAAGTCGGCTGACACGATTGATAAGTGTCGTGTATTCAGCTCACAGCATACAGATGTCCCCTCTATTCAATAATCGTGATAAATCAATAGCAATGACAACAGCAACCATGTGCTTCATCAGTGTCCATATTGATTGCCGACAAAAAGGGTTCGGTTGACATGTAAACGCTTCGTGAATCTTACGATGATGGCGAAACGCGCTATACCTGAGAATGGCCGCGACGGCAGGCGTGCTCAGGAAGAAAGTGGCGAACACGATGGCGGCCAGGATGGGTATGAAGACGTTGACCAGGCCACACGGGTTGGGGCACTTGTTTCGCACAGCGTCGATGGAGACCGTGGTGCCCGGCACTGTGCCGAACGGGCCTGCATTGCTCCCGTGGCCACTGGCTGCGTCGCCCCCTCGTGCCAGGAAAGGCGCCGACGCAGTCTGATTCACGCACAGGCACTGCGAGTACGCCTGCGGGGGCGAACGTAGTTGTAACTCTCGTTGCTATACCTTCCAGACCACTCTTGGCACCCTTCCACACCACCGATGCGAGTTTCACATGTGGTGTTTAACATCCCAAATGTATGTGGTCTTTAACATCCCAAAACCACTATATGATTGAGAGACGCCGTAGTGGAGGGCTTCGGAAATTTCGACCAGCTGGGGTCACCGATGCGAGTTGTCCGAAAAAGTGATAAAAAATAAAGTATACATGTGAAGGGAATAGAATTGGATCAGTTAATTCATAAGGTTGTATGTCATAAAGTGGACAATAACATTTGTCATAGAATAACGTTAGATAATTAGTAGACGGTAGTGTAAGCAGCAATTAAAGGATAAACAGTTCGGTGAAATGGTACGAAATCGATTGTTGTGGTTTCGGTGAAATATTAGGTCGGAAGCCTTAAATGCCGCGTCAAACGAGAAAAGTGACCGTCGGCGTCAACGCGAATCATGCAAAAAGCCACGTGATTCGAAAAAGCACGGTTTGGGGATGTCATCACAAGAAATCATATAGCGTGGTCAAAGCTGTGCCGGTCCCGGAAGCCATGTGATACCAGTTATTGTGTACAAAGCCTTCCGGGTTATGGCACAAATTAATCCATCGATTGATAAAAAAATATTGGGAGATCCTTGAGTTTCGTCTTCAGGAGTTGAACTCGATAGCGATATCCTATCCCCAGTGCATACTTGAAACACTTAGTTTATTGCATGGCCTTATTCGAGAAGTTTACACTGTATATAACTACAATGTAATCGGTATAGATGAAAGTGACTTGTGTCGGCGAAGCTTTCGCATATAGCTGCATTCTATGTAATGGTAAGCATTCTTTAATAATGAATAATTATTCGCGTGAAGTACACCTTCGAACTTGCTGTGAACCACGTAGTTTTAAAGGAATACGCGCAGTGACGTGTATTTTGTACGCGCAGTGACGTGTAATTTTGTAATAGGCAGCCGGCTTTAAACCACGATGTCATTATAGTAATCACGTGTTCTGGCGCCCAAAAGCAATGTACGCTTGCACCACACTGCGATATTACATGTATTGTGATGCCTGTATACAGGACGCATGTGTTTGTAACGCATGAAAGTTATTTTCAGTGCATTTCCAAGCTGAGGAAGCTATTCTATTCTATTTCCAAATAGATGCTTGGCTGTCGAGTTGGTGGAACGGCTACTTGCAATGCAAACGACCTGGTTTCAATCCTCACACTGACCCGGATTTTTAAAATATTTATTTCATTTGCATTTACCTCAATTTTTCCGTCACAGACAAGATAATTTTTTGCTCCCATCCAACAACGCCGACGCCGACACTGACACTAGAATTTCTTCAAAATGAGCTCTTTAACGCTGTAGCCTTCAAAACAAGATATGGCTAACAGTCAATCAGAAGTTTGCCGATATATATAGCCAATGCATGCACCACACTCAGACCTTTAACTCGATCATTAAGGTTGCTTTGATTTTTCTTATCTTATATTTTGTATTCCTGGGTATTGCAAGTTATCGGCTAGCCTTGATCGGTTAGAAAATTTTCGTCCATGGTGAGAGCCGTGTAATATTGCTACTTCACGACGCTCTTGTTCTGCGATTACTTGTTTGTTTGTGGTACAGTGGACAAAATTCTTTAGCTGTATAAGCTCGTTACCGTATTTACTTGAATGTAACACGAGTTTATTCCATATTTTTGCTTACGTTGCCACAAAATATCAAATTTTCATGTTTTTTTTTCTTCCTGTTCGAAATTACATGTCACCCCTCGCGTGGAAATCGGGGTTGCACCGTAGTTGTGCAAATATGGTATTTTCATGAAGCACACTTCCTCTCGAAATAAGCTTTCACTTGAGCGGTTATTCCCGAATTTAAATAAGCAAGGTCACAGTAAGCTTTCCTAAGCGTCATGAAGTCAATGGTTAGCGTATACATTTTCGATTATGTAAATTGTATCGCGTTATTTCGAAGTTTTCAATTGATCCTTTTTCTAAAATACCTCACAGCGGGAATTCCAACTCGCGCTCTTCGTAAAAGCGTACCAGCCATCAGAGTATCACCCTTTTGCATTTCATGCATTCAAGTATTGCATTTAAATAAGCATGAGTGCCACACACTCATGCATATTATGCATTTTAAACACCGTGGAGTTTTCAACTACATCAATAGTATAGCATTGCAGCTGAATTCTTCTACCTATTATAATTGCAATGAACTTCTTATTCACAAGGTTCTTGCAGCCGCAAAAGCATAATGCTTTCAGAGGTGTTTGTCCACGTATTGTTTATATAAATTGAGAACCGAGCGTTTAGAATGCTCAACTTGGAAATTAAAACTGAGGGACTACCCAATTATAAACCGTAGGCTGTGTTTTCCCACATCTTTTTTTTTTTTTTTTTTTTTTTCCATGCCCGGTTTTCGGTGCCAGCACCAGCCTCCTCGCATGACATCGTTCTCACGAGCATTTCAGGCATTGTGACAGACTGTCATTTGGCTGACATTCTAACTAAAGGTTGCCATAAAAATTTCGAATCGACAGAGGTTCACGTGGGACATGGTGGCATAAGGTGACGAACAGTTGTCAGCATAGGTGATGTGGTAGAATACTTGAAAACAGGTATCCAGGAGATGTATATGTCAAACAGGATTAAAGACGTATGACAACGGCCTTTGTCAAGGTTATGATGAGGGCACCCCATCCCAGCCTAACGCAATATTGATGAATGCAGTACCTTGTAACGCGATCCTAAGAAAAAAAATTGGATATAACTAATATGGTTGTAGAGAGGTTATGTAGATATATACCTGTCCTGTAGATGTAGGCATAATTCCTAGCACAATTTTTTCTATACATAACTCACTCAGGCAGTTTCGTGTCGTATATATATATATATATATATATATATATTATATATATATTATATATATACTGAATATATATATATAATATATATAGTATTATATATAGTATATACTCATAGATATATGAATCATAATAATATATATATATATATATATATATATATAAATATATATATAATAATACTATATATATATATATATGAAACAACGACAACCCACACCTGCTGTTCGCCGTGGCGTACTCGCGCAGGCAACCGGCAAAGCACGGCGAGTAGTAGGTGTAGCCGTCGCGACCGCAGATGGGATTGAAGCGTGTCGTGGTGCAGCTGCAGCGGCTGTTGCAACGACTCCCGGGTTCCGGGTCCAGAGAGGAGGACGTTCACGCTCGCCACACCTGCACTGTGGGGATCAAAAAAACTGAACATCGTTCATAGCTTGAACCCCCTAAACACTGCAGTCAAATATGTTATATGAAATAAGACTACAAGTTGACTTATTTAGCATTCAAAGTGGCATAACCCAACAGAACACTGGCGAAAGTAAGATGCGGCCGCTGGAGCCAACAGAGCAGCCTACGTGTGGTCTGTCAAGTGAACCGAGTATAGCGAGAACACACACTTACAAATGAGCCGCAAGCTAATCCCAGTCAAGATAGGGTGCGGGTGGTCACACCCGGCCGCGCAAAGTGCGTGGTTCCTGGGAGAGCGCCCCCCCCCCCCCCCCCCCCGTCCGCATACCCACTTTTATAGTGCGGCACTACTTTAGAAGTCTGCGGCATTGCCTTCTCAAATGTGGATGCGAACAAGCCTGCACCAATGGGCGCGCACTCCTGACTGACGTGATGAGCCGGATGACGCAGTGACACCACCTTCAGAGAAGATTATTAAGTACATTAAGTACATAAGTAGGATTTGTTTTTTTTTTGTCGCTAAGACATTCAGCTGCTGCGGTTCAGTAACCTGAGCGGGGCTTCTTCAGACTAACTTATATCCGAGTACAGAACCCGCGTGGGGCGATGTGCACTTTGTACGAAACCTCAGGGTAACGGAAAAACTGCACATGGCGATTGTTTCCACATAACTGCTATCGCAATAAAATGTCAGCATATATATAATGAGATAGTCTGCGCTTACACTCCGACTTCGTACTGGAGGTTCCGGTAGGGAATGTTGTCGCAATGGAATAGCAGCACCGAGACCAGAACGATGGGCACGAGGAGCACGAGCACGCAAAGGCGCACGATGCCCGCGGCGCCCAGCTGGAAGCGAGAAATTACCATGCCTCCTAACATGACTCCCACCATGGCCGTCGGTATGGTCACGGAGCCTGCGCACGAGACATGGACGCATTCGAGGAGTGCGTTGGCATTATTGAAAAAGGAAATTTTACTGATAATGAAATCGTAGTAAGAAGCAAAAAATGAATGCAATTTGTACGATTGTCCATCACAGTTTACCCCTTTGCTCTGTAATCATCCATGGCTCCTGAAAATGAAGTTCTATTTCTCTCCACACGGCTCCTGAAATTTAGTTCATTTGGCTCAATGACGGATCATGTGAAGTATCGGTACTAGCTTTCAATACATGCTTTACTTGTGAAATCTACAGTGATTTCTTGGTGGGACAACTGGCAAGGCTGCAAAACACGTGCAGTTTCGTCATTGGCGAAAAAAAATTGCGCGAAGACGCAGCTCAGTGCGCGAGAGACGATAAAGCAAGACAGATGGGATCAGGAGACGTGCCTTGCAGTCATCTCTTTTACCCTTTTCCCGTCAGTACCATAATGTGCCATCTTCTGTTTTATTGTACCGAAAGCGATGTTTTTAAAAAAAAAATTGTTTTCTGCTGGGCAACCTTCAATTTTAAGGCATTCTGTGAAATATCTACAAGTTGTTTTTGTTACGGAATGAAATTTGCATCCAATTCGTCAAAATTTCTAGGGTGGAAACATAACGACTCACACTCTTGAAGCAAGCTATGATTTGATATCGCATACAGAAAGCTCCATGGTTGACTTGTGGCACACACTTCAAGCAGAAATTACGCACGAAATGAGCATACACAAAACGTGCGCAGACAAGCAACTGTCGCAGCTCGACACTTAAAGCCCGCTGCTCAAACAGAAAAAAAGTTGCACGAAATCAATGATGACGATGATGATGATGATGATGATGAAATTACGAGACTGGTGCGTCCCTTGGAGGCGGCGGTTATTACTGAAACGCGAGAGGCGACGGCCTGTAGAGCACGTTCAACGCAGGCTCGTCGCACCATCTCACTACTGACGACAAAAGCGCGCTTGAGTTACGGAGCTCAGTAGACTGTCAAACGGTGCATGGTGCATATAAATGGCTTGCCCTTAGAAGTGTGGCAGCTTGGGCTAGTTGGTATGACATGACGATAGTTATAGCGCGAGAACAAAACGACGACAAAAAGACAAAGAGACAAAAGACAAAAAGACAGAGAGTCAAAGCGCCCTTCGTGTCCTTTTTGTCTCTTTTTCGTCGTTCTGTTCTCACGCTATAAGTATCGTCAGGCTTGCCCTTAAATAGTTAGAAACAGTTCGTTATGTGCCGTGGTCTTTAGCGTCGCGCGCTGAGATACGCGAGGTCGCTGGTTTGATGCCAAGTTGCGGAACTTTTCCTTCTCCTTTTTTTTTTTTTTGCTTTGCAATCTGTTACTATATATTTTACAACGTTATAATCATGACGGAAATACGTCAGCGGAGCCGTGCTGGTCGCCGGCATAAAGTGCGTGTTATTGGATTAAGTGCATTCACTCTTCATCACTCAGTATCACTCAGTACAGCAGCAACAAATAAAACGTCGCTCAGGCATAAAGTGTGTGCTAGGGGCGCCAAATTACTCGACTACTCTCTCTCTCTCTCTCTCTCTCTCTCTTCTCTCTCTCTCTCTCTCTCTCTGCCGACGTCCGTATATTGTAAACATGTTAGAGTCTACGTGCATAGCTCTCCTTAACGCTGGCCTTGAACTGGATAGTATATAATGTTGTAAAATGTTATCAAGCTCGCGTTAATACAGCGCCAATATATCAAAACAAAGCGGCAGCCACTGCATGCAGCAGTGCAACACGTATGAGTTCCACCAGAACAAATCGAACAGGTTCAAGCAATTGTGTTGCACGTTGTTTTAGCTCTCGTGTGACGCTTTACTACAGCCGTTGTTAGCGCTTGGTATACGTACCCATAATCATTGAAGCCGTGGACGCGGTCATGCTAAACTGCGCTTGTAGCATCTTCACCAGAAATGAAGACAGGCCGCTTGCAACCATCACTGCATATTAGAATGAACATTATACAAATTGCTTGCAAAGATGGCAATACGTAACCACGTGATTATACAAATGGATTGCTACTTCGTAAACGTTTTCATGCGATCAGACGTCACATATCAAATATGTTAAACAAGTGAACTCGCGTTTCGTGTGTATCCAATTTCAACGACAAAATATCCCGATTATGAAGAACAGATTTTTGCAACCTTGACATCTTCATAGAAGACGAAAAAAAAAATCACTGCATATATGAAAAATCGACTCTGGCAAATGCCGCCAGGTGAAGGAAGGGTTATTAATGGAAATATTTCTATTCACTCATCTTTAGCACCAAGATATTGGGAAGTCTATACCGGTTTTTATGTAAGAAAGCTTCACGGTTGATATCAGATTCAAACCCAGGACCAGGAGGATTTTTTCTTTAACTAAGGAGCGTTGGCAATCAGCCCATCATCGCAATGTAACTGGAATTCGTCAATTTACTTCTGCTGAAATCGCGCCCGGACTACCGAAATCCTGACTGACTGCTAAAAAATACTGAAATAGTAACTGTTGAAATCCGCCAATTCAGTTTCGCATCAAAAGGCACTCTCGCGTGTTGCATTCAGTGCTCTCTCCTTTGTATGTTACCTCTTCCCCCCCCCCCCCCAGCCCCCTTTTTTGGTCTTTTCGTTTCAATAAATTAGATTATTTCCTCTTTTTTGTACGTGTTCTTCGCAACGCTGCCTTTAACTACAGTATGTTCCAACTAGCCCCCACGCAAGCTGTTCTGCTATCAAAGCGAGACCTTCTACTGAGCTATGCATACTTACGCTCCGCGGACCCGGCAAAGCAAACAAGGACGAACGGCTTTATGCTCAACAAAGACAGCACTGTTTCCTGCAGGTTTCCTTGCGATTGGCCCAGGGGCTTCTCCTGGTCGTCAAGCTTCTTTTCTGCCATGACGATAGCGTGATCTGCGAAGAATTCAGTTGAATCAGAGGCGACTCGAACAGACGAGACGACAGGCGTATACTACCCAACATGTTATGCATAACGTAAGGATATGCCAGTGAATTCAATGTATGCGTTCGTCCTTAGACTTGACACGAACATGATTTTTTTTTTGTTCAGAGAGCTGTGTTGACCGATGGCAATATGCTGTACGAGGGGCTTCTTTCTCAGACTCGCGTGTTTAATGAACGGCTGTCCAGACACGGCACATCATTCGCATCTTTCATTGTGGCTTGAGTGCTGTTCAGAGGGTTTGATTTAAGAATCGCCGCTGGTGTTGAATCGATTATACTTACAGCTCCGTTTGCGATGAAATAATGTAGCCGTAACAAAAGGAAGATCGACTGTTCCTCTCGAACATTAATACTTGAAGGTGAAACGACCTTATTCATGGTCAGTACAACGGAAGTTCTCTCTACTGCTTTCTAGAAAAAAATGCTTCGAAGTTTAATATTATTAAAGTCCGTGAGAATGAAATGTTTTATTTTGAGTCTGGTACGATGAAATGTTATAAAGGTATGCTTTGACTTTGGTAGAAGCTCTTTCTATTCAATATACGAAGGTGCACAGGACTTCTAATTAGTTCACTTATTTGCAACTTGTCTAAGAATTGAAAACCTAGAGGGAGAGAAAGTGTGCTCTTAATTATGTATTTGTCGATTCGGAACGGCATTCATTGCTCAATAACAAAAATCCTATTCATATAACCACTTCGCCTCCATTTGGCAACAAATTAGGCGTTAAACTTGAAAGGCATGGCTAGTTTTCAGTACTTCTACTTCTGGCGCCTCTTCAAATCTGCCCGACGGCAACCGTGTTCCGTTTAGAAGTGGTAATGATGAGCGAGTACAATTGCAGAAAAAAATCTGTACCAACAGCCAACCCTTGGGCGTAGTATGACACCTCTTCAGCCGCCTTTGCAATGAGTCATCGCACGTTTGATTCAAAGCTCGATTTCCAAACACCAGTTGTTTTGCGTCCTATGAGAACCGGTACACAACCCCGACGAATCTTTCATTTCACATTTTCTTTTACGGCTCACCTGGTAGCTCCGCCGGCAGGAAACTAACGGGCAAGGCGATAGCGAAGCACAAGAGCCCTGCGTAGAGAAAGCTCAGCCACCAGGCACCAACCCACGCGGTGCTCTCGCGCGTCAGCCCGAGCCTGCGAGTCATCAATCAATTGCGGCATCCATTACAAGAAAATAATAAACACGGGGACAAGGGAAAAAAATCGGCCATCTATAGCAGCTTGACGAAGGTCCGTGCCCCCGTTCCTGCCAGCCAAAAAAGCAACGTACAATGGATATAAGCATCTGCAGTGTTAATTTCCTGTTAAACATGTCCGCTTCTAATATGTAGCAGAGTAACATTATCAAAAGAATATGATCGCTAATATTGAACACCTGGTAACAGTTATTTGCAGCTACATACAGATGCTTTCGATAGTTTCTTACAGCGTTGGGTTGACGCCTTGGTCGACGTAGTACTTCAAGAAGTGCCCGTTGACGACGAATCCAGTGGCCGGCCCCACAACGGCACTCGCTTGAAAAGCGGCTGCAGAAAACACACACCCAGTATGAGTGTGGTGATGACAGGAGCGCTAGACGCCAACTTCATTGTATGTTTGACCGCAATTATGGTATGGGTCATGACCCTGGACCCGAAGCTCCAGGGTGCAAACTTGAGCTGAACAACTAAACGTACAGTTTCTTTTATACAACTATCTGGTATGTTCGCAGTCAACACTGAACGAACCGTATAAATTATACCCTTAGATGATATGTCACACATGGTCATGCGAGTACGGCTGATGTATATCATTCTGCATACAGCACTTGAATTGCCGTACAAATGAAGCGGGAGGGTCGCTGCAGCCAAATAGTAGTTTCAAGTGTTAATGAGAGATGAATACGACAAGTGCACGCCTTACATGTCTTACGTGGTTAATTAACATTTTGGCTTCGCATACGCTGACGTATATACCACCACTCAAGCAACACAACAGCTTGCGAAGGACACTGACGGCACTTTTGGGTGCTTACCGATGTACTTGGAGGACACTGATCGTCGGAAGTTCTCGTCCAAGTAGGCGATGCCCAGCGTGAAGTAGGGTGCCGTGCCGATGCCGTTAATGAAATTGCCGATCCAAAAGAACCACTTGTACTCGCGCAGGTCACCCGCGCCGGGATCGCACTCGGGGACGCTGTCGTTGGCCGTGTTGCTCGCCGCCAGCTCGCAGGTGTCGGGCCTCGGCTGGCTGAACGAGTACGGCGGCCCCACGAAGTACGGCAACGCCATGGTGAGCGTCCCGACGCCCATCATGCACGTGCCGAATGCCATCATCATCGGCTTGTTCTTGTCCTTGCCGAAGTGCGTAACCGGTAGGAGCACCTGTCACGGCAAACGAAAGGACCCGAAGCTGTTGCCCCTGGAGGGACACAGAGCTCTCCACTAAAGGACGGGAGGACATGTTTCTCCACAGAGCCTCCCTATCTCTTGTAGAGTAAGAAAAGAAGCTCTGCAGTGTATGCAAGAACGAAAAGAAAGTGGTGACATGTTCGCGCAACCTCTGACTACTTTCCCTCGGCTTTCCGGGATCAGATCGGAAGTGCAATGCTATTTTAATTGAATGTAAAATGTCTTAAGTCACTATTATCCTAAAAAAAGCATGCGTAGCCAAACCCTATAGACATTAAATGTGACGTGAAGAGTTTGGCATATGGCGCAGAACTGGTGCCCCGCTTTAGATGACTAGTAGAAGTGACCTTAGAGCGTGGGGCAGATCAGTGCGATGATGCACCAGACACAAGGGCATCATATTTAACAGAGAGAAAGGAGGAGAGGTCGCATGGAGAGCGCGCCCCAGGCCTGCTCCTCCTCTCCGTAGTAAGGGTAAAAGGGAAAGAGATAAAGGCAAGCGTGAAGTACAGTTACTGTACACACGTTGTCCTGCTGACCCCAAATTCCATAAAAATCGCTCGTTATAATAAGACATGCTGCCGATAATATGAATTAGGAGTTGCAACGTGTGGCTTATATAGCTTGCTTAGCTTCTTGCTTCCTACGCCGTCACCTACGGATAAGAGTCGTTGAAATGAGAAACACGGCAGCCAACAACTGTGCCGACTCCAGCAGATCGCCGTCGTTTCACTACTTAGAAGCACTGCATGCACCATCTGCGACATCAATGAAGGACATCACTCGCAAACCTGCAGGTATGCACTAAGCAGGTATATTCAACAACCTGAACGAATATCTACAAAAATTAACTGCGCGCCTGCAGTGCACCCGATGACCTCACGAGAGCGAAGGCCACGATCCTCCGCCACGTTCAAACTTTCTTGGCTTAGCCGTCACAGGCCTGCACTTATCACATGCGAGCTGGCTAAGCCCAATGAACCAAAATTATAGCGTAAATGAATTTGCCTCAAAATATATGATATTATATCACTGCAAAAGTTTCGCTCGCCCACCCTTCCCACAATGTGTTCCTGCTGGTTCCATCATGGTCAGCGTGGAGTACGCGAGTATAGGCCTGTAGCCAGGATATTCTTTCGGGTGGGAGGGGGGGCGCACTTACTGAAGGCTTCAACTATTCAAGAAAATAACCTTGGTTTCAGTAATTATAACATCCGCATTGAAATTTCGATAAAGGGAGAAAAGTGGTGGCTATAGGAACCCGCCCTCTGCATATGGGCCTGGCGTGAAGCCATCTTGAGACCCGGACTTCCCGCGTAGCCAGTAGAATGGAGGTGAAGGGTGATTAGAAATCCCCAATTCTGGCGCCATTTCAAGTGTATTATATTTAAAGTAGTACACGCGAGCCTGAGACATACGCACGAACCTGCATAAAGTCGATTACGTAGCCGCCCCCAGGCCCCAACCATCTGAAACTCGTGGTAAATATAGTTGACTACTTCTGCTCTTCAGCGGATGCCGGGAAAACAGTTTACATACAAAAGCTATAGCAGCGTTTAAGCTCGTCTGGCTGATGTGAAACGCGCCAGTGTGTCCGCGTGTGCTTGAGAGCGCGCACCATGAGCGAGGCGACACTGTAGATGCTGCCGATGAGTCCGGATTCCACGCTGCGCAGCTGATAGCGCTTCTCGAGCGTCGCCAGGTTCGAGTTGACGCAGCCATTGGTGATGAGGCCCTGGAGGAAAGCGCAGCAGCAGAAGAACGCAACCACGCAGCCTGGTCGCCGCATGCCGCCCAACAAGCGGCCGCACGCCTGCAGCGGCTCGACGTTCGCCGGCGCAGGGGGAGGCACCGACACTGTTGCCGCTGCCTTCTCATTCGAGGGTGTCACTCGTGATGGGCTTTTGGAGGGCTGCGGTAGTAATATAGCTTGCAAAAAAACACCGCAATGCAATCACCAGTTTCGCACGTCTACGTACAGATTGACTCAACTAAAAACAAAAAAGTGGACATTAAGTTTCTCGAAGATCTTGGTAAGACGAGCGAAGACAAACACTGAAACAAACTTCATTAGGCGAAAGCGTATAGAGACCTCATCAAACGCGGAAATTGACCCTCGGCGTGAACACGGGTGATGTAGAGAATCTTCATCACGTCATTATGTCACCATATGATGTCTTGATATCACAGGGAACCAAAATTTGCGACGTCAGCATGACGCCATCGTGACGTCATGACTATCGAGGCGTTGTCACTTGACCATTGGGGGAGCGATCACGGAGGCAGTGCAAAAGCAGATGGAGTGGAGAACGTTTGCAATACGGAGATACTGGAGGCAGTGAAAAACCGCCACGTTAGGTGTCGAAAGTTTTCGGAAGAGCATGTATCTGTCAATCTTGGTTTAATTTTTCTTGTGGCGTATGCACCTATATACCATCGCGTAGTGTATATATGATAGGTTGAAAACAATATGAACAAGCAATGACTCAGCGCTACGGCGGGAGACAATACGCCTGATTATTCACTAGTTTGCTTGCGCACGCTGCCTCTAACAAGTGCCGCCGAGCTCTCAATCGGGCTTAAAAACGCCGCCTCCCAACATCTCATTTTAGCCAATACTATATAAGAAGTAACCGGCCACCAATACTCAATTAAAAATGACCGCTCCACATTAGATCTAGGCGCATTTACATGCAACGTGATCCTTCACAGCTTCTTCAACAACTTCACATTGTCCCGTTTGATAAGGCTGTGCGAGACAACGAATACACAAGTGAGGAGGAGAATGCAAGGCACGCGCTTCTGGTTCCTTGTATATTCGTTGTGTACCGCTGCCTTGCCATATTTACGAATCCATATGCCAACTTGTCTACGTTTGCATTATCGTGAAACGCATGTCTTGCGTAATGCTTGCGTGTACTTACCGGCAAGGCGGTGCTCTCCAGTTTCGATGTACCATCCGCGCCGCCGGCGTCATGCAGCAACAGTTCCTCGTGCTGCCTATCCTTGGACTTGCGGCGGCGGTGGCGCGATCGACTCGGCGAGCTTTGTTTCTTTGCATAGCTGGAATGGCTCTTTTCCTCCTGCCCTGACTGTGGCTTCTTCAGCAAATCCTCGGCGGCCGAAGATGGCGACCGACTTCCGTCCCCAGTGGCAGATGCCACCTTCGGGTCCTTCCAAAGGGCCATCTGTTGTCGCACAAGGCAAAAGACAAGTTGCTCGTATCACATCCTTGCAGAACAAGTCCATGAACAGGTTACAGATTCTTCTAAACGAAGATCATCTCCACGGATTTAAAACACTCACCATCCTAGGTTGACGCAGTGTGTGAAAGAGGACTGTTTGAAGACGGCGACGGAGGGACAAAGCTGCTGCTTGCGCTTGTTCGCAGTCGCGTGGAACACCGTCGATTCCAGGAGCTCGCGAGCCACAGCTCGTGCTATCATCTTCGTGACGATGTTGATGGCCGAACTTCCCCACCAGGCGCGATCGCTCAGACATGACCAGCGATTTTGCACGACTCCTTCGGTGTGAGGAGCAAATAATCTTCTGAATGGGCTTCCTGATGCGCGCGTATACTAACACAACTGGCAGACCTCTCTATTACATGTTGACCCATGCCTGAAGCCTCTTGCCGAATCTGTTGCTGCGTGAGTGAATACGCGAACGGCTTTTCTGAATCTGGAAGACACAGAACGTTGTTGTCGATGTGGAAAAAGAATTAGTCCAAGTGTTGACGTGATAGAGGAAAATTATGCAGCTTTTGTTTCAGTTTTACAGATCGTTACTTCAAGCATCCTGTCACATGGCACTTGGCCTATCCCCCTTTGTGGGTGTGCGCCATCCATACAAGCTCATCATCATCACTATCAGAAGCGGTTATTATTTCCTTTAGGTCTACTACTCTGAGATGCAGCCACTGGGATCGCCATTCAGGAATTAATCAGTCACCGTAAAAGAATGTATATCTAAATTATGCCTGCTTTGAATGTTTCATCACCAGTGAATCATGCTTTAAATCAATATTTCAATTACGAATGATACCATACAAAACACATTAAATAAACTCACCCGCTACACGACCAGTCCCATGAGTTTGACATGCGCATGTTCAGTGTTTGTTCAACAATAGCAACAATCTACCATCCGTAACGTTATCCTGCTTATAAACATACTGGCGTTCTTCCTTTTCTTTTTTCTGTCCTGCTGGTAGTGTTTCTAAATATCCATTCACACTAACCACCGGCTTTTTGGTTTATACTTCGTAGCTCGTTACTTATACGCACTAGTTCAAACAAGAAAACGCGGGCATGAATTGCTGAGTATCGCGCACTGAGTCTAGCGTATGCCAGTCTTATCGTTACCATTCGACAAGATTTGTCCTAACCAGAGAATCAGAAGAGCCCCGAGGACATGGAAGCATTCCTAAAATGGTGTTTTGTAGCTCCTTCGCACACACACCATTATAAAGGTTCCGCAGAGATGGCCAAGCGTAGCACATTCATCGCCGTTTCGCAACTGTGAAGAGTCGAACGCAAACAGTAGCGACGCTGAGCGCTATTTCTGGGACGCTTCCGAGTGCAGCTTGTATAGAGCGAAGGGAACGTGGCAGAACTAGATTAATTGCACAGATGCGCGGACCAGTTGTGCGCTCGTTCTAAATTGAAGAACAACAAGATTGGCTCAACATTAACTGCGGGTGTTCTTTTCACTCATCGGTCGTGACAGTCGCCCGCGCAGTGCATGCAGCAGACAATATATATGTAAAACCAGCGAGTATACTTGGTTCGTAGTTGGTGTAGCGCAGCTGCCATTTGACGACTGGCGCGTCATGCGTACTCAATTTCTTTTCTTTTAAGTAAGAAAGAGAAGGATGAATAGTCAGCTCGAGACCACACAGCACGGTCTCACACTGTTCTTTCCCAAGCCCTCGTGAAGTCTGGTGGTCCTTAGGAAGTACAAGAGGGCTTTCGTAGCTTTGCGCGTATGCGAAACCGTCGGCCAAGGCCCCAGGATCTTCTTTTTTTCTGCAAGCGGTCATTCAAAAAGGCTTGCAGCTGGGCAAGTTGTAACTGCTTGCTGAGCCGTTCGTGTTGTCCTGTGGTACATACAGAATGCGTTTTCCGTGTGTTTGACGTCGTAGGGGAATAAATAATGCCCAGTGGTACTCTCTGCTCGCCCTCTGCGTTTGGCGTTAACGTCGCCGCCAGTGTAAGCGTTAGCGCTCACGGCTTCACCTCTACGCATGGTTCACTTTTGCGGGAGATGGTCCAAGTATTTTTTTTCTTTCTTTCTGACTGTTTCGCGTGATAGTGGTTACGGGCATCGGCTGCGGCGGTTAACAGCGGCCATGGAATTGCGGATAGAGTCCGTCCAAACATTTTTTATGCACTTAAGTTTCAACTATGAAACATGCTCATTAATGGCTCAACGGACAAAGAGCAATAAGAACTATATATAGGCACCGTTGTAACTGTGGTATTAGCAATGATTGTTTGTTCGTTTATTTATTATGCAAAAATTCCGCTACTATTTACGATGTTAAGGATATGTCCTGGTTACTTCATTTAGTTCTCACGCTACCTTTGTATGCATATATCCATCAGTCTCTGAATAAAGCTCAATAAAACGACAGCTATAGTTTTTTTTAGCAACACTTCACCCACCAGCATACATGACATCGAGTTTTCCGCCATAATCAACAATACGTGTGTTAAGTAAGATATTTCACCATAAATTGTGATTATGACATCACCAATGTAGAATTGCAGACATCCAACATTTCAGTCGTACAGCTTTGCTGGAAACTGCATCTGTTGTCATATTCTCGAGAAATGGTCCTCTCAATTCGCGGAGAAATCATTTGCGATTACAGTGCAATTTTCTGCATCGTGTAAATGTGCGAGAAAAAAAATACTAAATGTAGCAACAATATCTGTCCCTATTGCGTCCGTATTTCTCGATAATTTTAATAGCACTTTTTTTGGTAAAAAAAAAAAAAAAACGTACCGGCATCACGCGTCGGCTTTATTCTCAAGTTATGACACGTTCTATACAGTAATGAATTAATTAAGTTTTCTTTGAACGTTGACTCGTGAAAAATTATAATGCACCTCTTCGTTTTATTTTTTTTTCCATTACTTGAAAATGATATTTTTGTATCGAAGCAACTGAAAAATGTTCATCATACTTTTGCTTCTGCACGATAGCTGACTTTGTTTTCAAGTACTCAAACTTGTTCGCGCGCATTGGACCCGACAGTAAGGCTCAGTTATTCTTATTCACAATCATGCACTCGCATCTTCCTCTTGTCTTTAGGCCTTGGGCTCGTTCATTTGGTAATCGTTTAAGACTTGTTCTAAACACCGCATCGTGGCTTTCAGGTGATCTTGTTGAGAAGCACTGCTGCTCTGGGAACGAGGCCACACACCGGGAATATCGACAAGAGTCGCAAAATTGAGCCAAAGGTGGACTCAACACGCATGTTACTCTGCGCGAAAATAATCGTGAAATGGGACTTGACTAGTTTTGGAGAAAGCGAGACAACCCCCCGCGCGGCGCGCGTTGGAGCTTTGAGGTCGAAATGCGCTTGAAGCGGCACTAACATGTTGTTTTCGTGTTCGTCGTAGAAAGTACTTGAAGTGAGAAATTTTTTGTTAGTGAACTACTTGAACAAAAAAAGCCACATTCTTCTCTTCCATTCAATTCGAGATTCCATGATTTTTTTTTATGTCTCCACTAAAACTGCCTGCTTTGAGGTGGCTGGTGAGTACAACGCACCATCGTTCGGGCAGTGCGAAAATTCAAACCTGTCAAAAGAAAACAGCTTGCATCAGAGAGGCAGAGAGACGCTTCGTTACTGGTGGAAGTTCGGGTGCAGTTATAAGGTCCGTTCGATTCACCTGCACCACGTGAACCAGTTCACGAGATTCTGCACCTTGCCATTCGATTCAGCGGTGCAGTATTAACGACCGCTGCACCCTGCCAATCGTTTCAAAAGGTGCAGAAAAGGTGCAGCACTGGTTCACAATTTTCCTGCACCTGCTTCGCTGACGGTGCCGGCTTGGTGCAGGCGCGCGTGCAGCTGAGCAGACGACGCAGCACATAGACGTAGGTGGCTTAGGCGCCTCTGTTGAATAAACTCCTCTGTTAAATAAAGTTTTTCTCCTCCTCTACAAATGCGGTGTGTTTTGCCAAGATGTTTGCGCCTCATAAACTGTCCGCATGTGCGTTTCGCCATAGATCAGTGTTTGCTGAACGGTATAAATTAACCGAAAAGAAATTAGGCCAACACCTTGTCGGCACATCGTCATTTGTTTCGGGTGTCGTGCTATGCCTGCACCGCTGAACTCGCGCTGCACAATTTCTAAACTTCACGTGCACAGCCGTGAACCGGTTCCGACCGGTGCAGGTGAATCGAACGGACCTATAGAGTGATTGGTACAGTGTTCTAGTAGAACACATTGATGTAGGTTCGGGCGCGCAAAGATCATAATTAATACCAGGTGCTGAAGTAATCAACACGCTTACATTTAACTAGAATATATATATATATATATATATATATATATATATATATATATAATATATATTATATATATATATATATATATAATTTGTTTTAATTCACTACATGTATAGCTGTCATTTCCGGAAAAACAACGAAAGTTGACGCGCCGCAGCAAAACGCCATCGCCATGGCCATCAGTGAATCCAAACGGAATATTGTCGTATCCAAGTCAAGCATATCTCTCGAACGTCTATCTGTAGTCAGCCACTCTAACGTGGAACGGTGGATGGCATGGCAAACGAAAACAGTGAAATGTGAATAACGTCAGTACAGCGCGAATAATGAGAATGAATTTAATAGCTAGCTTCGCTAATGTGGCTCCTTCGTTGCGAAGCCGTGAACCTATCTTGTTATTTTCTGGCTTGTTCAGGACATGATAGTATCTCCTCGACCTGATATGCGTTGTGGAGTAAGTGTGCTCTTGCGTTGGCGAAATATCAATAGCCTTCATATTTTCCTAGCACACGGCTCGTTTGACGGCGTAAAATCTTTCACCACGCCTTCAATTATCGTACAGTTTGCTGGAAAATACTAAGTAAGAGTTTTTAATAAAAAATCTAGATCATTGTCACTCCCTAAGCACCAGCAGTGCCTGCCTTCAATTGCATGTGCAGTGTTTCACCTGTGCAGCGAATGAGTGTTCTTTGTCGAAGCGGTGTTTGTGTTCTGGTGCGTGTGAGCATTTAGTGGCTTTCGATTAACAGAAAGGCGTCCACTGCAGGTTCTGGTCGGATGAACGACTGAGACAGCTGTGGGTGAACAACATGAGCACTTCTGCGTTGGAGGCTCGCTTAAATGGTGCGCCGCGTTCCGAAGACGTCGAGAAAAATAGCTTCACCGCTGGGAAGCCAGAGGAACAAGCCGGCAGTGCGATGGCCACCAAGTTTAATCTCGCAGCCGCCACTGCTCAAACTAGTGCATCTGTTTCGAACAAGCCTCGACCGCCGGGCGCAGCTTACCTGGGGCGCTCTTTGAAGACGCCATTTACTGCGACCCTACCTTCAAGTTCAAAGTTTATCATTGCACCGACCAAGGCATGTGAGAACAATACTGAGAAGAAGAACGTCCCTAATAATGACGACGTGGACACCACCGTTGCTCCGCAGGATGCCGGTGGCCAGCCATCTGAAGAGCAGCGCCTCTTGCAGAAACGAAGATCTGAGTTGCAACTAGCGAGGTGTAGTGTTTTCAAGGCAAGGAGAACGCATAAGACCGTCAAACGAAGCTTGAGCAAGCTAAATGACTTTCTGTTCACCGAAAAAACTTACGAACGCAATGGTAAGAAGGTTACTGAAATTCATTTGTCCCGTTTTGCCCTGGACGTGCTTGAGAAACAGCAGTCTGGGACTGAACACAACCCTACTGATGAAGCAGCTGGTGCATCAGACCATGGTACTTCAGATCACTCTGAAGTGGGCCAAAGTGATACACTGTTCATTCATGAAAGCCAAATGGATTAAGCAAGCCTTTCATATCTTCTACTTTTCTGTATGATTAGCCAAGCTTCTAATAAATCGAAAGTTAAACATTTATAAAACTAGCACCTCTGTCAAGACATTGGATGTCGAACCTTATGCTGTGTATTTTCTTTCCATGCCCATAATTATGACAGTTGGTGCTTGTCTTGTCGATGGTAATAAACGCAGTGCAGTGTTAGGTACAAGTACCAAAAAATTGCGGGAACTGAATATGCAGTAATGACGTCAGGTCGAAGTGGATGTGTTATTTAGATGGACAGTTCCAGAATAGCTTGCTAGTGTAGCAGCGACAGCTGTCTCTCACAACACGAGCCCCACAATGTTTTCTTCTGGCAGCTGTAGCATGTAGTGGTAACGGCATAAGCTAGCATGGATATGTACAGTGTGAGCTATTACATGCTCGTAACAATAGTGCATTTTGGTATCGTAGATGTCTGCTGCTGGTGTCTATTTCCACTATTGTGAACAACTGAGAAAAAAATACAGGGCTGTGTGGGAATCGAACCCAGACATGCGTGGTAATCTATCGCAGAGCCTCGCTGTGGCTTGAAATATTGTGAAAAATCTATACGTACAGCTGTTGTGTCAAGCGAGGAGTCGCACTAACAGATGCGATTGTAAATTTTGTAGTCTTGCAGTGGCATCGCTCTTGCCACGTCTTTCAAGTAACTATGAACCAACTGGCCCAACATAGCGTACTGCTAAGTGAAGACAAAACACATATGTTACTTATGTGTTTGTTTAATTCCCATCAATTGTGCTCTTTACCTACCCTGTGAAGGTGAGCTGTATCAATCAAAGCAAAATATTTTTGCAACAGATGTAATATTCTATCCAGTTGAGTGAAATCATTCCAGGTGCCACATACTGTAAATTGTGTAACGAGTGAGTGCTTCATAGCTTCCCACCCATTACAAAGGCCTTGGCCATAATTAATCATAATCACTCAGTAGGGGATACTACCATCGGTAGTAAATCACTTAATGACCATCGCCTATATACTAACAGGCAAGAGACATGAAAAAATGCTCTGTTTGAATTGACTGGAAGTAATGTTTCCTCATAAAATATTGCCATGCCATAATGAAGAACTCTGGTGTAATTTTGACCACCTGGGGCTTTTAAACGTACCTAAATACAGAAATATTGTTTCTTTCACCCCCAATGAAATCCAGCTGCCATGTCAAACAATTAAACCCAGACTTCAGCGCATGATGTCGCAGCACATTAGCCACTTAAGTCAATTTACCGTGGGGAATATAAGACGAAACAGAAAATCTGTAGCTTGAAAACAGCGCAGTGTTTCACATTGTACTGAATTGGCTCCTGTGTTCAGCGTGCTTCTGCTGACTACGTCATCGAGAAGACGTACTTATTTAGTGCAATTACAGTAGCATAAGATGCTCTTGAGTATTCATTAATGTGTTGTACAAACTATCACAAGGTTTTTGAGGATGGCTAGTTGGTTCACGAACATTGCCACATAACAGTGTAAAAAAAAAGAACAGAGAACATACAGAAAATGGTGCAGCCTATCTACTGGTTTTTTCGGCTGAAAAAGCAGAGCATATATAGGCAGGTGAAAACTGCAAAATTAAAGAAAGGCACAAACGCTATCAAATGACTCAGCTGACCAGCATAACTATCAGTTTTGATTAAGTTTTAAAGTTTACATGGTGCAATGAAAAGCAGATTTGACGAGTGAGTGAAAAAGTGGCAGAAACAGGGTCAAGGTTTGTGAACATGCCATCAGTAGCAGTCTTAAGCAAACAAATTAGTTATCTTGGGCCTCATCCGCGACCATACAGCTTGTTGTCACAAGCATCTGTTTTGGTTTGTGTTGTACTTGGTTGCAGTGTGTAGTCTTTTTTTTTTTTAAGCTTCATCATCTGCTTTTCAAACCTTCTTAGTTGGACTTTGGTGGTAGCTTTTCTTTTGTATTGAGTATTTGGTTTCTGCCAGTTTAATTAGTTATGTGCTATTTTTACCATTTTTTCACTTTGAATGCCATTTTTAAAATCTGCTTTTCACTTTATCATATAAATTGTTAATTCTATCAAAATTGGTAGTTATGCTGGATGGCCAAGTCAATTTATAGTGTTCGTGCTCCTTCTTATTTTTCATATTAGCGTTTGCGTACCTTTTTTACAGTGTCCAATATATTTTTTTTTGCACTCCTATGCCATAGCTATCGTAAGCTTTAGGCAGCCCTTTGTTGGGAGTGTTGAGACAAAGTTCTACGAGCCGTATAAACAAATTAGGCGCATGTTGTCCTATATAAATTTGTGCCACGAGCTCTAGGAACGACTCAACGGAAATACCACACTGACCCTGAAACAGTCGTTCCTAGAGTCATTCTCAGAGCTCGTGCAGGCGTACCAGAATTCAATCATTGTGTCTTGGTAGGGCAATAATTTTGTCCAGAAATCTGGCATCTCCATGGGATCATGTGTAGCACCTGTAGTTAGTGATATCTTTCTTGGTTTTGTAGACAGGCAGCTGCAAAAGCATTTGAATGGGTTAGCGAAACACGTTGTTCGATATGTCGATGACTTCTTAGCTGTACTGGACACTGACATTTGCTCTGTACTGGTTGTTAATGATATTATGAAGGTTTTTAAGGAACATGGGATGGGTCTGCATTTCACTTTGAAGCTGCCAAAAAACGATGAGCTACAGTTTCTCGACTTAAGACTGGCTTTTGTCAAGGATCACATTTGTTAGCAATGCCAACCTAGGTTCATTAAGGCGATCCTGAATTTTAATCTTGGCCATTCAAAAACCTTAAAGAGAGGCATTGCGTCAACTGTGCTGCATGCCGCTCTTCAGATGTCATGCGAACACCTTATGTCGCAAGCTTTTGATACACGGATTGCCCGCCTTGAAAATTCTGGCTTTGCGAGTGACGTGATTTGCTCCGTATCGGAAAAACTTATATCAAATATCATGAAGTTTTATCGCCGTGACTCTAGTGCCCAAGAGGTTAGCAAGAAAAAAAGGCACGCAGTTATTCCATACACACACAGAACCGCGCATGGTTTGGAAAACATTGGTGCTCGTTATGGTGTAAACGTATTGTTCTCAGCACACAATAAAGTGGGCAATGTGTGTGCCTTGGTGGATAGAGTGTTGTGTCAGCAGCCAGGGTAATGGAAAAAACGTGTCGCCAATCATGTGCACAAATATGCACCTTGTGCTACTGGCATAGTTTATGGCTTTCCACTATCTTGCGACTGCGAATATGTAGGCCAAACAGGCCGGTGCATTAACGTGTGCTTACGAGAGCATGAGCTGACACTATCAGGTGCTGCAATTACGTCTCATTTGGCAGCGCATTGTAAATCATGCAGATGTGTGCCCTACTTGCAGAAAACTTCCATCAAATATAGACATGTGGATCAGCGCACGCGATAGATAGCCAAAGCTTTTTTCATTAATTCCAATAACAAGTGCATAAGTCATCCATCTATCACTCTTCGAGATGTAGAATATAACTTTTTGTTAGACAAGACATGAAGCGAGTTGTACTGCAACACATTTGCCCATGCGCACAATTTTGATGACTCATTGTCTCCTATATGGGTCCTTTCTTTTTTCAAATAAATTCCAGTTGAGAGTTCAGCCCTGTGCCCCTTTTCTGTCCATATCTAATTCGGTGCACTGTAAAATATTCCAGCCCAACTCATGATTCTGCTTTAGCATGTCTCTGACAAGAAATAGTGCCCCAAAGTACATCCCGTCAGCTGTAGCATGAAAAAAAAAAGGCTTCCTGGGGCTGCTCCAAGAATTCATCACATGGTATAAGCATGTCCTCAGTTACCTTAATTGTGAGTGAGCTGCTCACTACCATCCCTTAAGACAGGGTGTGGATGATGTCTAAAGGGCCAGTGAACAACCCCGAGGTCCGAAAAGTGTTAAAAATATTTTTGAACATGCTGCCACAAACATTTTGTGAATATGTGCCATATTAAGGAAGTTACATGGGTTATAACATTGGTTTCACCTGGTTTCAGATTTTGACACGGCCTCGCCACTCATGTCTCTCACAGGGAGGGGAAGGCGTTGCGCATCATCGTGACTGGTTTATACCACTTGACTAGCTGCGTGTTATGTAAAGTCCCCAATTGGCAATTTTGTGTCACTGTGCGTGAGAAGAGGATTGATTGGGTGTAGGGAAGGAGCGCATAAATTGTTTTTCGAAATGGAGGCTCTGCGCAGCGCTCCAATATTCGGAAAACGTGAACACCACAGTCTACTCTACGAATTGCTTAGCTTCTTTGAGGGCTAAAAAAAAAAGTAAAAGCCTCTTGACTGGCCCTTTAAAGGAACATCATAGTTTGTCTTATATCCTATCCACTCTGTATAAGTTACCGTATCTGTCAATGAACTGAAGCACTCCAAATAGGCATAAAGGCATGATCACAGCCCTGTGATTAGTTCAAATGAAAGTTTCTACATTTTAACGATTCTCAGAGCATTAATATAGTGTGCTTCTTCTAAATACTGAATGCTCTGTAATTGGCTACTGAATAAAACCTAGGAATGTCTGTCACATTTCAATGACCATGGCTTATAACATGAGAGAGTACATTGGAAAAATACGCATTTCCAGAAAGTCAGTGATGACGAGTGGAAGAAGGAAGGTTCAAAGGCCCATAATCCTATCACAATTACTATTGTTATTAGTGTATTATACTTTTTTTCTGTCTACATATGTTACCCAAGCGTACACCCATATGTTCGCATACACAGATATGTTTCGACTATAGCATTGGTTTTTTAACCACCATGGCAGCGGACAGTAAGCGTCGATGACAAAGCCAGGTCTAAGGTTCGTTCTTTTGGGTGTTTTATATCGTTTTGTCACAATTATGAATAATATCGGTCTATCGTTAAACCATTTTTTGCGTTTCACATCCACGATTCTCGTCATGACAAACACGGATGCGGACGGACGAGCCTGAAAATGCTTCTCCCCTAATATTACATCTGTAGTGGTTAATTCGCAAGGCGATGACCAGTGGTGTCCATCTCTTAGTGCAAAGCGCGAGCGGTGTGC